TATTCCATGTCTTGTATATCGCCAGGTGTGATGGGTGATTCTAATGTATTAGGACTCGATGGTTTTTTGTGTGACGGTGCTAGAGTTATTCCACAATGCGGGTCTAGACAAGGTTGTTCGACGTTTTGTCTTGGAACGAGTTGTGGCAAGGGGAGGGTGGGGTGAGGGACAGGTCCTGTGTCGGTGCTGGTTCGAGCCGAGCTGACCAGAAGATTGACGTGGAGTGACAGCACACCAAGAAGTAGTTGCCTGGTCAACTGTTTGGTAAGTCCAGTTCTGTTTCCCATTGTACAGGACACGTACATAAAACCAACGTGGGTTAAAATTTATAGGAATAATAAAGTCAGTGAAAAAATAAATTGATTTTGTGGTTTTTTAAAACTCCGATAAGGCAATGAATAACTTGCTAAAACGTTGAAGAAAATAATGTTGGTCGTTTCGAATTACTTACAGACAATAAAATCTGGTTCAAGATGTCAAAGAAAATAGCGTTGAAATTCTTTTTAAACTTTGTACAGGCAATGAGAATAAACTTGCTTCCAACTTTGATGAATAAAAATGTATATGTATAAACGTATTCCAGGATCGAAGAAAATGAGGAACAATAGATGGATTAGACGAGTGACTGCTCAACGAAGCGAACTCTCCCGTTTCTACACAAAGAATGATGAGACTTCCCTGACTTGAAGGAGTTTTGTAACTTTTCTGGTCTGACCCCGCCCCGTCACCCTCAACTCAAACACAAACTTTAAAACTGCGACCTTTAACCCTTGCTTTTAACCAACGCGATTTTTTATCCTTATTTTTTTTTTCTTAAATCATGCGATCGCACTCCTCCCCTTTTCAATGGGCAACTGTAAACCAACAAACACCAAGACGGAATGTTTGTGTATTCAGCCTCGCTATGTCCAGCAAGTTTGCTCGTCCAGCCAGCACGCCACTTCTTCGCTCGTGCACATTCTGCAACAGAAAGCCAAACATCCTAACTAAGAGACACACAAAACCGTTACGAAATTCATGTTCCTCAAGTCACGTGCCGCGCGCTAACTTCGGCAGAAAACAAATTTATTTAGGCTATTTATAGCTGTTTGTATTCCCGATCTGGCCGAGCGAACTATTCTGTGTGAAAGCCAATGTCCAGTTCTGCTTGTGCCAGGTCAGCAGACGATAAAAATGTTGGTTGTTTTCATCGCCATTAAATTAAATTAATTAATTAAATACTTGAGGTCAACAGGAACGTTGACTGTAGATTAACCACTGCCGTCGATAAACTTGGCCAGAGAAAAAGGCAATCTGGCAAATGGTCTGTTCTAATTATAATCATAGCATACATAACTAGACAGACATAACTAGACAGACTGTTACACTATAGTTAAACCAAAATAGAATGTGATGATTACAGCTTTTTGTTACATTTTATAGAGAAAATATATATTCAACAACTATCTAATCCTAACCCAGGGGTCGGCAACCTTTTGAGACAGAAGAGCCAAAAGTGACAATTTACAAAATTTCCAAGTTTTTAAAGAGCCGCCAACAATTTTATATTATTATTATTAGTATTATGTTCTTTAATTAGGATTTAGTATAAATATTATATATATATATATATATATATATATATATATATATATATATATATATATATATATATATATATATATATATATATATATATATATATATGTGTGTGTGCAAAAAAAAATAATTTCGCAAGAGCGGGGCCCCAGTGGGGTGGGGGGGGGGGGTAGAGGTGCGATTGTTCTCCATATACGGTAAAAAAAAAAATTCTTATGGGCGGCGCCCGAGTTAGTGCATTTTTTGTCAATACACGTTTTGGCGCCCAGAGTTCCAGAGCGGCTATGTTAGTACTTGGCATCCGTTAATCGGGCGTTCTGCATTGCCAAGTCGAAAGGGTTACTACTATATTCAGCGGCAAAACTGCAACAGACGCAACCGCCGGCACCTCGTCCATTGCGCGACCCGAAGAGCCCCGGGCTCACCTGCGAGCACTATAGCGCCTACTATCTTTTTTTTTTAAAGTCTGTACACTATAGACACGATGAGCAACAATACGTTCATTTTAAACAAGCGCCTACCTTAGTTTTAAGGAGCACACTACAAAACGACATTCCGACATTCGATAAATAAACCGAGCTAGGGGCCGTACGCGGCGCCCCGGCGGTAGTGTTATCGGGTTCACGGGAGCGCCACTTACCGTCGGTAGTGATTAACGGTGATATTACGGTGAGTGATTAACTTACACTCAAGGCTTTCATACAGCACGCCATGGTGGTGGGCGGTAGTGTAGGAAACCAGTGCCCCGATAAATATGATCCAAACACAGGAATTGTTTACATTTAAATAACTCACGTTTTAGGAAACAAGGAAGTAGTTCTACATTGAAATATCGAGTAATTAAATGTAGTAATAGAATAGCGAGTGTTTAATGTTTATATTTATTATTATATCGTTCATTACTGAGTGTTGCAGACTAATACATTTATGAGTTTTAAAAATAAAATAAAATAATTATTTATGTTTGTGCATCGAGCTGAAGAGCCGCATCTTGACACCTAAAGAGCCGCATGCGGCTCGCGAGCCGCAGGTTGCCGACCCCTGTCCTAACCCCACCTCCGAAATTGTTAAACATCTTTTTTTTTAGCGACAATAAATAATTCAAAGCGATAATTGACGGATTCGGAACATTGGTTATCAGTGTGCCTTTTATTTATATAAAATAAAATGATTAAAAAATACAGTTTTTGAAATATACAATAAACCACTCAATCCTAAACTTATTAAATAATAATTGTTTTTATGAAAAACAAAGTATTTTTATTAATTTAATAAAGAAATCTGTTACAAATATTGATAATATATTGTTTATCTGTTTGATAAATTTTAAGTAGATCTATTAAATATATACTACCTCCATTATTGCATCCCTTGCAGAAGGGAAGTAAACAATGCATTTTATAAGCGAATTATGCTGACTAAATAAAAACGGTTTATAAAAACACGCTTTTATTTATGCACTAAAAAAAATCTCATGAAATTATTTACTTTTAGCGACGAATGTTTTTACTAAAGAAAGCAAATTTGTTTATGGTGTTTTTTTTTTATTCAAAACATTTAAAAATGTATCCTAAATATTTTAAAAGATTTATTTTATTATATAATTGTTCATAAGCCCAGTTATATCTAGAGCCGTGACTACCATTTCCAAACTTTTAAAATACTATTTAACGACCCGCGCTTTTCTTTACAATAGGCATGAAAAGTCTATGTAATCATACTAATTTTTTTTTTTTAAATATGGCATGCGATACAATTATATACATTTGTAAAAATTAAAGCTATTTAAAAACAATCGATTACACTCATTTACATAATTTTTATTTTGAAAATTAGCCGTTCAAACGCCGTTAAGAATTATTTTATCAACTCAAATATTTTCATAAACTGCCCTCAACCTCTCCTTGAAGTCAACCGGAATGGCCAGGGAGAGTAAAAAAAAATGAAAGTCAGAACAATTGTTTTCCATACTGAAAATACTGAAAATACACAATAGCGGTCTATGGTGTATAGCGTAGTATTGTATTTATATTAAATAATATAACATATAATGTAAAATAAAAATCAATTGCGGTTTGACACCGTTCATCCGATCGCCACGAATCTTTTGGAATTTGATTAGAACACTCCAGGGAAGGAGTCAGATCTAGCGGCCCTAGGGGGATTTTACGACGGCAGAAAGTTTATTTTTGTCATCGTCCAGGGTTGTTCTACGATGTGGCGGAGCGGCATAGGGGGTCGTCGAGCAAAATTAATTTTCTACATTTATCGCTCATTAAGTTAGAATTTTACTCGCGGTTACTTTTTAGTCCTCATCGAGGGCTTTGAGTCTGACCGTCAGTTTTCCCACACGGCGTAGCAATTTATCGAAAAACATGCAAAAAATTAGCCACATGTACAGAGAGTGAGTACCCTAAAATCTTTTTCAAAGTACTCTTTGTTTTTCACATAAATTACAAAGATTGTATAAAAAAATAAAACAGGTCAGTTTTGACCTTTTTATCGAATTCTTCCAGATATGAAATTAACAGATCAGTACGGTGGTGGTGGTGGTGAGGGGAGGGGGGGGGGGGTTGTTAACTTCATTCAGTACTGTCCGGTCACTGTAGGTGTATTATCTTACCCAGCGTATATCCGGGTGTGACATTAATGCCGCTCTACACAATTTCCGCATGCCACGTCTGCAGTTTCTTCCAGACATCTTTTCGGCCACGAAGAAAGTCAAACCCCCCGCCCCCAAAACGAAGCAGAATGTATATAGAAAACATACTTTTACCAGTGTCCGCCCCCCGGAAAATGTTGTCTCCCCCCCCCCCCCCCCCCCCCGAAAATATCAAGTCCCCACGCCGGAGAACATAGTCTGGAAGAAACATTGCCCGTCTGGTAGTGAGGAGATGGGGGGGGGGGAATAACCAACTCAGAGTGAACATAGCGTCAGTTTATAGAAGGCTGTTCTGAATATACATATGCATGTTACATATATACCGATTCAGAAATAAATTTAAATAAGTTACAGTGGTATTATGACAGTCACATTTTTTACAGAGGGGTCCATGGGGGGGGGGGTTAGATACAGTTCTACACGCTATTGGGACGGAGTGGTCTAGCGGTAGAGTGCTGGACTGCTAACCCGTAAGTTTCGAGTTCGAATCCGGGTTCAAGGCAGTAGAACGTCCTTGAGTCCACCCAACTCTGATGGGTAGGCCCTACCTAACTCACGTTAGGGAAAGTAAAGGCGGCTGGGCATAGTGCTGACCACACTATCTCTTCATATGCCGAGGTCACAGAAACAAGTGAACTGTACTTCACTTGCCCAATAGACCGTCCGGTTTGAAAGGGAAACTTTTTTCTACACGCTATATGTTAGTAGGGTTATCACACATTTTACTAAAAACAAGTAAACTCAAAACACTGAATTTAAAACGTACTTTTATAAGATCAAATACAGTATGCAAGTTATTTAAATTGTTGAATGTGTTTTCCCCAGTCAAAATCAGCAATTTAGTTTATCCCATGGTATGGGGTCAGGCTCCCTGTCCTTTGATATAAATAGCCGTTGGCCAAAGCGAGGCTCCCGTATCACACGTGGTACAGTACACCTAGGTCCTAAAACATAGCACCAGACTTGGGCAACACACACACTCCCGTACGTGTACACACACCCCACAATTCTGCCCGTGCTGTTACACACCCCTCACTCTTGTACGTGTACACACACCCTCACGTTTGTTTGTTTTACACCCCCACACCTCAGTCTGTGTTACACACACTCCTCACTTCTGTACGTGTACACACACCCCTCACGTCTGTGTGTTTTACACACACCCCACACTTTTGTCCGTCTGCTCGAAGAACCATTTTTTGTTCAACGTCTCCTCCACCCTCTCCATGAACGCGCTGTAGGCTTGTCTGTGACGTCGGCGATGACGCTGAAAATATTCATACAATCACGTGGTTAACGACACAGTAGCTCTTACGTGAAAACTGTCACACAACATCAAATTCCGTGAAAACTGTCGCATAATATCAAATATCAACGGCTTGAAAATATTCATACAATCACATGTTTAACGACACAGTAGCTTTTACGTGAAAACTGCAGCATAATATCATTATCAAATATCAACGGCTTAAAACAAATGTATTTTACCAAGCATGCGATAACATGTGGAAAGGTGTTATCCGTAAATGACAGGCTATTTTAAAACACACCATTTATCGCAAATTTCGTTAAAAATCATCCCTTCCATTAAAATAACTTAACAAAGTTCTATCCCCATTGTGATGACGCAAGATTACGTCAGACATGTTTAGCAGATATAGGTTAGCAGAAACAGACTATAGGCCTAGTTGGTTGGTTAGAGAGGCCAATGGGCGCACAGGGCTGACCGGTCACGTGGGACGGTCAGCTGACCACTGAGGCGTGGGGCAGTAGAGCGATAGGCCAGGAGTTGTTAGGTAGCGGTCAGAGACGGCCGAGAATGTAGATAGTTCGGAGATCATGATTAGCTAGCGAAGGGAGAAGGTGTTAGGTTGTAGAATGTAGAGAACAGTTAGTGTTAGGATTGGTCATGGGAGTGCGTAGTAGTAGGTAGCATGTGGTATGAACAGTCAGTAGTAGAAGTAAATAGTACAGTGTAGATCAGTTAGGTAGAAACTTGAACATATATATCATTTTAATAAAGAACAATTATAGTTGAACTTGAACTGTGTGTTATTGGATTCATTCGTTCCGCCATCATAAAATCCACCCTCACAATTGGTGGAGCGCGGGTCGAGTGAGGGAAAGAACGTATATCAGCTATTCATGACGGAGTATGACTGGTGTATTGCTTTCTCTAACTCATCACAACAGCGGGTTTCTTCAGCCGGAGCGAGTTTGGATTACCAACACAAGGGAACAGTCAACGTGTCCAAAAAGATAAGTGCCTTCCAAAATTTTTTTTTTTTAAACGTTTGGGTTTAGAGCCGTGCTGGATAGCCTTTACCAGCGGTTTTTCTGCCTTATACACTCTATTGTTACGCACTGTTGCCTTAGTTTTGTTTACTTTCCTCAACACACACACACACACATACACAACCATGGAGGCAGAGTTTCAATGCTATACACGGTGCATACCATTAGACAAAACAGGAGAAGAAGTTGAAACATTTGTAGAGAATAAGTTAAGAAACAAGATAGTCAAGATAGTAAGACATGTCAAGAACAAAAGCATAGTTAGCGATAGAATTAGTGAAACGGAAAGTACAGCACATAGATAACACGCAACTGCCCAAGAACATCAACCCCATGACCAGGAATTTGACCCGGACCGTCCCCATACATGATTTTGAACAACGGACAAAAGTGAAGTCAAGTCAAGTCGAGTTTTTTTTTTTTTTTTTTTGTTAATCTAAGTCGTCGAGGAAATCGACGTGAAGTCGTACAGTCAGAAGTCAGAGTAGTCAAATCTGATGTCAATCGTGTTATTGAAGTCAGTGAAGTATAAGTCAGAACTGAAGTCAAAGAAGTCATTTGAAGTCAGTTAAGTCAGTCAATAAGTTGATGAAGTCATAGTTGAGGTCATAGTGACGTAGTTGAAGTCATGTTGCAGTCAAAGAAAAGTCTTTGATGTTATATTAAAGTCGTTGAGGTCATAGTGAAGAAGTGAAATCGTCGAAGTTATAGTGAAGTCTTTGAAATCAAAATGATGTCGTTGAAATCTTTGAAGTCAAGGTTAAAGTCCTTGAAGTCGTAGTAAAGTCTTTGAGGTCAAATTGAAGCCTTTGAAGTCATATTGAAGTTGTTGAAGTCAAAGTGAAGTCTTTGAAGTCATATTGAAGTTGTTGAAGTCAAAGTGAAGTCTTTGAAGTCATTTTGAAGTCGTTGAGGTCAAAGAAAAAGTCTTTGAAGTCAAAGTGAAGTCGTTGAAGTCTTTGAGGTCAAAGTGAAGTCGTCTAAGTCGAAGTTTAAGTCAGTCAGTGATGCCGTTAAAGTCGAATCAAAGTCAGTCGGTGAAATCAGTTATTTAAGTCGTTGAAGTCGAAGTTAGGTCAGTTTAAGTCAGTCGAAGTCAGTCAGGTTGCTGAAGTCCTAACAGTGGCGGAACTAGAAAAAAAGGGCTCCCCCGCAAAGAAAAAATTAGGGCCCCCTATATATATATATATATATATATATATATATATATATATATATATATATATATATATATATATATATATATATATATATATATATAATATCTATATCCTGAGTAATTTAGTCTACTTCATTGCAATATAAAACCATTCTGGGAGAACAATCCAGACAAATTTGGTCCAAACTCATCTTAAGCTAGAAATCATCAAAAACACTTCTAAACATGCTGGTCAAAAATATATAAAGACGTAAGCTTGATTCGTGAATGGTTTCTCGCGTTATGTTTATTCTTTTCATTTTTGGCTTTTATAATATCAATTTTGAAAACATTGATTTTTATGGCTATACCATTGTTTATTACGTCTTATTTAAATAATAATTCAGAGAATTTAATTGCTTTTTAATATACATAGCACAAAACTATTTAAATGAGCTTTGTGGGCATCCCTATTTTAAAGAAGGGCAGTAAGTCATGGAAGTAGTGTGAATGTTTGCCTACCTTTCAAACTATAGCTCTTGTAGATTATAAAATATTTTTCTACGCAACAATCTCTGCTATAGTAGACCTTTTTTTTTTTTTTTTTTTTTTACAAAACCACTTTTAAGATGCATGAAAAACATAATTTTTGAAAAACAAATTCATTGTTTTTGGTCGGAACTGGGCCCCTAAACGTCCTGGGCCCCCCCGCATTGCGGGGTCTGGCGGTATGGTAGTTCCGCCCCTGAGTCCTAAGTGAAGTCAGTTGTCAAAGTGAAGTCAGTCAAATTACTGAAGTCTAAAGTGAAGTCAGTCGTTAATTTGAAGTCAGTCGAGTTACTGAAGTCATAAGTGAAGTCAGTCATTAAGTCAAGCCAGCCAGTTTTTTGTCAAAAGTCAGATAGTGAGAGCTGCTCCACTATATGATTACGAGTTCAAACGTTATTTGAAACGGCACGATTATTTATATACACTCACATGTCTATTCTTTTTGTGAAGCTATTTCTAAGCTCTAGTAGTGTTTACGTCTATTGAGTTTATTAGGCTGTACAGATTGTTGTTAGATTAGAGTGTACTGATTTTTATTTGGTTATGTTGTAATGTTATTTTTATATGTTGTTATGCTGCCAGACAAATGTTCAGCACGTATAAATTTGGGATTGAGGTTTTTTTAATGGAAGGTACCTCTGTCTGAATACTTGTCTGCGCGGGCACTAAAATGTTCACGTAAAGCCATTGCTCATGGTCTTGTAATACAATTTTCAGACCCACTACGTTTATTCAGAATGAGACGAGATGAAGCAGACACTTCAAAGAGTGCCGCCACCTGAAGCCCTGATTACGTTGAATTACCTGGACAGCGGACAGACCTGCTGAACAGAGAATTGCCCTGGTCAAGACAGCGGACGCATCGCCACCGCTTCGCCCCACCTTGGGGTTGAATAACAGACCGCCAGCTACGTGCACCTACGTCGGCACATACAAAGGGTAGAAGACCCGTCGTCCAGGTTCCCAGCGTCGGAATGTTACGTCATTGTTCGCCACGCATCAGACAGCTCCAGTTCATCGTATAACCACTCTACGTGGACGTCTCAACCAGCGTTGAGATGAGATTGTTGCGTCATCACATTGACCAACGAAAGTTACGCCTACACCCGCCTCACGGGAACTTACGTAGACCAACGCCACAACCCACCCACCACAGATGAACGCCAATAATTACATAACACTTACACACACACACACTTACACTGCTCGTTGAGCCCGTTCAACCAGTTACACATCGCTACTAAGATTAGCTCAAGGCCAGTACACGACAACCTAGCCAGAACTGAGTTTCACATGATTGAATTCACACATACCATGAAACATAGACATACATTATCAAGCAGAGACACCACAGACGTCAGGATACCGTACAAGAACTAGAACAATGACATTCCTTTCCAAGAACACAGACAGAAGATTTTATGTTTTTGTAAACTGTGCTGTCCCATTTTGTATTTGATTGATATGATTGATGTTAGGGATAGAATATAGTAGTAAGATAGATAGTTGTTGATGTATTAGATTAGTAGTAGACGCTGAAAAATATAATTTGTCAGCTACAGAAAGGGAGGGAGATATGTGATGACGCAAGATTACGTCAGACATGTTTAGCAGATATAGGTTAGCAGAAACAGACTATAGGCCTAGTTGGTTGGTTAGAGAGGCCAATGGGCGCACAGGGCTGACCGGTCACGTGGGACGGTCAGCTGACCACTGAGGCGTGGGGCAGTAGAGCGATAGGCCAGGAGTTGTTAGGTAGCGGTCAGAGACGGCCGAGAATGTAGATAGTTCGGAGATCATGATTAGCTAGCGAAGGGAGAAGGTGTTAGGTTGTAGAATGTAGAGAACAGTTAGTGTTAGGATTGGTCATGGGAGTGCGTAGTAGTAGGTAGCATGTGGTATGAACAGTCAGTAGTAGAAGTAAATAGTACAGTGTAGATCAGTTAGGTAGAAACTTGAACATATATATCATTTTAATAAAGAACAATTATAGTTGAACTTGAACTGTGTGTTATTGGATTCATTCGTGCCGCCTTTCTTAAAACCCCCACCCTCACACCCATTAAATTAACTAACATTTGAACGAAAATAATAGTTTTTCGTTATTTTTGTTTTAAATAATAAATACTGTCAAATCTTTAGCCCTTTATTTACCTACCCTACATCGCACAGCTTCGTGACTGTCTAAGCCCCTCCCAACCATTAGATATGTAAAGTCATTTATAGACAACAACCTATCAATGCAGGTGTCTTAAATTGATACTAACAATATTTAACTCACAGAGAATGCCATATCTATCAATGCAGGTGTCTTAAATTGATATTATCAATATTTAACTCACCGATAATGCCACATATATCAATGCAGGTGTCTTAAATTGATACTATCAATATTTAACTCACCGATAAAGCCACATCTATCAATGCAGGTATCTTAAATTGATGCTATCAATATTTAACTCACCGATAATGCCAAACCTATCAATGCAGGTGTCTTAAATTGATACTATCAGTGCAGGTGTCTTAAATTGATACTATCAATATTTAACTCACCGGTAATGCCACATCTATCAATGCAGGTGTCTTAAATTGATACTATCAGTGCAGGTGTCTTAAATTAATACTATCAATATTTAACTCACCGATAATGCCAAACCTATCAATGCACGTGTCTTAAATTGATACTATCAATATTTAACTCACCGGTAATGCCACATCTATCAATGCAGGTGTCTTAAATTGATACTATCAGTGCAGGTGTCTTAAATTAATACTATCAATATTTAACTCACCGGTAATGCCACATCTATCAATGCAGGTGTCTTAAATTGATACTATCAGTGCAGGTGTCTTAAATTGATACTATCAATATTTAACTCACCGATAAAGCTACATCTACCAATGCAGGTGTCTTAAATTGATACTATCAATATTTAACTCACCGAAAAAGCCACATCTATCAATGCAGGTGTCTTAAATTGATACTATCAATGCAGGTGTCTTAAATTGATACTATCAATGCAGGTGTCTTAAATTGATACTATCAATGCAGGTGTCTTAAATTGAAATTATCAATATTTAACTCACCGAAAAAGCCACATCTATCAATGCAGGTGTCTTAAATTGATACCATCAATATTTAACTCACCGAGAATGCCGCGCTCTTCTGTGGCCAGTTGTCTCTGTCCAGTATCAGACGAGCATCCCATTTTTTCTTGGCTGACTGTGGTGGCGCCATCTGCCTGCCTTCTGCAAGGTCACGCTCTGGCGGTTCTCGGGGTAACCCATGTACTATAGAAGCAGACGACAACACAGTTAGGTTTTGTTACTTTCTACAAAATAAAAAAAATAATCAAACTTCCCATGTAGGCTACTAATTCAAGTTTTTATTTTAGCAATGTTATTATAAGTGTTTATTTTTGCCACTTAGATTTTATGTGTCTAAATTTACTTGTTATCGCTGATTAATTACTTAGAGATTATGCGATCATCTGATGTGGATATATTTTCAGTGTAGCAAACTATTTTAAAATAAAAGTGCGAAAAACTACTGTGATTCAACTATTTAAAATTAGGGTATGACAACGTTCTATTTAAAAGAAAAAAATGGACATTTGAGTACGTTGAAATGTGATGTAATTGTATGATGATAATGAGTAAAGCATGAGGTCCTTAGAATAAAACCTTTTCTGTTTTAACTATCTAAAACGTAAGCCTGTAAACCTACTGAAATCTAACTAACTAAAATGTAATGTAAACCTACCGTGATCTAACTATCTAAGACAGTGGTTCCCAACCTTTTTCGAGTGGCGACCCCCTTTCATAAAACGTAAGTGACCCGCGACCGCCATATAATTAACAAGTCGAAATTAGTAATAAATAATAACCACTAAATTAATATTTTCTAGTAGACTTTCAATATGAATTATTCTTGATAACTGTTTTAATACGATGAGCAAAATTACATGCTATTAACAAGCATTAACTAGCATTAACAATTAAATTTTGCAAATTTAGGAATTCATCTTGTTATTCATCGGCAATGCTGGTAACATCAAGAAAGCAGAGAATGGGTGACAATGCTCGGGGAAAATAACGCCGCAGTTCGTTGTCAAGAGATTCAAGATGCCCATAATCCTTTGAAAATTTTATCTATCACACAACACTGCAGAGTTTCTCAAACATGGCAGTATTTCAAATATTTATTTTTCCTCGCCAATTTTGCAGCTTTGATAAAAATGCCAAGAGATTATCATGAAAAGAGATAATATTCGTTCCTTTATCAGGTTAAGCTTATGTTGATGTTCGAATATATCTGCTAGGTATGATACTCTCTCTAACCACACCATGTCGTTAAAGTATATCAAAAGGTCTTGTTTCCTTGCACTTCCAAGAACATCTTGATTTCATCTTTCAATTCAAAAACACGATTGACATTTCCTATTGACAGTCAGCGTACTGAAACATGACGCACCATCCGTACAAGCCCCACAGCCGTTTTCCCATTTTAATCCTCCAGTTTCAAAAAACGTATTTATTTTCTCCATGATATCTTCACAAAACATCAACTCTTATTTGCTAACATCTGAATGAATATATTTCACAAAGACAAGCAACTGCGAACATTAACTCACGTCAGTCGATTCGTCAACTTGAAAATCAAACAATGGTGAAAGCTTGATTTCATTTTAAATTTGTCTTTTAACATAAGCCGCTGCATAGTATTATTAGAGATATTTGTTGCATCTTTACTGCACTGGAATCCCCAAGAATTAATTTTACCATCTTCAGCATACATGGTTTGATGAGATTTTCTCCTTTGTGTGAGAGGTTTTTTGCTTGGCAATTTCTAATACTACTTCATATGATGCTTGCACTAATGCTGTGTTTTCTTGGTGAAAACGTTCTGTTCGATCAAGTCTCTGACGTTTGCAACTACATATCTTGTATGGTGTGTTCCGAATGACTCGTCTCAAATTGACGTTTGGAAGTTTTCATAGACTCCTGACTAAGAACAACTTTGCACAGTACAAATTGTTTATTCTCTGTTCCATTTCCAGTGATGTTAGTAATATTTTTCTAAATATTTATGTTTTTTATTCATTGCTAGAGTTTAAGTCTACCAGTTGGCGACCCCCCAGAAAGCCCTTCGCGACCCCCAAGGGGGTCACGACCCCCAGGTTGGGAACCCATGATCTAAGACATAAGTGTGAAAACCTACTGTGATTCAAGCGCTGTGATTTAAAGTTCAGACCGTAAGGATCTCTTTCGTAGTCGGTCACAAACTCGTCCAGACCTAGAGACTTGATGGGTGGGTACTGGGGTCCCAGTAAATTAAAACTTTCATTAGCTCAGAATATATTAAACAAATTAATTTTAAACATGTTTAGATGTATTTTAGGCTTTAAGTTACCAAGCTTAAACAGTTCCGAGTTTTTAAACTAAAATAAACCTTGATTCTTTTAAAAACTCTCAAGCAAGGATATGTAGGCCTATATATATTTAAAGTCCAATGAACTCTATTTTATGCTGAATGCATGTAAGTTTTAATCGTAAGACTTTCAAATAGGCCTACATAGGTATTTATTTACCTGTCTAAAATCGTGTGGTTTAAGACACTTCATGGCTTGTATTTACCTGTCTAAAAAGGTTTGGGACACTCGTATGTCCCAGGTTTGTATTATAAAGTTCCCTTTTCAAACCTGACGTTCTGTCTATAGGGCAAGTGAAGTAGAGTTCACTTGTTTCTGTGCCCTCGGCATATGAAGAGATAGTGTGGTCAGCACTATGCCCAGCCTCCTTTACTTACCCTAACGTGAGTTAGGTACCCATCAGAGTTGGGTGGACTCAGCGACGGTCTACTGATTTGAACCCGCATTTGAACTCGAGACTTACGGGTTAGCAGTCCAGTTCTCTAGACCACCCCGTCCCATAGGTTTGTATTTACCTGTCTAAAATCGTGAGGTTTAGGACACTCGTATGTCCCTGGCTTGTATTTACCTGTCTAAAATCGTGAGGTTTAGGACACTGCATGGCTTGTATTTACCTGTCTAAAATCGTGAGGTTTAGGACACTCGTATGTCCCTGGCTTGTATTTACCTGTCTAAAATCGTGAGGTTTAGGACACTACATAGCTTGTATTTACCTGTCTAAAATCGTGAGGTTTAAGACACTGCATGGCTTGTATTTACCTGTCTAAAATCGTGAGGTTTAAGGCACTACCTGGCTTGTATTTACCTGTCTAAAATCGTGAGGCCTAGGACACTCGTATGTCCCTGGCTTGTATTTACCTGTCTAAAATCGTGAGGTTTAGGACACTCGTATGTCCCTGGCTTGTACATCCCCTGCTGAACAAACTTTTTCTTGGCTGTAAAAGGGCGATCAATCCGAAATCTTGTAACTATTTGCGGTTCTTTCTCTTGATGTTCCAGTATCCTCGGCAGTCGTTTATCTCCCCTTAAACAAACAGCAGTAATTGTGAATGGGCAATATACATCTAAAATGTATTCAGTCTCTAATTTTTGCTGATTTTTTTTTTACCCACGCCTTAATGCCACGTATCATCACAAAAAGTCAGACCTCTCCCCTCAAAGGACTTGACACTCCAGCCTACCCCCCCCCCCGCCCCCTTTCTTTATAAAAAAAAAACAACATCAGATGATGTATAGAGTTATTTTTCAAAAACTTCGCTATATATAAAGATTGACACGATTGTAGAAACGGACAATACCAGAATTCTTACAATAAACCTATCCGGCATCTACAAATCCAAAACATGCGGCATGACGCTAATATAACATCCAGTACATGTTATAGATTGTTATATAGATCTATGAACTGACCAATCTCGTCTCATGACGCCATTAAAGCATACAAGACACATCCATTAAAATATTATTTCAAGAAACCAACATATCTCGTTATACTTAAGCTAGTAAAACAAACACACCAAATACTGTAAAACATTTCTATCAATAAACCAACCCATCTCGCCTGATAATGCTATTCAACCAAACACAAAACACCCATTAAAATGCGATATCAAGAAACCAACTTATATCGTTATAGCTAGTAAAATAAACACCACATAGTGTTACAAATTTTTTTTATCAACAAACCAACTGATTTCGCTGGATGACGCTATTAACACAATCACAATACATCCATTAAAATTATATATCAATAATTCAATTTATCTCGCTCGGGCAGATGAGGCTCGTTAGCTGGGGACAGCCACTCTTCTAGGAGAGACAACTCCAAAATTAAACAACTGCTGCCTTGTAGTTTGTTCTTGGTTGGACAAAGGCTATGGAAGCAAATCCAAAAAGAAAAGCAGGCTGAAATCGGAGTCAATGGCCTCAATGGCGCATAACCAGTTGACACGTAACGCTTAATTGTGTTGGAGGCGTGGTCGAGTCGGCAAAAAGCTCATGGTTGATAAATTCGAACAAAGTCTCGAGTTCAAACCCACTGGCAGATAAATCTCGATCTCCTTCAACACTAAAAATTAAGAACGAAGAAGAAGAAGAAGAAGAAGAATTTATCTCGCAATACTGGTTCAGTAAAACAAACACACCAAATAGTGTAAGAATGTTCTATCAACAAACCTACCTGTCTCGTTTGATGACCTCCCTTTGTCCAGGTATGGTGCCGTAGATCCACGGTCTCATGGCATCCACCGTGTTACGCTTGGGTGGCTGTGGATCATAGACCAGGTAACGAAAGTCTGGCGGCGGTCGCTTCCAGATATCCGGTTCCACTTTCTCCGCCTGAGCCCTGAATATTTGAAATCAATTACACACAAACCATATCACGATAAAAAAAATTACACTGAAACCATATCACGATGAAAAATTTACACTGAAACCATATCACGATACAAAATTTACACTGAAACCATATCACGATAAAACATTACACACAAACCATATCACGATAAAAAATGTACACTGAAACCATATCACGATAAAACATTACACACAAACCATATCACGATAAAAAATGTACACTGAAACCATATCACGATAAAACATCACACTGAAACCATATCACGATAAAACATTACACACAAACCATATCACGATAAAACATCACACTGAAACCATATCACGATAAAACATTACACACAAACCATATCACGATAAAACATCACACTGAAACCATATCACGATAAAACATTACACACAAACCATATCACGATAAAACATTACACACAAACCATATCACGATAAAACATTACACACAAACCATATCACGATAAAACATTACACACAAACCATATCACGATAAAACATTACACACAAACCATATCACGATAAAACATTACACACAAACCATATCACGATAACAAAATTACACTGAAACCACATAACGATAAAACATTACACACAAACCATATCACGATAAAACATTACACTGAAACCATATCACGATAAAAATTTTAAAGTCGTGTCAGTTTCAATAGCCTAGTTGTTTTAGAAAGTACAGCAAGCGGTTTGTAAAATCTGGCTATTTGATCATGTCTTTAGAGTGTAAACATTTGCCGAAACGTTTAGTATATTACATTAAATATGAAAGCTTATGGAGTAAAGTCAAAACACTAATGAGTTTATTTGCCAGGGTATAACTTGAGTCAGACTATTTACAGAGTAAGGTATCTATACCTTACGCCCCCCCCCCCCTCATCTATAACAGTTAAGTCAGAACATTTATATGAGAATAAATCTATACATTAACCCACCACACAAACACATATACATAGAAGCACACACACGAAAACAGTTAAGTCAGAACATTTACAGAACGACGTCTCTACACCTTGACCCCCCTACACACACACCTATAACAGTTGTTGAGACAGAATATTTATATAAAGTCGGAACAATACACCAACGTATAATACAATTGTGACAGACCATTTAAAATACAACTGATCTACACCTTAACACTTACACTAACACCCACATCAACACCCACATCAACACCCACACCAACACCCAAGCCAACACCCACACCAACACCAGCACCCATACCAACACCCACACCCACACCAACACCTACACCCACATCAACACCCATACCAACACCCACACCCACAACAACAGCCCCACCCACACCAACACCAACACCCACACCAACACCCACACCCATACCAACAACCCCACCCACACCAACACCCACACCCACACTAACCCCCCCCCCCCCCCCACTCCTCTGGTAACTAAAGCATTTAGCTCACTTGAATGTCTGGCTCCGTGTCTGTAGCAGGCCATCCTCAGCATCAAACGACGTCTTGTTATCAAAGTAAAACTGACCGTCTAGGTTGAGAGAGCCGGCTGCCAGTGGCTCAAGGCGCGAGGAGCTGGTGCGGCTCACAACACGGCTCATCTGAGTACACCAGGTTCATTATGGGGAGGATAGAAATAACGGTCTCAGATCAGAATGACTATGGTGTAGATAGAGTAGAGTTCATCTATTTCTCTGACCATAGAGTGGTCAGCACTATGCTGAGAGGCCTTTTTTTTGGGTCTTGTACCCACCAAATATGAGTTGAACCAGGCACCACTATGAGCCCCACCCCCCAACCCGCCTTAGAAAAAAAAACAACCTAGATACTATTGGGTGAGTGATCTACCGCTCCACCTCTAGATTACGCCGTGCCAATAACTTTACTTATTGTAAAACATAGCCTGTTGAAATATATATATATATATATATATATATATATATATATATATATATATATATATATATATATATATATATATATATATATATATATATATATATATATATATATATATATATATATATATATATATATATATATATATATATATATATATATATATATATATATATATATATATATATACATATATATGTGTGTGTGTTAATTTAATATATGTTATATTATATAATTATAAAATATTATATATACATATATATATAGACCTATATATCAATAATTATATATGTGTGAATACGTGTATTAAATACAATTATATTTATATAATATTATATATATATATATATATATATATATATATATATATATATATATATATATATATATACATATATACATATATACATATACACATATATATATATATATATATATATATATATATATATATATATATATATATATATATATAAATATATATATATATATATATATATATATATATATATATATATATATATATATATATATATATATATATATATACATATATATATATATGTATATTATATATATGTATATATATATGTATATATATATATATATATATATATATATATATATATATATACATATATATATATATATGTATATATATATATGTATATATATATGTATATATATATATATATATATATATATATATATATATATATATATATATATATACATATTTATATATATACATACACACCTTGTTTGTATACTAACCCTATAGACTAGAAGTATAATATCCTAGGTCCCCTAGCACCAAACTACACACTACACAGACACAGCGTCACCCATACGGCCTAACTTATCTGAATAACAAAAGACCAATCCGGCTCTGCGTCTTGGCTTTTCCTTTGATCGGAGTTGAGGTTCTTGATTCAATTTGAAGAAATATTTCAATACCACTTGGACAGGATAATCGATGATATCGCTAACTACACAAGCCACACTGATCCAAATCACTTCACGTGGATATAGTCGTTAGATCAGTAATTAGAATTCTATCAAAAGCATATCGAAGCTTACAGTTAGGTAGAGAAAAAAAAACCCAGATTACATAATGGCTTTCTCCTGTCAGCATTGGCTAGAAGACGGGCTGTATTACTGACATGCTATTAAAGGCTCAAACAATATTTAGTTCATGGAAGGCCAGGCCAATTTAAGATCGTAAGGGAAATGGCTTTCGTGTAAATTAGTAAGGGAGATAACTTCAAGTGCCTACCTAAATAAAAGGGCAGTAACTTGGCAAGTTAACAGACTAGTATAAAAATGTCTTCGATTAGTACTTTTATAATATTTATGAAATCGGGAAACATAAAATGCTGTTATAAAATGCTGCTATAAAATAGTTGTAAACAGCTTTTGTTATCGCAATCAGTATTAGTCAACATAAGCACACAAACAAACAAACACACAGGGCAAAAACACGTACATACACACACGTACAAAGGCGTAAAATGAAACACATTCTCACACAATGGCTAATATTCAAACACGAAAAAAAAAAAACACGAAATAACAAAACAAAACATTAGATATCTTTAAATAGATCTGGTAGGTCACACAAAAAAGAACAACATACGGTACCTAATATTCAATTTTTGCCTTATCTAACTCTGACATAACCCGATATGCCAAATTGTTAGAAGGTAATCGCCTTTTCATTGCATCCCCCCCCCCCCCCCCCCATAACCCTTAGAGTCACAGAACGAAATAAAGTCAGGTTTTTATTGATTCCAGTAAATCACTCAAGCACAGAAACAATGTCATGGTTTAGTGGACCGTGACCTTACCCCCCTGGGTCCCAGCACCCCCCCACCCTCCCGGGCACTTGTTTATGCCAAACAACAGATTAAACCTCTTGAACTGCCAACAGGTTAGGCCGGTACGCCCCTCTTGTCGTTTATTCCCGCCGGGGCCATTAAATCAATAATCGTATCAATCAGATAGTACAGGACACCGAACGTGTTGCATTCGATAATGCAGTTTAAAAAAAAATCTTTTAAATAGCCCACGACTTAGCAACAAGAACTTATGTTTTATACGTGTGTTAGAGCTCGTTTTTATTTACATACAAAGTTGCTTGATATTGAAATAAACAAGCAACAAATTCTACATTAAAGATATACAATAGCATTTTTGTATTATAATTTTCTTGGTACATGTAACCGGATTTTTTAAATAGAAATTTCAGTTGATTAAGTACCGAAAACTACAATATAAAATACATGTAATAAAAATTTCAAAAAGAGAATGAATGTTTTACAAACTGAAACTGCCAGTTGGTACGAGTGAATGCCACATGCAGGCCGTATTCTATTGCCAGTTGTTTGTGGTGGTAATGATGGTGGTGGTGAGTGTGTGTGGTGTGTGTGTGGGGGGGGGGGGGTGGGAGAGGGGTATTTCCACATATTAGACGCGAGCGTGGCGTAACTGGAAAAACATCCACTGGCAGTCAGTATATTAAACACAGGTTAACTTAACATTGGTATCTGTATCTGTGATAGATAGGTTGACAGTTTGACACAAAATAGAGTTGGTCTATTCATACCTGTATTTATATTTGATTGAAATACGAGTGTTAGTCTGTTTACACTTGTCATTGATAGTTGACAAAACAGAATTCGACCTTGGTATCAGTAACCAAATGTCGTCAGACATACACAAACACATACAAACACATACACACACACACACCCACACACCCACACACACCCACAAATAACCCCATCCCACTAAAAAACATTTCTTAAAAAATAATTTAAAAAAAAAACCTCTGGAATTTTACTAACACCGCCGGTAACTTAAAACACCTAAATATTTTATTTAACCGAAAAAATGTGTTTATTTAATGTTCCAGCTCTAAACCAACTTTTCTCTATTTCCCTAACGTGTCTGTCTGATGCTAAAATACTGTCAATTGTTTAAAGGGAAATAACTGCTGTTGATATTTTTCAGTTCTCTGACTTGATTTATGCTACAACCATCGGTCATTAGGCAGGTTTTTAACCATGTTGTAGACAGCGTTAAGGTAAAAAATATCTGAGTGATGTGTACAGATATTTTACAAATTGGTTTTTGTTAATTTCTCTAGTAAAAGACATACAGAATTGTATAGCAGAATTGTAGTGCAGAAATCTATAGTAGAAATGTATAGAAAAATGTACGAAAGAAACGTATAGTAATATGTATAGTAGAAATATATTGTACAAATGTATCTTCGTTGTACACTACTCTGTTGTGGATGCTGATGTACATTAAAATATGTCAGGTCAATATTTTATGTACAGACGTATCACAATGATATAGCCTGAATTTTATGGCAGAAATTTAAAAAAATGAGGGTCAAGGTCAGTTTCATGTGTGGATAAAAGCGGTTATGGTAACTTAAAGATACAACATCCACTTGGATAAAAGCGTTACGTATGACTTTAAGATACAACATTTGTGTTGATAAAAGCGGTTATGGTAAATGTAAAGATAAAACATCCATTTGGATAAAAGCGTTACGTATGACTTTAAGATACAACATTTGTGTTGATAAAAGCGGTTATGGTAAATGTAAAGATAAAACATCCATTTGGATAAAAGCGTTACGTATGACTTTAAGATACAACATTTGTGTTGATAAAATCGGTTATGGTAAATGTAAAGATAAAACATCCATTTGGATAAAAGCGTTAAGTATAACTTTAAGATACAACATCCAGAAATTAAGTACCTTAAACTAATATAGAGACGACAAACAAGACATATCTGAAGCTAGTGGCTTAAACATGTGGATACAATATTTTGATGAATGGATCTACGTAAGTTTGTCTGATGTTGAAAGGGGTGGGCGTGGTAGAGTTGGTAAAGTCGAGTTCTTGGTTGGACAAAAGCTATGGAAGCAAATCCAAAAACAAAAGCAGGCTGAAATCGGAGTCAATGGCCTGAATGGAGCATAATCAGTTGACATGTATACTTAATTGTGTTGGAGGGGGATCTCTCCCAACACTAAAATTATGAATGAAGAAGAAGGAGAAGATGAAACTAGTGACTTAAATATCTGTGTACACTATATTGATGAATGGATTTACGTAAGTTTGTCTGATGTTAAAAGGGACTTAATCTAATTGACACAACACTACGAGAAACACAGGTGTAATGTAATTGTAATGTTATGTGTTGGAGCGGGGTTAAAATCACACTGTTTAACTTTATTTGCGTATTAGTGTGTTTGTCTTCCTCAATTTGAAATACAATTTATTTTATTTTCTTTATTATTCCACACACGCTACAAATTGATTTTTTTTTTAAAATTGACAATTTATGCAAATCATTAAAAACAACAACGCATTTTCGTTTAAATTTAAAGAATGAAACGAAACAAAAAAAAGAGAGCCACATTTTAAACAAACCGCTAGATCACGTGACGAGCTAATAGAAACTCGTGCAACAGCTTGACCTCCAGCTCGCTGTGCAGACGATGTGTCTAAATTACGTAAGTGTGAAGAAACAACCAAGACAGTCTATAACGATCACCTAGTTTACCTGTTGTTGTTTTTTTCCAACTCGAGGTCTATGACCTGTTATACTTAATATTGATTATTTTTAGGTAAACCAATACGTCCGATCGATTAGTTTAAGCTCGTTAACATAGTTTTTTTTAATCCAAAAATAAATTTTAAAGACGGTTTGCGTGTGGTTGGTTGTGACGGGGAGGAGTGAAGACAGTGTCCACTAGCGCACGTGCATCGGGTTAGTTACATGTGCACCTTTGTGGAGCGGTGAGTAGCACGTGATTGGGTAAATGGTTGGACAGGGGGGGGGGGTGATAACTGCCTCGTGTTTCAAGAATATGTAAACAATACTTTTTTTTTATAACTACGTATTGTTTACCTAGGAAGCCGGACGTTTTCTTGAACGGACACATGCCCGAATGCGACAAACGCCCAAATGGACACTTGCCCCAATGAACTAAGAGAGACTCCTGACCTCTGACATACCCAGAATACCAGATACTACTGACCCATGACGTCATTCAAACAGGAGGTCACTTGAAACTTCCTGTCTTTGCGTGCTCACCGACTTGCAGGTGTATTAGATGACATTTACACCTTAAAATGACATTCAGACATTCATGACATTTTGAACCATAACCGTAACGTAAAAAAAAAAACAACACTTTTAATTTTAACCATCTCCGATATACACATATTTTTAACCCTAACCATCGGCGACTGATACATTTTCTTTAGTACCGTCTGTTAATTTCAACCAGGTCTCTCTGCTGATTCACATGCGAAGCTTAGATCAAAATGGATGTGTTTTCTTAGAGTTTTTTTCTGCTGTCAAACTATGTCTGTAAACTTTTCTTTCTTTTTGTAGATTCTACCAATGTGTTTTTGTGTTTTGTAAGTAAACTCTACTGATTTTTTTTCTTTATTTTATACGTATTTTGTTTTGTAGATTTTTTTAAATTAATAAATTCTACACATCTCTATCTTTTGTTTTGTAGATTATTTGTCTTTTTATTTTGTAGATTCTTAATTTTTTATCTTATTTTCCGTGACGACTCAATACATTATTTTGAATACATAGATCTAGATACCACTAAATTGTTTTAATTTCTTCACACTAGCAAAATCTATTAATTAAATTTCTTTAAAAAAAAAAACAATGATAGTTTTGTTTATTGAATAAATTGTAATTGTTTACCCCTAGCCTTTGTTGGTTTGAAGACTCCATTTTAAACTATCTTGAAAGGAAAAGAAAGATATCATGTTCAAAACTTCTCATATTGATCGAACACATTTTGAGTAATAGGCTGTAGACTTCGTTATTTTTCTAAAACAAGCTCAAAATGCTAATGGACCTTTATCTTTATAAAAACTCGGTCAAACCTGCTTAGCACTTTTTTTTTAACTCTTTACCATTTTAGCAGCCCAAAATATTTTGTAACAGATTTTGTGTTAATAGAATTTTTATAACATGTATTTATTGTTTTTTAATATTTTGTTATTGTGTTCAGTTTTTAAAATCCGATTATGTTGTTATAGATTTACTTTCGTTTAACATCGCATGACGTTAATTTTTTTATTTATACAACGTCACAGAATAATTTAACCATGACCTATTTTCCCACAACGGCCTAATTACAAGTCACTTCGCCCCGACCGAGAAATTATTTATCGCCTTTAAAAAAAAATGGGGGGTGGGGGAAGGGAGGGAATATTCGATTTCGAGCTGCAAGCCAAACTGGTCAATAGGAGTCATTGAACCTGATGTAACGGGACATTGTAGCCAGGTGTGCTGTAACATCACAAGCCTAAAAATTCACGAGCGGCCACAAGAAGATAATAATAAAGTGTGCGTGAGCATAAATCGCGTCATATTAGTGTGAGGTTTGATCTAGAAAATATGTACTTGGATTCATGCACTGTTGTGTGTATTGTGTGTTCTGATTTAAAAGTGCTTGCGTAAATTCTAATCTAAGTAAGATTATTGGTTTCTCGTATGGAATACAAAGTGAATCGTAATGTGTTATATGATTAATAGTTACATTAATTATTTATGACTTTCAATTCATATTATTGAATCTAAGTGTTAAATTGCAACAGAAATGTATACTTATTACTTAAATAGAATAAATAAATAAACACTGTAGAAGCGACAATTTGTTGGCAAATGTGGCCAGACAAGCAATAGCGGAGTGAACCTAATGTAGGCAGATGTGTAAAGATGGATGTGTTGATAGCCAATGTGAAGTAAAAAAAAATAACTTAAAAAAAATACTATAATAAAATAAACATTGCCACTGAATTGAGTTTAATATTAGATTTCTTGTAAGAATTGTAAAGATAAACATTTGATAATAAACAGCGATTGAGTAATACTGCTAAATAGGAGGGTTATTATTTATAATACTGTAAACCAGGGGTTCCCAACCTTTTTTTTACTCTAGAGCACATTCTAAAATATCGGTAGGGTGGCGGGCACCACCTATTTTAAATCGACAAATTCCTTCCAGAGGCGTAGCGACCCTTCCCGTCACCCGGGGACAAAACTTTTGATTTGCACCCCCCCCCCCCCTCAAACTTTCATTTTGCACCCCCCCCCTCAAACTTTCGATTTGCACCCCCACCTCAAACTTTTGATTTGCACCCCCCCCCCCCCTCAAACTTTCGATTTCCATCACCTTCAACCTTTGAATAATGTTTATGAAAAAAACTCTGTCTCTGTCGAATAGTGAGAGGCGGGCACATACGAATCGTTCGGCGGGCGCCATGGCGCCCGCGAGCACAGGGTTGGGAACCCCTGCTGTAAACTATACAGTTATATTATTGTACGTCGCTTTAGAACTGCCTAAGTAGGAGGGTAGATTATATAATTATATAATTGTACATTGTTTTAAAGCACAAAGCAGACCACGCAATTTTTTGGCGAGAATCGGTTACCGTGCTACTAAGTATGGTGATAGCCGGTTTCCGTATCACTAGATATAGATAGTGACAGCCGGTTCCCATGCCACTAAATATTGTGGCAGCCGGTTTCCGTGTTACTAAATATTGCGAGTGCCGGTTCCCGTTACAGCTACCCCTAGGTTTCTTTCAGAAGTGTGTCAAACACATCAGACATACACACCCAATTTGTGGTCATTGAATGCTCAGTCGCGTCGCTAGGTCGGGTGTCACCCGGTACTGTAACTACCAGTGACATCCCCACTCCACAATTGTGCATTTTCAATTTGGTATCACCCCACTGCCCCTACTGTTTTCTTATTTTAGCTCGATAAAAAATTATTTTGACAGTAAATTTGAAGATTTTTTGTTTTTTGTGCCACCCCCTAAATAGTGTCACCCAGTGCGGTGCGCACCCACCACCCCCCACTCATTACGATACCCCTGTGTACATTATATATCCACATTATATCTAATCAATCTCACTGAGTGATAATCTCGGATTTATTGCCAGTTTGACTTTAATCTGTAAACAGTGACATTTTCTAACACTATTGATTTATTTATTGTTTTCCATAGATTTAACTCAGTTGTAAACAGTAACATTTTCTAACACCATGTTAATTCATTGTTTTCCATAGATTTAAGTCAGTTGAGATAAACTTCGAGGTAAATTAGTTGAATGAGGTCAATCGATCGTTTAAATTGTGACGTCTAGAGTGCTATTGTCTTAATGATTTTAATTACTGGACCTTACGCAATCGCACGAATAAAAAACAACTCATTATAGTATCATATCTTAGTTAATAAGGATTAAAACACACAATTTAAGGGTAACTATAGGTAACTAAGGCGGATGGTGGTGGTCAGGGCATGGGAGGGAGGGGTTAGCAGCCAGCACGCGAGCACAACCTGACACATAACATTACTGGTGGTATAATAACACGGGGCGCATTATACCAATGGACGCATAACAGTACTGGAGGCACAGAACGTATAATACCACTGGACGCATTATACCATGGGACGCTTAATACCACAAGAACCAGAACATTATTGAACTCTTTAAATTAATGGACGTACACTATGACTGGACGCATAACATAACTGGACGCACACTATGACTGGACGCATAACATAACTGGACGCATAACATAACTGGACGCATAACATAACTGGACGCATAACATAACTGGACGCATAACATGACGATAAGCGTTTCGACGGACAGTCATTCTTTGTATACATATCTTAACGACTGGTATTAACATCGTGGGGAGATATTAGAGTAGAGTCGCCTGAAACACTCTAAATGCGAATTTTGTAATGTTTGAGGTTACGTGTAAGGTTAAGGGGTATAGCTACGACTATATTTATTATCAATGTGCAGTAACTACGTGTAGATCAAGCTTAAATCCGATTAAAATGCCGATTCTGGATAAAAATCCGTTTTCAATGACATTTTTCGTTAAATTTGAAGTTGAGGTGGTGATTTTAGTTTGCTTTGGTTTAGAGAAGAGACAACACTATCAACCTAGCGCCCGTTGTATCTCTTCCACAACTCTTCATTTATCTCGTTAAAAAATAATATACATCTAATTGTGTCATAGTTCATGTCACTCTACACTACACTGTCATCGTATCTTAGCTTACGTATCAAGTTTGAAACAAATCGGCTGTGAATAGATTGTACAGATGCATTTTTTAGCATATGTAGCACTCAACGTTACTGGAGAAGTAAATGATTGAGTAATATTTTTTTAAAATTGAGTAATAATTTTTTTTTTGCTTGCCTCAGACATGTAATTTACAGCAACAGTTGTGTGTTCGCTTTAGTATTACATTTTTTTTTTTTTTTTTTTTTTTTTTTTTTTTTTTTTTTTTTTTTTTTAGAAATTTATACATCGAGATAAATCTGAGATAAATTGTTAATGAAGACAATGCTGTTTGTGTAGTTGCAACAATGATTACGATTAGTATTACAGTTTTATGCTTCTTTGAAACACAACGGGAAACACCTTAATAATAAATCAAATTACAAAAGTTTTTTATAAGTTTCTAATTGTACTAATCAAAAAGGTTTTTTGGTTTGAAAATAATATATTGTGTATTTTTTTAAAAATAGTAATTTTTAACATAACTTTAAACAAAAAGTTTAAAATTACTTTTTTAAAAGTATAATATCATAATTTACATTTTGTTGAATTAATTTAGAATTTCCTAGTGTCTTAAATTGCTTTAGGGATTATTGTCAGGGGCTGCCCCCCTTTATAAATTTAAATTAATAAATGGGAAGTAATTTACACAAATTGCTATTTAATTCTAATTTTAGAAAAAGCTGTAACGGGTTATTTTCACCCCCCTTATTCAGCACCATTGTTCATAAAGTTGCTGTGCATGTTCCAATATGTGCCTGATAAACATAATGTTATTTTGGTATTGTTAATCTTTTTTTTTTCCTTCTTCTGAGAAAACTTTTGTTAACATTTCTGAAAATCCTTTCAATGTTACCTTAACAAGTTTGGCGTTGTCGAGTTGGTATAGCTCATGGTTGCTGAACCGAAAAATCCTGAGTTCGAACTACCGGGCAGATGAGGCTCAATAGCTGGGGACATCTAGGCCAGAGTTTCTTCCAGGCATCTCTTCGGGAAGGCTCTGACCCCCCCCCCCCCCACTCCCCCCAAAGAAAATCTTCCCCTCCCCCCCCCCAAACGAGATGGAATTTATATAGTAAACATATATTTTTACTAATGTCCGCCCCCCCCCCCAGATAATGTAGACCGCTCCCTTGAAAATATCAAGTGCCCCGCCCCCCCCCCGGAGAAAAAAGTCTGGAAGAAACACTGATCTAGGCGAAACAACTCCGAAATCAAACAACTGCTGCCTTGTAGTTTGTTCTAGGTTGGACAAAGGCTATGGAAACAAATCCAAAAAGTAAAGCAGGCTGAATCAACGGTATATAAGGCGCAGAACAAGTTGAGAAGTATTACCTAATTATGTACCAAGAGCGAGGCAAGCCTCCTTAATGCCTGTCTCTCTGTTTGTATAATGCTGATTTAAGCTATCTGGATTGTAAAGTTTATGTTTTGTAAAGTAAATGTTGCTATTTATCTTAAAATAATTTTTAAAAACTCTTATCAGAAGTTTTTAAAATTCAATTTCTCTCTGTTTTAAACTTTTCTCAATGAAAGTAATTCTCTCAACGATGTTATGATCCGAGAGGTCATAGAATTAGACCAGTGAAATATTTCAGACAAAAATTTCACAGAACCATGAACTTCCGGTCAACAACATGGCTGTCCCGTGGCCTGCTGACCCTGTTGTACATGACCCTTCAACCAGTCTCTTCTACAAACCAAACTGAACAGACAGCGACATCTAGCGAGGTTCAAAGTTCAACAAACGTTTCCTCAGTAAATATCGCGCAGTTCCAGCAGTTTAAAAACAACGACAGTGATTCGCATGATTCTGCTCAAGATGAGACTCCCGTGCTACTAATGGACCACGTCCAGAACGTAGATCAGGATTTTGGTTGTCCATCTGCCTGCACGTGCTCTAGAAATTCTAGTGCTCACGTGACTATTGAGTGCACGAAACTCGACACGTTGCAGACCGTACCTGGCATGGACAAGGTCAAGGCTGCTGAAGTTGTTCGGATGTAAGTAGCTTACCTTTCTCTTAGTTAGATACGGTTTTATTTTCTACCACGCGAGCGATAGTTTCTCGTAGATAGCCAAAGTAGTCACTGACACACAACGAAACTCAAACTTACACGGACACACCAAGACACACATCCTTGTCACTGACACACCATTACACACAATTCCATCACCGACACATTATTAAAAACAGAATAGATCTAAATTTCTTGATGTGAACTGCTCATGTTTATTAATTTATTATCAACTTACACAAACCTGATGTTAAAGAGCTTCTGTGGCCAAAATGTTTTAGAAAGATCGAACCAACAGATCGATGATTTATTTAATAGAATTTCAACTGTCATATCATACATCTTATTGTAAAGTAAAGTTTCCCTTTCAAACGTAAAGTAGAGTTAACTTGTTTCTGTGATCTCGGCATATGAAGAGATAGTATGGTCAGCACTAAGCCCAGCCGCCTTTACGTTCCCTAACCACAGTTAGGTACCCATCAGAGCTGGATGGACTCAGGGACTGTCTACTGACTTGAACCCGGATTCGTACTCGAGACTTACGGGCTAGACCACTCCGTCCCTACATCTTATTGTAAGTTACCTACAATTTAGCATTTTATTTTTACCATGTTTATTTTCATAAGTAATTAAAGGAAGAAACAAAAACACGAGGTCTATTTAAAAAAAGAAAACGTAAGTTAAAGTAAGTTGACGAAGTAATATCATACAATTAGCTAACATTTAAATAGTAATGTTTTTTTTTCGCCAAAGAGTACCGACAATTAGTAATGTTATTTATAAAACAACCCACACACTTTCTTATCTTAAGTGTCATGCATCCAGATATTTGAACGACGCCATTATAGCAAGCATCGATTTTCTACCTCAAAATAAATACACTTGTCCTTGTATTTAAAAATAAGCCCATTTGTTAACATCATTTCTCAAATTTTGCTTAAAAAAAAACAACGACAGAACTGTTTGTCGTTTGGCCTTGGTGAAGACAAATGGTTTGTGCATCGATTTCAATTCTTTGTTAAGTCAGTCAGTTATGCCCCGGAGCAGTTTGCTGTAAAACTTGAACCTATTTCAAGCCGATCTCTGTGATATTTATCTCCTTGAATGGAGAGTTCTAAGCTCTGACGTCATTCTGTTTTCGAGTCGAAAGGCTAAAACTAGAACTGGCAAGAAACTCAATATTGCTATCTCCGACATCTGTGGGAGATTGAAGGACTGACTTTTGTACTACATGAGTCACCTCAGCTCTAATTGGTGATTGACATCGCGTCAGTAAGTCGCACCTGAGTTCACTCAGCTCCGACTAGTACCTGGCACGGGTTATGGTAGCAGAGTATTGTGCTGACCACACAATCCCCTCACAAACTGAGCTCAGAGAAACGGATGAGCTACAATTCATTAGCAGCAGTGGCGTCGCTAGGTCGGGTGTCACCCGGTGCGGTCCACACCCCCCCCCCCCCCCGCCTCACGACGCTTCTGATTAGCAGCACTGACTAAGTTAGTGAAAAATTGTTTTTTTTTTACTTTGTTAGCTTAATTATAAGTCCCTGCCGTGTGCTATTTTTACAATGTCAATACAAAATTTAATTCGATTTAATTTCCGAATTATTTTTTTTTTCATGTAATAAAACTGTTAGGTGTCAGAGTAAACGCGCCTATCAAGACAGACTTCTGTAAATTTTAGCAGACGTGTTAGACCAAAGGTTTTTAACGTTTTTGGAGGGACCGAACCCTACCAGTTTTAATTTATGTTCATTCATCGAACCCTTCGTAATAGTTGTATCGTCAGCACTGACAAAATCCAATCATGAATCATATGAGTCGAGTGTGTGTCTTGACCTCCGCCGAACCCCTGAGACTGACTCACCGAACCCCTGGTGCTCAATCCAGGGGGTTAAGAACCACTGTGGTAGAAGAAAGAATTTCATTGAGACAAAATGTAATTTCACGCTGAGAGTTGAAGATTCTCGATGGTAATCTGCGAACCATAACACGTTAATTAACGCTGAGGAAGATTCTCGATGGTAATCTGCGAACCATAACACGTTAATTCACGCCGAGAGTTGAAGATTCTCGATGGTAATCTGCGAACCATAACACGTTAATTCTCACCGAGAGTTGAAGATTCTCGGTGGTAATCTGCGAACCATAACACGTTATTTCACGCTGAGGAAGATTCTCGATGTTAATCTGCGAACCATAAAACGTTATTTCACGCTGAGGAAGATTCTCGATGGTAATCTGCGAACCATATAACGTTATTTCACGCTGAGGAAGATTCTCGATGGTAATCTGCGAACCATAAAACGTTATTTCACGCTGAGGAAGATTCTCGGTGGTAATCTGCGAACCATAAAACGTTATTTCACGCTGAGGAAGATTCTCGATGGTAATCTGCGAACCATAAAACGTTATTTCACGCTGAGGAAGATTCTCGGTGGTAATCTGCGAACCATAAAACGTTATTTCACGCTGAGGAAGATTCTCGGTGGTAATCTGCGAACCATAACATGTTATTCCACGCTGTGGAAGATTCTCGATGGTAATCTGCGAACCATAAAACGTTATTTCACGCTGAGAGTTGAAGATTCTCGGTGTTAATCTGCGAACCATAACACGTTATTTCACGCTGAGGAAGATTCTCGATGGTAATCTGCGACCCATAAAACGTTATTTCACGCTGAGGAAGATTCTCGGTGGTAATCTGCGAACCATAACACTTTTTTTTTACAACAGCTGTGGGTGCTGTATACATTTTAAATTAATTGTTACCAACTTACCGCTTGTTTCTGTGATACAACGTTGAGAATTATCATCAGCTGAATTCACTCTAAAATGTTGCCTGTAGTTTATTGTGTTGAAAAGTTTATGTATAAAAGTAAAGTAAAGCTCACTTTTCAGACCTAAAGATCCATAGGGCAGATGAAGTAGAGTTCATATGTTTCTTGACCGCTGCATGTGAAGGGATGGTGTGGTCAGCACTATGCCCAGCCACCTTTACTTTCCCCTACGTGAGTGAGGTACCCACTAAAGCTGGGTGGGCTCACGGACCGAGATCCGAACTCGAGACATTCGGGCTAGTAGCCGAACGCTCTACCATTCGATCACGCTTTAGCATTAATTTTATTTATGTTCAGGCATTTCTTTTTTTAGGATGTTCAGATAATTTTATATAAGTTTTTGTTAGGACGCTGAGGTCGATTTTTAGAATGTTTAGGTAGAGGTAGATTGTTCTCGAGAATACCCGGGGTAGTTTTTTGTTTTGTTTGCATGAGCCGCAAAAAAAAAAAAAAAAAAAAAAAAACCCGACATCTATTCCGGTTAAATGTCAGTCAAGTGGACCAATGGACATGCATTCGTGTTTCCAGTTAATCCGATGACGCTAATGCATGGCGTCTGAATGGACGTGCGATAACAGGCTACATCCATTTAGATCGGAAACAGAGGCGTTGGTGTCAAGGTCGGGCGTTGACCCTTGTTGACCTAGAATAGTTTGTTGATCACAGATCAGAGAGGCATTAAGTTTTTGTATGGCTCTAAAGTCTAAAGCAACATTTAAATAAGATGCTATCTGATTTCTGTTGAATATTGGGTTGATTTTCTGTTGATTTTCCAATGTCATTCCGTTAGTTTCTATTGCAGTTATTTGGCCAGTAAAATAGTCTAAATAAAATAAATGTCTATATACAATCCAGAAATTTTAAAAAGCTGTAACGTTGATCATATGCTGCCTTTGATAAATTATATCTGATCGTTTGTCAGAGTCAGATCTGGTAATAGTTTTGTCTTATGGTCGGGAACATTTTGTTCCAGAGTTTTGTCTTATGGCTGTGGACAATTTGTTCCAGAGTTTTGTCTTATGGCTGTGGACAATTTGTTCCAGGGGTTTGTCTAAGTTTGGTGTCAGCTTTATGGTCTGGAGTTTGCCCTGGGTGGGGGGGGCAGTCTTTATTTCATGGGCCAGACTTGGCTTAGTTGGGTTCATCTGACGGTCAGTGGTTGAACTTAGGGTTGGACTGATGTCAGGGTTGGACTGATGGTCAGGGTTGAATCAGGGTTGGACTAATGGTCAGGGTTGGACTAATGGTCAGGGTTGGACTGATGTTTATGGTTGGACTTATGTCAGTGGTCAGCCATAGAGTGCAGACATCTAAGTCAAACACATGCTTATGCAATACGTCACTTCTCTAACCTAACCTAACCAACACCTGCTTATGCAATACGTCACTTCTCTAACCTAAACGAACCAACACCTGCTTATGCAATACGCCACCTCTGAACTAACCTGACCACCAGCTGTCAACGAGTCGCCATTTTCTCTCTGACGCTCATCAGCGACGTTGATTAACTTGGATCAATTAAGCCGGAAGCTTGGCATAAATTTCAGCTGTAGCAGACGGCGGTTACCAATGACACCATCAGTCTCATCGCATGTCAATGACGGCTATCTGCAACAGTTTGTCACTTTGACACAGCGATAGAACTGGATAGCCTGTTTAGTGTAAACCTAGGTCAGAGCGACCTGCCCTAGGCGACACTACTATTTTAGTATGACTGAAACAGTTATTTATAGCAATATACGCGCCAAAACAGAGGCATCGTTACAGCAATATACGCGCCCGTGTTAGCCGAGATTTCTCGTTTTAAATAAGATATTGTGCAATAAAATTGATCAATATAATCACTATGGAAAGAGCTCAGTTTTCATTTTAGAAAGATATCGCTTTTAAAATTTGCAACCTTGAGGGTGGTGGTGGTTGGCTGAGGAGTGGCCTCATTTTAGTGGGGGGGGGGGGGGGGGGGGGGGGAGTCACTATGTAACTGTAGAGGGAGATAAAAATCGTTTAAAATAATCATGATGTCATCAGCCGAAAAGAGTTCGGATTCGAACTCGAGACTTAACGGGTTAGCAGTCCAGCTATCTACCGCTAGACCACTCCATCTACCCTTTACGAAAGTTATAATCGTAATATGAATTTTTGAACAGAGTGTAAGTAAAGGCAATAATCGGGGGTAATACAGTTGAATATTGCTTCATTTTATTATAGGTTAAAGTTTAATATTACCCTGAATACATTTGGTTTGACGTTTGTTTAAAACAAAGTTAAGCCGACTTAGTGGCCTTTATTTTTGTTGTCATTTTATTTTCAACTCATTCCGTTGTGAATTTATATTTAACGAGCCGACCCGCTGCGTATCATACGCCGCTATTTAGTTGTTTTTTTTTACTTTTCAGTAATTTATAATTTGTGAATTCGACAGTACCAATGCTGCCATTGAAAATATTTGCTTAAAAACACTACCCCCCCCCCCCCCACGTGAAAGCAGCCTCCTCTTAGTTACCTCCTCTAAGTTTAAAATCGTTTCAAACTAAATTATCTGCCCCTAATAGCCGTCACCAAACCCGTCTCTATGATTGTAAAATGTAAACAGAGTGAACACCGCTCACCAGATCATGTGGGGGTGGGGTGGGGGTGATAGTGATAGAGAGAAAGAGAGGGGACTGCAAGGAGGCGCTTGCAGCTTGTTTTCTAACTGATCCCAGAAGAGAATTATATATATAGATGGTTGCCTTAGTGTACTTTTTTTTTTATCAGTAATAATAATTTATTTGGTAGATTTGACACAGCATCAAAGACATGAACAATTTTTTTTTGAAAGAATATTAAGTATATAATATATCAAATAAAAGCAAAACAAAAGTTGAAATTAGGAAATTATAGTAAGGAAAAGGTTAAGAATCACTCATACATTTTAAGACATGTATACGTTTATTAACTACTATGTCTTAATTTTTCTTCGTTTAATTTTTTTTTTATTATTATTATTATTTTTTTTTGTTCTGTGTTAACATTTAGATTCTATATTGTCTTAGGAATCTTCGTTTAATGAACAATTTTTTTTTATTTTGTTATTTATTTATTTATTTATTTAAAAAAAATTTTTTTTTTTTTTAAAACGAAAAACCTGTTCGTTTAATTTTTTTTTTTTTTTTTTTTTTTTAATGAAATTCATGGACTAAATGAAGGCATACTAAATCAATTGCTTATTCAAATTGTTACTGAGCACTATTAAAAATTATTTTCCAGAATATAAGCAAATCAAAATTACAATTTTTTTTACGGCATGTAGGTTTAAATTCTAAATTTGCAACATAATAGTATGTCAAAGTTATTATATTCTTTTGAATACATTATCTCTCTAATTTATTTTTAAATGTGTAATATCCATTGTGTCTATAACACAGTGAGCTGAATAACATATTTACGGCAAATTTTCTTCAAACAGCGTCATTGAAAATCAGCCTCGACTTATTTCCCTTGGACGAGACGAGTTACAGAACTTCACTAATCTAAAGCGTTTGTAAGTATTTTCTACACAAACCTGCCCCTACCCCCAACACACTCACACAGTATTTTTACTTGTATATTATTTTTTAATATTCTAAAATAACTAAAAACTAATTTAAATAGTGGCTATTTTTGTATTATAAAATGATATATCTAGTACCCTGTTTTGGTTATAAAAGGAGGAAAAGGATAAGGGGTAGAGTTTTCTGATTGTCGAATTTATTGATTTTACTCACACAGTCACATCGGAAATCACACGCACACACACTCACACAGAAACTGAAAAATACATTTTTACCCGCAATTCACTCTTACAAAAGCAACCAGACCCACACATATAATCACACATACACATAACTCACAAACATACTTCATCTTCATCTTTTCTCGTTCGTGTCCAAGACACTTGAGTAGATGAAGTAGAGTTCATCTGTTTCAATGACCTCGGCATACAAAGCGATAGTGTTGTCAGCACTAAGCCCCGTCAACTTTGTTTCTGGGACGTCTTCAATGCTCGGGATCCGAACTCGAGAATGTCGGGTTACCAGTCTAGAGCTGTACCGCTAGACCACCCGATCCCCTTACAGACGTACTTGCAAAAATACATTTGATGAAGCTCGCGCACACGCACGTGCCCCGACCCTAAGTAATCACCCCCAATCAGCACCTCCAACCCGCAACACTTAGATCACCTTAATATACCCATCCTAAACACCCCACCCAAAATATATAACCACATTAACTAATTCATAAACACTCACCTCCAGTATTTCTTCTAGACTTTTTTTCTACGGGAGGGGGGGGGGGGGGAGGACGACGGGAGGGGGGGGGGGAAGAGGCACTTGATATTTTGCGGGGGGACGGGACACTAGTAAAAGTATATTTACAATAGAAATCTCGTTCGAGGGGGGGGGGGCGACGGTAGACTTACTTCGGGGGGGGGGGGGGGAGAGATTCCTGGAAGAAACTCTGCCCACCTCAAACTAATCACTCAACGCCACACTAAACACTAACCCCTTTCCCTAAGTACTCAGCCATACCTTATACACTAACCCAACCTCCCTCCCCCCCGCCACAAACATCCATCCACAAACACACCCACCCACTCACGACACAGACCAGCATACAGACGATACATTTTTACCAACACAAAAAGCTGGCTCCACTTTGCATTGTCATTAACCTTTACGCAAGATTCACTTTCCATTTAAAATCTTTTGTTGTCATAGGGTAATTAAACGGACAGGTTTAAAAGAAATCAAAGACGACGCATTTCGTGATCTTAAAGCACTGCAAGAATTGTAAGTCATACACGCACATTGTAACTTAGTGTGATCGAACTGGTCACATTCTAACTTGGTGTAATTGAATTAGTCGCATTCTAATATGGTGTAATCAAACTGGTCACATTCTAACTTGGTGTAATCAAACTGGTCACATTCTAACTTGGTGTAATCAAACTGGTTACATTCTACGCCTTTTGTTCTACATTCATAATTGGAGGAGTAAAATAAGAATATAGAGAAACTTTATCTATAGTATGTATATATATATATATATATATATATATATATATATATATATATATATATATATATATATATATATATATATATATATATATATATATATATATATATATATATATATATATATTGAAAATATCAACTTTTCCATTCAGGCATCTAAGTGATAACGTTTTGCAGCGGTTCCCAAAACAATGGATCCAGGGTCTGGTCCTGAAAGATCTGTAAGCAACCCTTTTTGTAGTGTGTTTGACGTAAGAATGTTGTCCTGTTGTCCACTGTTCCCTTAACGAACATACGTCCCGAATGTTGTTGCATAGCTTCGATCAATAGCTAGACTAAATGTATTCTCGACGTTTGCACGTATGTTGAATCTGGTATATGATACAGATATCACAAAGGTTTCGGCATTTTATATTTATAAAAGTGGCCTCAACCGTCTTCTTGCTCTTCTTGATTCGAAAAATAGAGGAAAAAAATAACGCTTAAGAACTATGAGAACATGAACGATTTTCAGACTTTACAAATTTTATTCTAAATGTTCGACATTTCCCCCCCCCCCTCACTTTATATCGTAACGATTGACTCTATCTCTGAGCAACTTTTGATCACACAGTCCCTGATACCTCCCTCCATACAGCGTAAATGCTTTGAAGGTGTCTTTCTATTTTAATATAGTTTAGTTGTAGTCCGCACGATCTCTAACTAAAAGTATTGCGTTTTGTTTCTTTGGAAGTTCCTAAGTCCATACCTACCATGCTTATATAGATCTAGATCTAGGGAGAATAAGATAGCTCGGCATAGTAATGGTTATATAATCCTCTAAATAGGAAAATACAGAGCCTGTCGTTTTCTTCGTCTAGTGTCAGTTCTAATAATATGATTACCCCCCCCCCCACCCCCCAATTCTATTCCAGAAATTTAGACGGCAACATACTAGCAGACTGCCAGTGTGGGGATGCATGGTTGTGGGACTCCAACTTCACACGGCACCAAAACCTGAGCTGTGACGTCAATGATCCATCCAGCACTGATCGGTTCAGCTGTGTCGCGGCCCAGTACCAGGTGCCCACCGTCAGGAGGCCCTGTGGTAGGTCCTGATTAGTTCATCAATTGTATTGATAGGCCATCGATCTACGGGCTGGGTTCAGTGTCTCTTTCAGGCATCTCGTCTACCGCTCTCTCCCCCTCCCACCCCCTGAACGAAATAGACATGATATAGAAGATATATAGTTCTACCCTCTCCCAGAAAATTTAATTTGGTGCGAAGTTTCGAAAACTCACAAGAAAAACGTATCACGACCAGTATCATTAGTAAAAATATAAAAACTTTAATAAATCAATCAAAATATTTAGTTGTGTACCAACAAATTATATGTTTTAGAGCAAGGGGTAAAGCGCACGTCTGCTAACTTAAAAGTCTCGAGGTCGAATCCTAGGTTTTAGTCTGTAGGATATTCCTGAGTCCACTCAGCTTCGATACATACCTGACTCACGAAAGTAAAGGCGTCTGCGCATAATACTGAACACACTATCTTCATGTGAAAGATGAAGTAGACTTCATCGGACTCTTGAGCCGCCAGGTTCGATAGTGTCACTTTAATTACATAAGAATATACCTCACGATGTCCTCTACCTACCCTCTCTCTAAACCCCCCCCCCCTCTTGATCTACAGCTGCACCACGTGTCAACGCAACAGTTACAGCCACGGAGCACAGAATAGAATACGTCATATCCGGCATGCCCGTGCCTCGTATACACTGGTTACAAAATGGCCAGTATATCGACAACGGACCTGGCATCTACTGCAAAAAACTACTGACCAAGTCAGGACTAGTTCTCGTGGTCTTACAAGTTGAAGATGAAATGCGAGAGTTAGGGAACCTGACGCTGGTGGCAACCAATAGCGAGGGCTCACAGGCGGAAACTGTCATGGTCGTTGGTGGATTTTTTGGTTCGTTTTTTTTTTATTAGTTAATAAAGAAATTGATTATTGAATTAAAAAAAAGAATAGTTTTAGCAAATAGATATTTGGGGTGGTCAAAGAAAACACTTTTAAATTGTTTTTCTTTTTTACTATTTCCCTCTTCAACTGTAAACAATGTTTAAAAAAAATCTTCTGACTAATATTCGTTCTGGCCAATTATTTATCTCTATCAATGTTATTGTTTTTGTCGCAGGAAAGGAGGGGGGGGGGGGGTTGAGGGGTGGAGGGAGGGAGGAATGCCCACGGTTGTTTCGTGATGTTGAGTGAATCTAACCTAGGGTATGTTAAAGAGTGAAATTATGTTCTACAATTGGAAGCTGTTAAAATGATCCTCTCTACGTGATGTGCCTCCCCTATTGTTTGAGTAAAGAGTAACACGGAACTGACTTAACAAGATGTCTGCCTTTTGTCGTACAGATCAAGGTCAAGGTCAAGGAGGTCACAACGACAGCGCCGGCCTGAAGGAAATCAACATATCGCAAGTATGGCTATATACATCTTTACATCTTTTTTTTAATGTATCAGAGTGACACTGTTTTGTCTGGTAACTAAGGGACACAACTGCTGTGTTATTGCCTGTAAAAATTTCCAGGCTACGAATGATATACTTGCAACAGAGCTTACTCTAACACCTGTATAAACATTAACATGCACAAAGATTGTTAAAACCATCCCCCCATTCGTCGTCTCCACCGTCACCAGATTTCTACCATTCATCCCATCCCAATCTAACACCATCCACCCATTCATCCCATCCCCATCTAACACCATCCACCCATTCATCCCATCCCAATCTAACACCACCCACCCATTTATCCCCTCCCAATCTAACACCACCCACCCATTCACCCCATCCCAATCTAACACCACCCACCCATTCATCCCATCCCAATCTAACACCACCCACCCATTCATCCCATCCCAATCTAACACCATCCACCCATTCATCCCCTCCCAATCTAACACCATCCACCCATTCATCTCATCCCAATCTAACACCACCCACCCATTCATCTCATCCCAATCTAACACCACCCACCCATTCATCTCATCCCAATCTAACACCATCCACCCAATCCCAATCTAACACCACCCACCCATTCATCCCAATCTAACACCATCCACCCATTCGTTGTCTCCACTTCACAAGCGTAGCGATGGTGGGGGGGGGGGGGCAGGGGGGGTACATATGTCCTCGGGCGCCGACCTTAGGGGGCGCCAAAATGGGTTTTAAAAACAAATTAAAATGTAATTTTTGCTGTATTTTTGCATTATAAATAGTTTGAGGGGGGGGGTGCGAATCGAAAGTTTTAGGGGGGGGGGGTGCAAATCGAAAATTTGCTTCCGATGGGGCGCCAAATTGGAAGTATGTCCCCGGGCGCCGGGAAGGGTCGCAACGCTTCTGCTCCACTTTCACCAGATCTCTACCATTCATCCCATCCCAATATAACACCATCCACCCATTTGTCGTCTCCACCCTCACCAGATCTCTACCATTCATCCCATCACCAGATCTCTACCATTCATCCCATCCCAATATAACACCATCCACCCATTTGTCGTCTCCACCCTCACCAGATCTCTACCATTCATCCCATCACCAGATCTCTACCATTCATCCCATCACCAGATCTCTACCATTCATCCCATCTCAACCTTCACTACCTAGCACATGCCATTAACTCCCTCCTCGTCTCCACCTTATCCAGATCTCCTCTGAGCTCGTCGTCTCCTTCGTGGTCGGCATCTCTGCCACTGTGGTCACCTTCATGCTGGTCCTCTGTCTGTACCGCACCTGGAGGTCAAAGTTCAACCTCATCACCCGAAGAAAACACCACCTGCCGCCGCCCACGGGGAAAGGCTTGGACAGCCAGGAGAGGGTGCCCATGAAAGGGCTACAGTTTGTGGATAACCCGAACTATAAGCAGACCATCAACTACTATCACTGTAAGTTGAAATTTTTGTTTGTGCTGAGGGGGGGGGGGGGAGGGCAAATCATGAAGTTGCTTGACAGATCTGGGTGGTCAAACTATAGAGGTGTCATTGCAGGAATGTAAAAGTCTAGGGGTGTAAGTTTCGATAGGGTATAAATCAAAGTATAGGGGTGAAAGTTTCGTATAGGGGTGTCAAAGTCAAGGGGTGTAAGTTTCGTTAAGGGGTGTAAGTTTTGTCTAGGGGTGTAACTTTCGTCTATGGGTGTAAGTTTCGTCTAGGGGTGTCAGTCAAAGTCTAGGGGTGTAAATTTCGTCTACGGGTGTCAGTCAAAGACTGTTCAAGCGTTAGGGAAATACAAATTCTAAAATACTTACCAGTCCACCAAGATTCCGATTTTCGGCGGTCCATTCTACCTCTGTCTAAATCTAATCATTCTATTGAGATCATGTTTTAAAATTTCATGCAAGTCTATTGAACTTAAGTACAAAACCCCTAGCGTTTATAATAGTATATATAGTGAGCTCTGAACTTTGTAAGTCCTCGGTACAACGATTCGAATTTTCAACAGCTTTCAAAAACCTGGAACTCCAAAGTCTTAAACTCGTGAAAGGAATCGGCGAGGGAGCCTTCGGTAGGGTATTCCTGGGCACGTGCACTAGCGCCACCAATGAGGAAACAGTTACGCTGGTGGCGGTGAAAACCCTCAAGGGAGAGAACTGCTACAAGCTGCAGGAGGATCTGGAAAGGGAAGCGGAAGTGCTGTCGACTATGGAGCACAAAAACATCATCACCTTTTACGGGGTGTGTCGCGACAACGGCCGTTTGCTGCTGATCTTTGAGTACATGGAGAACGGAGATTTGAATAATTATTTGAGGTGGGTTGGAGTCTATTTTAGAAGCGAGAAATTTAAACAATCTGCGAATAAATACATTAATCTTATCTGTTAAAATAAAATCATACTATTTTTTTTCTTTGGAATTAATTGTAAATAAACTCATTAAAATTTAAACCTTGAGGGATGGCGTGGCCGAGTGGTAGAGCGTTCGACTGTTGGCCGGAATTTCTTGAGTTTGGATTTCAGTTCGGACTTATGACTGAAAAACGTCATTGAGTCCACCCAGCTCTGATGGGTACCAGACTGAGTGAAAGTAAAGACGGCTGAGCATTGTGCTGACCACAACATCCCTTCATTTTACCGAGGTCAAGAAACACGCGAACTCTACTTGATCTGCCCTATTTTTCCTTTGGTCTTGAAGGGGAACTTAAAGTCTAACTCTTTCGTCTAATTTCCATGTCTTTACATAATAATTATCAGTCCACTTTCTTTCAACGAAAGTTATTATCTAGTATTTACACATTTAATAACTTAAACAAAAACGAAAGTTATTATCTAGTATTTACACATTTAATAACTTAAACAAAAACGAAAGTTATTATCTAGTATTTACACATTTAATAACATACAACATAACATAACATTAGTTTGTTTGGACGTTTTTTAATACCACAACGTAATTTTTGTGTTTGATAGGACCCACGGTCCAGACAGATTCATCTTCTTCAAAGACTGCCAACCCGACAGCCAGGAGCAATTAAATCAAGACGAACTAATGTCTATAGTCATACAGGTAGACCGCTAAATACATGTTACCTGATATTCAACTTAACACATTAATGCACGTCTAAAGGTAAAAAAGCTAATTAACGACTAAACCATAATTTGTACTAATCTAACTGAGTGAAGCAACTAAGTAAAAACAAAACCATAATATGATTTCATTTGTAAGCTTATTCAATGCTAAATTTAAAAAAAAATTCAATGGTAGTCGATAACTAAGTCACGTTTTCCCCGATCAGATCGCCAACGGGATGGAATATTTGGCCTCTCAGCACATAGTTCACAGGGACCTGGCCACCCGAAATTGCCTGGTTGGAAAAAATTTGGTTGTAAAAATAAGTGACTTCGGCATGTCGCGAGATGTTTACACAACCGACTACTACAAGGTCTGCAATTCTTATTTACTTTTAACTGTGGGTTACACAGAGTTACACTATTTAAAAATTGTTTTCGGTTTTGATGATGTAAGTTTAATTTTGCCCCATATGTTATATAGACTTATTTTATTTAAAAAAGTGATAAAGATTATAATCTTTTTCTTTGTCGCTCTTGTCCTGACATTAGGGTCATCCATTCATTACCTCGAGCAATTTGGCTACATTTGTGTGTGTGTGTGTGTGTGTGTGTATGTGTGTTTGTGAATGTGTGTGTGTGAGTGTATGTGCCTGTATGTGTGAGTGTATATGTGTGTATGTGTGTGTATATGTGTGTGTGTGTGAGTGCTATAAATCCCAAATGTTGACGAGGTAACTATGGTTTCATGACATTGAGAGTTTTGAATTAGGGGTTCGATTTGGGTGGGGGGGGGGGGGGGAGAAGGTGTAAGTTATAACCTTCCCGACACAAACCTGCTCACGCCACTAATTCCATTGATATTATCCAATATTTTCACGATTCTTATACAACTTCCCTATGGTATGGTTTAGAAACGGTTTAAACCTATTATAGTGACCTGTTGCAGTGACCTGTTACACTAACCTTTTATACTGACCTGTTCTGCCCCGTTACCTGTTCTACTGGCCTGTCCTACTGACCTGTTCTACTGACCTGTCCTGCTGACCTGTTCAACTGACCTGTTCTACTGACCTGTCCTACGACCTGTCCTACGACCTGTCCCATTGACCAGTCCCACTGACCTGTTACATGATCCATGACTGTGACTCCCCGCTACATCTTGTCTGTTCAGGTCAACGGCTCGGCCATGGTGCCGGTCAGATGGATGTCACCAGAGACCTTCATGTACCGGTCCTTCACCCTCGAGTCTGACGTTTGGAGCTTTGGTGTCGTCATCTGGGAGATCTTCACCTACGGCAAACAGCCGTGGTATGAGTACAGTAACGTCGAGGTAAATTGTTACCTGCAGTGGCTAAACTTTAACGTGGAAGCGTATAGACCTACCGTAGGTAGCCATATAGTAGTTGAAGTTAGATTTACTACTACAGCTGGGTATTTATGAGTGGTTCGAAGTATGGTTTGGTGGTTCTAAGTTAGTAGGTAAATTCTATGAGTTTGGTCTCAATGGTTGGTTTTGTGTGTTTATAAAAGTTGTATTTGGCCTGTTAAATTAAAAATCTGGTTTTAACTAAAGTTGCCAGATTGAATTAAAGAGTTTGATACACAACACCACAGTACCCTAATAATGTAGCTAATCAGTGTTTCTTTCAGAGATTTTTCTCTGAAAGGGGGGGGGGGGGTGGACGGACTTGCTTGGTGGACTAAATTTTCCGGGGGGGGGGGGGACACACTGGTAAAAGTGTAAGAACGGTTTAATTGAATTTCTTTTCTAGTTCGTTCCCGAAAGGCTGCCTGGAAGAAACACTGGGTGGACGTGCTCTTAAGGGCAATGCGCCTCGCCCCTCCCCCCCCTTTCCACAGGGAAGATGCTTTAAAGAAACACTAGAACAAATATAGTTTCTTTCCAGGACTACTGAAAAAATACTTTTAGATGTATTGTCGGACATAATGTTGAGTTTGTTAATTTTTCTTTTAAGATCGCTTTCTCTTCTTTCATAAAGGTGATAGATCAGATTAAGAACAGCCGAATTCTAGAACAGCCTTCATGTTGTCCGCATGGGGTGTACAGCATCATGATGGGCTGCTGGAAGACCAACCCACAGGAGCGACTGACAATGGCCGACATTTGTAAACTCCTGCAAAAAGAGCGGGACACCAGCTATCTAGAGATTATTGCCTGAAGGGGACCATGGAGCTTCAGCACGGCAGCATGCATGAGACACGCCTTCTACGTACTGTTCATCTGCCAGATTGCATTTTGTCACACCATTTAAACTGATCAGAATGACTTTCATGTCACATCATGTGCTACGTTTCACATGTGTCAGTCAATCATTGTAACATTATATTCCTTTTTGCATTTTCTTGTCAAAATGTATGTGCACAGAGTTTCTTCCAGGCATCTCTTTGGTAAATTTTTTTACCGCCCCCCCCCCCCGAACGAAATGAAATTTATATAATTTATATAGAAAATATATACTTTTAACAGTGTCCGCCCCCCCCCCCGAAGAAAGTCTACCGCCCCCCCCCCCCCCCCGAAAATTTCAAGTGCCCCCTCGGAGAAAAAAGTCTGGAAGAAACACTGTATGTGCATTTAAATATACACACACATCAGAGGCGTAGCGAGGATGGGGGGGGGGGGGCGGAGGGGCGGACCGCACCGGGTGACACCATTTAGGGGGGTGACACCAAGGCAAAAAAAAAATAGTGAAATATATGGAGAAAGATTTTTGAGGGGGGTGAAAATCGAAAGTTTGAAGGGGGGTGCAAATCGAAAGTTTGAGGGGGGGGGGGGGTGCAAATCAAAAGTTTGAGGGGGGGAGGGTGCAAATCGAAAGTTTGAGGGGGGAGGGGTGCAAATCGAAAATTGAAAGTTTGTCCCCAGGAAAAGTCGCTACGCCTCTGACCGGGTGACACCAGACCTCGCTACGCCACTGACACACATATATATATATATATATATATATATATATATATATATATATATATATATATATATATATATATATATATATATATATATATATATATATATATATACATATATACACAGTAGCATTATACATATGGCCTTATATTTTCATTTACATCATTTATATGTATACATTTAGGCCATTAGCCCAAATATAGAGAAAGCCAGTATGTATATAGAAATATGTTTATTAATATGTAGCCTGTATATATTCGCTTGTAAAAAAACATTTCTGAATTTCAGGGAGTCAAATCAAACGTAAATCAAATGTGGGATATCTGGAAACCTTTTAATGTATATATTATTACATGTTAATTCTAATGTATGTTTATAAAAAATAAAACACATACACTTTTTATTGAAAGATTTTGAAAGGAGTAGGTTGATAACAGAGTTTCTTTCAGGCACCTCTTCAATTCTACCCCCCCCCCCCCCAAACGAAATGAAATTTATATAATTTATATAGAAAATATATACTTTTAACAGTGTCCGCCCCCCCCCCCCAAAAAAAAGTCTACCGCCCTTCCCCCCCGAAAATTTCAAGTGCCCCCCCCCCCCGGAGAAAAAAGTCTGGAAGAAACACTGGTTGATAAAATATATTTTCTGCTTAACGAAGCAATTGATAAATTAATTAGTTCTGCCAAGGTTTTAAAAAAAATTCTGCAATGAACACTCATAGTAGATAGGAACATCTCAATTGAATGATGAGGGGTCGGCGTGGTCGAGTCGCTAAAGCTCATGGTTGCTAAACCGAAAAGGCACGAGTTCGAACCCTCGGGCAGATGAGGCTCGTTAGCTGGGGACAGCCACTCTTCTAGGAGAAACAACTCCAAAATCGAATAACGGCTGCCTTGTAGTTTGTTCTTGGTTGGACAAAGGCTATGGAAGCAAAGCCAAAAAGAAAAGCAGGCTGAAATCGGAGTCAATGGCCTCAATGGCGCAAAACCAGTTGACACGTAATCCTTAATTGTGATGGAAGCATAAATGTGATGGTTGATAAATTCGAAATAAAGACTCGATCCCTCCCAACACTAAAAATTAAGCACGAAGAAGAGTTGAGTGATAATTTGGTATTGGAGCAACTACAATAAAAAATTCTCCCAGCCTACCTTGTTCCTCAGTTGATGTATTTGTTTGCATGTTTGAGATAGGCCGGACGTAATGGTAATAAGTAATGGTTACTGGTGATGATACGTCTATACTGTCCTAAGCGGGCCAACACTACTTGCTCTTTTTTCATGCTTCTCTCTATAAAATAATAAAATTAAAATATTTCATTAGCTTCACGTCTGTTGGTTTTTTTTTTTTATGAATGTGTTGTCAGACAATTAACTTAGGTCAATATAATTTTCCCAATATAACTTATACTCAGCAATAAAAGTAAAGTTCCCTTCCGAACCTGAAGGTCTATGGGACAAGTGAGTTCGCATGTTTCTGTGACCTTGGCATATGTAGGGATAGTGTGATTGGGTACCCAGAGATAGGTCAACTCAGGGACATTTTACTGACAAGAACCTGGATTTGAACATGCAACTTTCAGGAAAGCAGTCTAAAGCCCTACCTCTAGGCCATGCCATCCTATACTCTAAAACAATTTTCCGCAATAGAACTTGCACTCAGCAATAGTAGCCTTTAAATTAAGATTTGAATTTCCATATTTAACTGATACTTAACAGACATGTTCTTTGAGGTGTAAAATTCATCTGTTTTTTTTCACATGATGTATGTAGTGATTATGTGGTCATCTCTAGAGCTGGATGATCTCTAGGCTTCCATGTTGCCTAAACAATTCAATCATTGGATTAACCTTAAAGTTTCTTCATTTGTAATTAAACTGTGAATAATGCATATATGAATCAAAGGTTAACCTGAATTAGAGCATAAACTATTGTGAGATGTGTATTAACAAACAAAACCAACGTGCTTGCCACAGAAATTGTAAAGTAAACAATCTAAAGGTTCTTTTAAAAAATAAATTTTATTTTACAGTTCAATATATATAAAACAAACAATAAAAAGGTAAACAGCTAACTCAGAGGGGACTAAGTTTAACAACAGCCACACCTGGCTGAGACAACACAGAGAGTCATAACTTATCTTTTAATTGAACAGAAAAAAATTGTCAGAAAATTATAAGGAAATTTAAATAGATTATTTTTTACATATGTAAAAAAAAATTGTAAAAATTATAGCTAGTGAATCAGTGTTGACAAATCAAACACATTTGTAACACATTAACTTTCTCAAACATTTTGTATAATAAGTAGTCAATAAATTATTTAACACTTGAAAGAAACATTTTAATAAAAATTAAAAGACTAAAAAAAATCTGAGTAGTTAAAGAAAACTAAAAACATGGAAAAACTTCATTCAGAAAACAATCTTAATTTTTGATATTATAAAAAATGATTTCTTAGTCTATAAATACATTAAAAAAGTTAAATAATTCTAAATCTCTTTGTTTAGGTAATACTGCAATACTTAGTGGTGACAACTTTTAACACTTTCAATGTTTTGGTTGTGGTTGATACTGAAGAATTATATACATGAAATATTTAGCATGTAATCTAACCTTATATTAATGGATTATATTCATTATGATAAACATACATTGAATAAGCTGAGTTGTAAGTATATTATGTTAAAACAAGTCAGTTCATGTATTTTAAAACATCTTAAAATTGATACTGAAATCTATTTAGTTAAAAATGGTAAATGAATGTAATTATCACAAAAATAGTAGAACCTCCTCTTATCAAGTTATACAGAGCACATTAAAAGCTTAAATTTTTACTGACTTATTTAATAATATTAAACTAAAAAACTATTCATGCTCAAATCTTTGATTTCATAGCAAAGAGATCTCCCAGTTTTTGAGCTAGCATAATATTTCCAGAAAGTTTTAACTTTCCACCAAGAAAGGCCTGAAAAATATAAATAATCAAGTAAATAACAAACAAAATACCAAAAATAATACAAATAACTAAGAAGCAAAAAAACATGTGTCAGGGAAGTAGCCTATTGAGTTAAAAAAAAAAAACAACTTAATTAGCTGATTAGTTAGCATGAACAGAAAATTAAAAGATGAGTATATGAATCAGCTGTGTAAAAAATATTACGTTGGAAGCTGTAAAATATGCCAACCTATGAGTCATCTGTACACAAATATTTGTGGCTAATGCTGTAAAATATGACAAGCATACAAGTGATCTGTACACAAATATTTGTGGCTAATGCTGTAAAATATGACAAGCATACAAGTGATCTGTACACAAATATTTGTGGCTAATGCTGTAAGATTATTCACCTTTTGAGCATCAAGTTTCCCAGACACCAAGTCCACAAAGTTGTCATCTGTTAGAGTTAAAGTACAATCAGCTTTTCCTGCCCTGGGTGTCCCTTCATAAACTTCACCAGTTGGAGAGCTCTTCATGTCAACAACTACAAAATAATTTTAAATTAGAATAGAATTGGAATATGAAAAAAAAAAAAGAGAAAAAAATCCCTTCATGATAAAATAAATGTGTTCTAAAGAGCTGAAACAATGTTTGAAAATATTATTAGTCAATCAAAAGTTGCTATTAATATGACTTCCACTATATTCACAATGTGATCAAACACCCCTTACCCCAGCTAGTAGCCTGTGCCCCATCTTTAGTAATATTCCACTGAAACACTGCATTAATTTTAGCAGCAAGGCCTGGGTTATTCTTGATTTGTGATGCCATCTGTTCAAACACCGCCTGACTTTTTAGATTGGTTGCCTGGAAAAAAAAAGCCATTTTGAAAAAAAAGTTTCCTAGTATTGAATTAAGCCTTAGTTTAATGAAAACTTCAAGAATTCACTTTGAAAACAAATAAAACCTAATTGCTATCTCACCTTAGGTATTGGTTTTGGTTCTGTTGTGTTCAACAAATCAACATAGGCACCAGTGATACAAACACTGCCAGTCTCTGCCACCTTAAGTAAGCGTCATTAAAGATTACAGATTTTTTAATTAACTATATTAATAAGACAATAGCTTTGTACTGATATGGAATTTCTTAATTATTACAGGCCCAACAAAAAAAAATTACAACTGAATAATTTAGAGGTATAAACTTATCACTACTTTCACAAAACTGGTGCGTTGTGTTACAAAACTTATCACAACAAATCAGAATAAGCCCTCTCTAGGGAGTGAGGAAAATAATCTCTCCCTTCTGTTTCCTATATATTTTGTATATGAACAATTTTCAAGTGACTATCAATAAAACATTTTATTCTTATCAATGGAATTAATTAGTTTTGGTATCAAATTAAACTAAAGTTAAATTTACCCTGTCAAAGGTAAATCATGAATGTATTTCTAGTTTTCTTTTTTTAAAACAATTTGAAGAAACATTCAACAATTTTATAGAAAACTGCCATCAATTTGAAAGAAAACTGTCAACAATTTGAAAGAAAACTGTCAACAATTTGAAAGAAAACTATCCAAATTTGAAATAAATCTGTCAACAATTTGAAATAAACTGTCAACTATTTGAAAGAAAACTTCAACAATTTGAAAGAAAACTGCCAACAATGTAATGAAGTGTCTCTTACTTTTGTTTGGAAATGAATGCGACTGCCTTCCTTCCACATCTCTGTCAACAAAGTCTGCCCCGGTAGAACAGGTTTAGCAAACCTTACCTACACAACAAATCACAATCATTGAAACAAAGAAGATTACAAATTAATTAGCAAACCTTACCTACACAACAAATCACAATCATTGAAACAAAGAAGATTACAAATTAATTAGCAAACCTTACCTACACAACAAATCACAATCATTGAAACAAAGAAGATTACAAATTAATTAGCAAACCTTACCTACACAACAAATCACAATCATTGAAATGTAGAAGATTACAAATTAATTAATCATATGGCTGATACAGGATTACATCAAATAAATAAAGTTAAAATATATTAAAATGCATATTTATTCAAAACTCGTTTTAAAAAGACAGATTAAAGCCTGTTAACTTTTCCACATTTTAGAAAATTTTATTTCTTCATATTTGCAAAAGTAATTAGCAAATAAGTGGCAGATTAGTTGTGTCTTTGTATTAACAATTGACAATTCTAAATAAAAACTAACCTTCACTGCCTTGAATCGACTCATATCATTGTTGGCAAAAGTTGCCATGACATGTCGAACTGCATACCCAAAAGAACAGAGCCCATGCAAAATTGGAGTTTTGAAACCTGTAGGATTAAAATGTTAGATTTTAATATGTTTTCTTTCATTAGAGGATAGACAATGTATCTAAGATTCCTAACAATAGTATTAAGTAGAGGGACAAAAAACAAATTATATAACAATACACTTATTGTATCAATTTATTGAGCATTATTTTTTACCTCCCATAGCAGCAAAGCTAGGATCAATATGCAATGGATTTTTGTCTCCATTTAAACGATACAGGGCAGCCTACAAATAAACATTATATAGCTACATATTAGCTACAGAATAAGACTTTGGGTAAAAATAAACATGCACCCAACTTCTCAACATTTTAAATAAGAAAAAAGAATTTCATGAATTTTTTACACACATTATGGACCTCCTGTTTTGTTTGTAGTATTTGTATTACTATGCATAAACCTAGAAGTTTTTTAATGGGGAAAATTGGGGGGTGGGGTGTTTACCTGGGTAAAAATGTGAGGATTTTACCTGAGGAAAAATGTGAGGATTTTACCTGGTCGACTGAGGTTTTTTCTTGCATGACAGAATCAGGAGCTCTGCTGGGAACTTCAATGATTGGAATGGTTTCAGTTGATGTTTTGGGTCCACCAAAGTTTCCAGCCCCAACATAGAAGGTGGAGAACTGGTTAAAGGCAACTTTGTCATTGTTTTCATCATAGGTTTCAACTGGAAGTAAATATTTATATTAAAGGTGACTGCAATGAATATATAAATAGTGTGTATTTCTTTATTTTTGTGGTTTACAATTTCTAAAAAAAGAGATATAATTGCAGAAGTGAGTCATTTCAAAATAAAAACAACTCCTATAGTTCTAAACAAGTGCAATGATTCAGCACAGTTTAAAAGCATTTGTGTGAAAGATTTTTTGTTTGCACGGTTAAAAGAATTAAAATTAATTTGTATTCACTACTGCATTTCAGCGTGACCATGCAGCCGAGAGGGAACATTGCCCACAGGTCCAGAAAAGGTCAAACCAGAATTTAGATCCTTAAGACTTTTTAAAAGAATACAAGACCTACTTTGGTAGACAACTGACAGATACAACTCTGTACTGTAGATACACAAACCACTTGTGAGTAGTAACCTTTTACAAGTAGCTATAAGGATAAATTGGAAGAAAAAAATACCATACCCTTTTACAAGTAACTATAAGGACAATGTGTAACAAAAAAATACCATACCCTTTTACAAGTAGCTATAAGGACAATGTGTAACAAAAAAATACCATACCCTTTTACAAGTAGCTATAAGGACAATTTGTAACAACAAAAAAAAACAAAAAACAATCACCATTGTACAAGAGGACAGCTCCAGATTTCTTGTCCATGACGTCACACAGCCACAGCTTGGAGGTCAGAGTCCCAGAGCGAGGAATTGGTTTAAACAGTTCTAGGTACTGTTCTCCATGTAGTAGCTACATCACAAAAATAAACATTTTAATCAATAGATTGGTTTAAACAGTTCTAGGTACTGTTCTCCATGTAGTAACTACATCACAAAAATAAACATTTTAATCAATAGATTGGTTTAAACAGTTCTAAGTACTGTTCTCCATGTAGTAGCTACATCACAAAAATAAACATTTTAATGGATAGATTGGTTTAAACAGTTCTAGGTACTGTTCTCCATGTAGAAGCTTTATCGTAGAAATAAATATTTAATGGATAGATTGGCTTTAATAGTTCTAGGTACTGTTCTCCATGTAGTAGCTACATCACAAAAATAAACATTTTAATCAATAGATTGGCTTAAACAGTTCTAGGTACTGTTCTCCATGTAGTAGCTACATCACAAAAATAAACATATTATGGATAGATTGGCTTGAATAGTTCTAGGTACTGCACTCCATGTAGTAGCTACATCACAAAAATAAACATTTTAATGGAAAGATTGGTTTGAATAGTTCTAGGTACTGCACTGCATGTAGTAGCTACATCACAAAAATAAACATTTTAATCAATAGATTGGCTTAAACAGTTCTAGGTACTGCTCCCCATGTAGTAACTACATCAAAAAAATAAACATTTAATGGATAGATTGGCTTGAATAGTTCTAGATACTGTTGACCATTATTTATGTGAAAGCAATTTTAAAAGCAGTCCTATTATTAAAGCTTGTATAAATTGTTTTTAGAAATATTTTTCTTTATTGAAAATAATTTTAGAAGAAGTCCGATTAAGTTTTTATAAGTCCGCTTTAAAAAAAAAATTATGTTAATCATGGACCTAAATTTGTGAAACTTAGAAAATCTTAAGCAAAACTAATGTTACTAACAGCAAATAGTAATAATAAATCATAAACTTTTAAAACCAAATGTTGATATACATCTACCGGTCTGTAAATATTTAACAAAAAACTTGGACCTACTTTAGTGGGATCCAGAGTTAGACCTGGCACACCCTTCCCTGTGGCTGAATACAAACAGGCAAATGCTGGGATGACCCCAAATGTTGGCAGGATGGTGAAGTCTTCAGATAACTCAAATAAAAACTTCAGGTAATCAGGTTGGGTGGTAGAAGTACCAACTGTCAAGGGAGACAAAAAAGGATTCAGTTATCACTGCAGTATAACCATGAAGGGAGACAAGTAGTTAATTCATTTATAAGGGAAGAACAACTGGCCAATGGTAACATAAATAACAAATGAATAGCATTTGACAAACACACAGTCCAACCTGAAAGTGCATACAATACAGCCTCCTTTTCTGTGTATGTATATTTTACTCCTTGCAGTTTAAAAGTTTTAGCCAAAGCCTGGAAAAATTAAGGTAAAATCTAAATTTAATTGCTAAAATATATCACATGATGTATTTTAGCATTTATATTAGATTTTCAATTGTGTAGTCAAATCTTAATGCATTTTAAATTATTTATCCTATATTCTTTTTTTTTTCATTTGGTTGATAAAAGATTTATTGTGTTTAGCTTTGAGTGTTCACTATTACTCCATTGATTATAATACACAGCAAGATAAAAAAAAAACATAAATAATAATTTTTCACTTTAATCTACAGTACTTAAAAAGTTGACATGAGTATGTGTTCAGCTATACCATGCCATCCTATCTCATGCTAAAAGGTTCAACCTACAATGGGGTCATAAGGTCAATCTACGACTGGGTCAGAAGATCAATTCCCAAAGGGTCAGAAGGTCAACCTACCACAGGGTCCTTTAGGTCAGCAGCAGCCTGGGCCTCTCTCTCCTCTTGGTCCATGCTGTTGGCCAGCTCTACCATAAAAGCACTGGACTCTGCAAATTAAACAGAAAAACACATCCAGATCAGACTATTTTCACTAAAACCATCAACCACAACATAAATAATGCAAATAAGCTCAATATTTAAAATGTATCATCTACCTTAAAAAACAAGAATCATACTAGCAAATTAGAGGATAAAGAAAAGTAAACCCCAACTCAGTGAAATAACGATGGTCTCTTATAGGCCAAATCATCAGACATGACACAACCCTGACTGAAATAACTATTGATCTTTTATACACTGCATCATTAGACCTAACAAAGCCCTCCCAAAAATGAAAGCCAAACTGGCAACAGCTGGTTACCTCTGGTGGAAGTTGGGTAAGTTGGGTTGCTGAAGTCTGTTACTCTGTCCCAGTTGTCTCGAACTGTTCAACAAATAATGTGAAATAGTCATTGGATTTTTTTTTAAATTTAGTGAATTCACTAAGTATTTGGTCAGCACATCATGCTTATGATTAGCTTACATTGAATTAATTATCATCCTTATCAGATTTCTGAATAACTTATACATACAGTAAAATATAAACATACTAAAAAATAATTAAATTAGTGCCATGAAATGATTATGCCTTATCATATTTAACACAGTCTGCAGATTTTATACAAAGCAAAAATCACCTGTTTCAGGGGTGACTGCCTTATTCTTTTCTCTCAAAAAGACACCCTCTGTTCTTTGCCATCGTACTATTTGATAAAAGTTAAAAAATTGAAAATACTCTTCAAGCAAAGAATTAAAAAAAAAAAACCAACTAGGTATTATACACATATGTAAAAATAAAGACTAATTGAGACTTACATTTTCCTACCCAGCCCGCCCCTACTTCAAATAGCCCCCCTGTTTCTTGACATGAGTTATGGCACAAATAAAGCACCACTGGAGCAACATATTCAGGCTTTAGGGCATCACGAATCTCTGAAATAAAAATTTGCAGCAATTAATACCTGGTTAAAATAAGATATTTTCAGAATATCTGGTGTTTGAATAGTCCCACACATGTATCAAATTCCTTTAACACATGTGTGAGTGACACTAAACTGCTCATATTTCAAAACATTATCAGCTTTCAACAGTATAAAATTAAGGGGAGATAAAGCTTAAAAGGATAAGAGTGGTGGAAAATGTATAAATTACATTTTAAAGTTATTAGCAGGTTCTTACCATACAGTTTTAACAATTTGAAACTAGATGGTAAAAACATTGATTAAAAAATACAGGTAGTCAATTATAATAATAATAGTATGAATAATTTATGTATGGTGTTCAAATGAACAACAAAAAAAAAACCTTTTGGCATGACCGTCTCAGTGAGCCTGGAGCCAGCCATAGGGGCCACACAGTTACAGTTGATCCCATACTTTTTCCCCTCAATGGACAGGGTACTGGAGAGACCAGCCAGGCCAAGTTTAGCAGCGCTGTAGTTAGCTTGGCCAAAGTTGCCGTAGATCCCAGCTGATGAGCTGACCAGAATAATTCTTGGAAAACAAAAAACACAAACTGTCAGGCAGGCTATGATAATCTCTGTCTTTATAAGAAAAGGCGTATAACCAGTTGACACGTAATGCTTAATTGTGTTGGAGGCATGGTCGAGTCGGCAAAAATAATTAAGAACGAAGAAGAAGAAGGATAAGAAAAATACAGAAAAATATGTTTACTACTTTAATTAAATTCTTACATACTTTTTTGGATTATACAAATAAACCTGAAAGTAAGTTATAAATATAAACAATTCTGTATCCGTATTTGAACTTAAAACTTTCGGGTTCACAGTCAAGCATTCTACTGCTAAGCGTCCTATTTTGTATGTTTAGTTTATATGTAAATGTTTTCACTAACCTTCCAAAGCCCTGGTCTCGCATATGTGGCCATGCTGCTCTAGTTACTAGAAAAGAGCCCCTGAGGTGGACACGGTGAATGATATCTGACACAAAAATTGTGAGAGTAGATTTTAATAGAGGCAGTGAAGGATATCTGACACAAAAGCAATAGTTAGAATATGTTTTAAATATTTCAATAGTGGCTTTCAATAATTAAAGCAAGGTTTAGCTAAATTTAGTAAAGCTGAAAAACTTACTAGCACAAGGGCAAAGATAAACTGGGTTAAATTTATTATTTCTGTGCTTCAAAATAAATATTGTAGCAAACCTCTTTGTTATGATGCATGTTATGATCTATGTTATAGATCGGTGAGAGTGAATGTTGGTGCGAAAGGTATGTTGAACGCATGGAATGATGACGCGGATAGTGCTACGTTCTGGTGTAGAGACTGGTTGCTGGGTACTGCGTGTGAGTTAGTTTGATTTACTTCGCCTTGGTGAAAGGGAGTATGTGAGTTGAGTACGAGAATAAAGATAAGAACAAGAAGCCTGCTTTCATCTTATTGATTAGTGGTCGCCTATGTTGTCTTGATGAACAAATGTTATGATGCATGCCCGTGGGTACAACATCTCCACACGGTAGTGAGAACTAAAATGATATCAAATCAAACAACCCAAACCACTCACTCAGCATAACACTCTTCTTACCCTGGTGTTTATCAATGATAGAGGCAAATGTAAATCTCTCAAAGTATTGTAGCAAAGTTCAACTTACCCCAGTCTTCATCACTGATTTAGGCAAAATTTTAACTCTCAAAGTATTGTAGCAAAGTTTAACTTACCCCAGTCTTCATCACTGATTCTGGCGAATGATTTGTCTCTCAATATTCCAGCATTATTCACCACAATATCTGCAACAATAATTAAATACACATGCATCAAAAGGTGTCCTTCAGATCAAATTAAAGATGCATAAGATCTAAATTTTTATGATATAAACCATTATTTTTTTTAGTATTACCTATTCTACCGAACTTCTCCAGAGCTGTCTGAACAATTTTTTCACCATTTTCCACTGAGTCTATAGAGATAGAAAAAATATTGTAAGTCAATTGCATTAACATATGTATTACTATACTTAAGTATCTGGTAGATAAATAGAAAAAAAAAGACTAATTATGAAGTGTTTTAATTTTAAATTGAAGATATCCAATCAAATGTTTTGATTATTTATAGTTGGTTAGAGGTTCCTAAGAATTTGTATTTAAAATTTGTTTTCGTACCTCACTCAAGGTAGAAAGTGCAGCTTAAAAATTAAGCATTTAGTTCAAATAATATTTAAAGAAGCAGGGCAGTTTAAATGTGTTCTCACCATAGTTGGCCACAGCTTTACCACCTTTAGTTATTATCTCGTGCACAACCTCATCTGCAGCTTTGGAGCTTTTGCCAGAACCACTGATGCTCCCGCCCAAGTCATTCACTGTAAGAAATCACCAGGGATAATGGCTTTAACTGACTAAGTGAGTATTGTCTTTAACTGACAAAATAAGTGTTGGCTTTAACTGACAAAATAAGTGTTGGCTTTAACTGACAAAGTGAGTATTGTCTTTAACTGACAAAATAAGTGTTGCCTTTAACTGACAAAATAAGTGTTGGCTTTAACTGACAAAATAAGTGTTGCCTTTAAATGACAAAATAAGTGTTGCCTTTAACTGACAAAATAAATGTTGGCATTAACTGACAAAATAAGTGTTGGCTTTAACTGACAAAATAAGTGTTGGCTTTAACTGACAAAATAAGTGTTGGCTTTAACTGACAAAATAAGTGTTGGCTTTAACTGACAAAATAAGTGTTGGCTTTAACTGACAAAATAAGTGTTGGCTTTAACTGACAAAATAAGTGTTGATTTTAACTGACAAAATAAGTGTTGGCTTTAACTGACAAAATAAGTGTTCGTACTGTGCAACGGTAATTAATTTTTATTGGTTTTCATTTGTCTAGCTCATTAGATTACATTTGAAGAAATAAAATTGGAAATAGAGCACTGAAATATATATAATTTTGTTTATGTTTTCAACTAAATTTTTGCATCAGTTACATTTTCTTTAAAAGACAATCAGTTTGAAAAAAGCCTGTTACATCAACCAAAAACAGAATAAATAGCTTTTTTTTTAATAGCAAACAAGAAAAAAAAAAAACAGCAATAAAAAAATGTTACTAAACTGTTATAAAATTTTAAATACAACCAAAAAAAAAAACCTGTAAAAATTTGAGAGGAATACAGTCTTTATAAAAAAAAAAAAACATAACTGAGGTAAAATTTGAAATGAACTATGAGACTTACCCACCACTGAAGCTCCTCTCTCAGCAAAAGCTAGAGCATAAGCTTTTCCAAGACCTACATAATAATGACAAATTAATAATTGAAAGATTTACTGTAAAATCCCAAGAAAGATTGGTACTATGAATAGACAGAAAAGAGTTTATTTCCCACTTATTTAAGTTGTGTTAGTAATCCCCTTGTATGTGCTTTAACTCTTACATTGTGTATAACAATTAATTCTAATCGCCTTAAAGTTAAGCTTAAAGCAAAATATGCTTCAACTATTAGATCTAGCTGAATAGTGATGTGTATGACAGACATAAATTCTAATTTATAGGTGAAGGTTGTATCAAATTGTTTTATAAATTAATGATAATTTGTGGGTTGGAAGAAAGCACATTGGACTATTATAATGGGTTTGTAAGTGTGCATTTGCTAAGGGGAACAACCAAAGAAATAGCTAACACAGAACAAGTCAAGAAGAGTGAAGGGGAAAGGGGAAACAAACACTGATTTAAAATTTAAAGGTTTGTGAATTTTTTGTTCTTTTTTACACTCAGTAAAGCAGAGAGAGGTCTAGAGTCTAGATCTAGTAAGTAGTACTGCTAGATCTAGTAGTAACTAGATCTAGTAGGCCTACTTATTTTGATATTTTCTATTCTAGATCTAATTTCTAAATCTAGATAAGTAAATTATTAAGTAGATCTAGATCTAGATCTAGAGTCTAGACTAGATCTAGATCTAGAATCGATTGTAGACGATTTTGTAGATTATGTCAAAAGATTGAGAATTGAGATTCTATTTCAAACTAGACCTCTATTTCAATTTGTATTTTTACTAGATCTAGAAGTCTAGATCTAGATCTAGATCTAGATCTAGATAAATAAGATATCTAGATCTAGATCTAGATTCTATTTTTTTTTAAATATTTTTTAGTTTGGGTTTTTTTAGGCCATTCATTAGGCCCAACCTTACCATTTCCAGCTCCTGTTACAAGAACTACTTTGCCGTCGAATCTGAGGGGTTCTGCCATATTTTATTTTAAATCTTTTAACAGTTCATAACAATATTGATTGAATATTGAATATAGATCTAAATCTAGTCTAGATCAAGACTTCTAAAATAACTTTTGCACAGCGAAAGCAAAATCACATGAACTTTAAACTAAGCAGGGGACAACTCTCGACGATATAATTTAGATAACAGTAACTCTTCATTTCCATTCTCATTGGGTGGATGTGTTTGTCGTGTCGCTTTGGCATAGACTGCTTTGACTAGAGATCTAGAAATCTAGTGTATTAGGCCTATCGGTCTTTTTAATGCACACGCAACGATGGCGATCATTTTGTATTTATTGATATCCTTTTTCACAGTTATTAATGCAGACGAACGAACAGACGACACATTTTTTGTTAAACCAGGAGCAGGAACCTTAAGCGTTCAAACCGAACTGGTGCGGTTTGCATGCAAAATTTAATAATTAAAATAAAAAAAAAAAAAACATCAACATTCAACATCCATCCCATACCATTACCTACCACAGGGCCTAAAACTTAAACTAAACAAACAATAATCAATAAGTATAATCTAGAAGAGTCTAGATCTAGTAGCAGATACTGGCCAATGATTGCAATAGAAAATTAGGAAGCTGTACTAAAATCTAACTAAAGTAAAGTTATTCTACTGAACTGATGTTGTGATAACCTGGACCATTTTATAATTTTAATTCAAATTAATTATTATGATATGGGACACACTTCACATGTGAATGTGTACTTCTTAACAATTCTGCCTCATATCACACATAATTATGTATTTGCATATCTTTTCAATGCTTTCTTTTTTTCTAGAAAAATTACCAGTGCAAGTTCTCTTACACAGCACAAGGTGGAACTCATGAGGTGAATTTTATAATTTTAAAAACTAATTATGTTAAATTCAACTATTACACCACATGTAAAAATAGCCCATTTACAAAGAACCTTACACTCCCTGCTAAAAAAGTCAAGGAAATCTGTTGTAATGGGGCATATGCTGCATAAATAGATTACCTACAGCCTACTGCACCATGTAGGCACTAAAATGGAACCCAAAGGGATGCTAAAAAGGTGGATGAAATCCCATGTTAACATAAAATACATCCCACCCCTTAAATCACTGTAGTCATCTAGAGTAGCTCAGGAAAGAGAACTCTTGATACTCCATTAGTAGTGATGGGAGATTGTTAAAATTTGATAATATCGGAAAGTCACATTTGTATTTTAAAATGCATTTAAGGAATGGTCTCTAAGCCTAGAAATCTTAGATGGTGGAAATGCTGTTATGTGCACTGTTGAGCGAGGTGTTGCATCGTATCTGTTCTTCCAAGATTTTAAAATGGAGCTCACAGGTCCAATGGTATCAATAACAGATGTGGATGTTAAGGTTTGTATTTGGCTATAGATACCTATTCTCATTAACACTTATCATAAATATGCAATTTGAGTTTCTCACTTTGCACTTCAGACATAGTTACACTACAATTTTTTTGGTGTATTTTCAGAATTCTCAAAGAGACAATTTGAGTTTGCAAAAGGATGAATACTTACTGGAAAAAAATTCAAGTGAGTTTTTTTTTAGTGCTAGCTTGTTTACACAACTTCAAATATTTCTGTGCCAACCTTAAGTTTCTGTCTAAAACCTACATCATACTAACATTTATCAAAGAACTTATTCCTGCTTGTAAACAATGTTCCTCTAAGCAATGTGTATTTTGTGTGCTGGGTGTTCTAAAAGTCTTATACAATGATATATGTTTTTTACAAAATGATTGCGCAGCAGTTGCGAAAAACTGCGCAGCAGCGCAACCACGCAGCTTAGAGGGAACATAGCTTGTAAAGGTTAGCCTTAATAAAATATTTCAGTGTAAATTGAATTAATTTTCTTTTTCTTTGCAGTATCAAGTATTGCTGGGAAGTTTAAAAACCATTTAGAAAAAGTTGCTGTTTATTCACCGTTATCTCGTGATGACCTTTAAGTTATTTTTAGTGTGAACCACAAAGTAAAAGAAAATATCCATTACATGTTACCCTTAGGAGTTTTATAAATGTTTTTTCTAGATTTTATGCTTGTTTTACTTCAAGATCTATAGGGAAGCTTTGAATGTTTGAAATGAATAATAGTTCTGAATGATGTGCAAGCATGTTGATAATTATTTTATTAAAATGTATTTTATTGAAATTGTTTGACATTATATTGGCAATAACTTTATCAAGTAATGATAGTTTTTTTTTATTACAATTGCAATGGGCAAGGCCTATCTTTGGTATATTGCACTTTTTTTTGTCACTGAAAATTAGATATTTTTAAATTAAACATTTTTAAATTTTATTAAAATTCATTTTAACAGTTAAGTTTTCACCTAGAAAAGGTTATAAAATTCCACATATATTATTTCAGACAATTAATAAATGTGAACACTAAATAAAATATTAAATATAAAGTAAAGTATGCTAAGTTTGTTTTTGAAAAACACATCATATTCATCAACTCATCATTAAAATGTGCCTAAATCACCATTTTCCTTAATTTTCTAAAGCTTATTTTGATTTTCTTTTCTGTTTATATCTGTTAACAGTTTTATATTGCATTCAGTGCAATAATGCACAATTTTTAGATTTTAAACATTTATGGTAGAAGGACAGTTTTTATTTAAAAATTTTAAGTTACATTGTTTTTATGTGGGGCAATATGGTTAAAAACCAGCTGAAAGCACCAGATCTGATGGATCCTTACTTGAGAAAATCCAGTTGGGCATAATGCAGACCTATTAATATGGTTAGGTTTAACTTCACCTCGTCTGCCCTATTGGCTATCAAGTAACAAACATACAGTATGAAATACAAACTTAAACATCTTGGTTTATGAAGCTAATTCTCTAAATTTTAAAAAAAATTTATTATTAATTTTTTATTATGCTTTGTTATTCCACAATTTAATAACCACATGGTAATGTTAGTTACAGTTAATGTACAACTTGTATTTGCTTTTATTCGTTACACTGGGATTAAATAAATAAAGATGCATTTGTTTATCATTTGGTGTTCCATCTTTATACTCTATAGAATTCAATGATCAGTAAAAATTTTTACTAAAATATTGAAATTGAATATAAGTTGTGTAAAAGCTGAATACCTTTTTGATAACTAAAAATCATGATTAAAACATTTAAATCAGAGGTCTCCAAACTTTTCAGACAGAGGGCCACATTAACTATCAAATTTCAGTTTGGGGGCCAGTTTCTTCCAGGCATGTCTTTGATTTCTTTGGGCAAAGTTCCTCAGCCATCACCAACAAACGATTTTTCTTTAGACAAAAAGATCTCCGCGGGCCGGATGAGAGGACTTCGCGGGCCGCATCTTGGAGACCCCTGATTTAAATCAACATTCATAGTAACATAGCATAATTTCAAAATTGATTACTTTCCTAAGCAAACAATTTTTAATTACAGCAAATCACAGAAAAAGAAACATTTTAACCATTGATTGTAAACAAATCCACATTTGTCTTAAATCTGTGAAGGAAATGGAGATTCTTCTGTGAGAGAAATATTTTGAGTTGAATCTTCTGGGAGTGGTATAGATGCCACAGCAGCTTGTATTTCAGGTGAAAAATCAGTGCTTATGCTGGTGAATGCTGACTTAGATGTGGCAAAAGGTATCCGTGATATTTTTTTATCACATTGAGTTCTAGATGTTTTCTGCTTTGGAGGTTTGGACAAAACTGTGCTGGGTAGAATCGTGTCTAAGTCCATGCAAACACTTTCCTGCACAGGCAATTGAGCTAATGTAACATTGCTCATTGAGGTAAGGGAACCAACGCCAGGGGAGCTTACAAAGCTGGGTAAAATGGGTGAAGGTGGGTTTACTGCCCTTAAGGATATTAAAATACTATTGGACTGTGGTACAGACATAGAATGAGCATTAGATTCAAATGTGCCAAGGGTTAACGCTTCAGATTCTAAATTCTTTGAGGTATAATTGGTGAAGAAAGATCCCACAGATGGGCTGTCTGTAAAAAAGTCAGGTGTCAATGGTCTATCAACCAGATGTGGAGAAAAAGATGCAAACATTAAGGTACTAGCTGACTGGCATCTGTTTAGGGTAGGTGGTCTTGGGAAATCTGACATGAGGTCAAAGAGAGAGTCTTCAATCATGCTGTTATCATTGTCATTGAGGTTGGTGGTGGTGGCACACAGCATTGGATTACCTCCCTTACTAGATGGTACACTGTTGGTGTAAATGTTTCTTTCTGGGCTTAAAGCCTTAGAAGAAATTGTGTCTGTAATACTCTCTGATGGTAATGGAACATCCAGCAATTCAGAAACCATTTCATGTGACGTACTTTCAGCATCTGGTTTTTTATCTAGTTTCTCATTTATTATTAGACTGTTCAAAGTCACATAAGCATTTTCTATTCTATCTTTTTTGAGATTAGCAATTTTATAATCACTTGGTTTTACTTTTTCTAAACTTTGCTCTTGAATAATTTGATAGTCATTGCATCCATGGTCATTAACCATATGTTTCTTAGCTTTCAGCATACTCTCTAAGGCTTCTCCACAGATTGAGCAAGCATAGCCCTTAACACCATCATGCCGAGCAATATGTTTTCTTATAGCTAGTGCATAGCTCGTCTTAAAGGGGCATTTAGGGCATGAATATTGTTTTTGCTTGAGGTGTCTGCTCTTAGCATGTGAAATGATTTCTGATGGAAATAATGCTGTAAATGAGCACTGGGCACATTTGTATGGTTTGTAGTCTCTATGAAGCATCATGTGTTTAGCTAGGGATGCAGTGTGTCGTGTCTGGAAACCACACACACAGCAAACATGGCATTTATCCTCAGCATGTTTCTGTTTCAGGTGTTTAGTGAGAGATCTTTCATACAAAGATGCAAAGGAGCACCCTTCATGTGGACATGTAATCATTTCACCTGAAATATTCAAATATATTTTATGTGATGAAAATATTTTTTGCAATTTTGTTGATTTAGAACAAAAGATTTGAAAAAAATAACAAATGTAAACAATACTGTGAAACTGACCTTTTAATTTAGTAATATGGATTTAACTATTCTTACTCACCAGTATGTTTTCTTGTGTGTTCTTTAAGTGTTGCCATGTTTCTAGCTACATAGTTGCATTCACTGCATTTATATTTGTTTTCTGCCAAGCTTTCTGAAAAAAAAACAAAAAAAGAATCAAACATTAATATTATAATGAGGTATCAGAGCTCGAAAATTCATTTGAAATTGTGCACATACAGTTGCTGTCTCAATATGTTTGTTAGCTTAAGATTAAAGTGCAATTTAAATTTATTGTAGTCTAGTAGTATTAAGTTAAAAATTAATTAAGTCACAGGATTTCCATGAAGGGGGCAGTAAATAACAAAATAAAAATTAAAACTTGTGAAAGAAAAAGCTTATTATTAATAAATTTGATATATAACTCAGTTTAAAATTACTCATTTCTTTTCAATGAAAAAAATATTTTCAACCTGAATCAGAATGGGTAGTTGCTAAGTGTTGATCAAATGCATCTTTCCTAAAAAACTCTGCACCACAAAAATGGCATAGTAATTTTTGTTCACCATGATTGTGTAGCAAGTGATGCTTCCAATCCTTGCGCCAGATGGTTGAGTATTTGCAGGTAGAACATTCAAAAGCTTGGCCATCATTATGTGAAAGTAAATGCCTCAGCATCAGTTTATCAGTTTTAGATTGGTGTGTGCAAAGTTTACAAATATAAACTGTTTGATAATCCGTTTTTGATATATGACACTGAGATGAAAGTTTTCCAATAGAGTCCAGGGGAGCTGACATCTTTACACTATCAGTGTCTGATGGTTTTTCAGTGTCTGGAAATGTTTTAATAGATCCTTGATGTGGAAATAAAGCTGTACTATCATTTTCTGTAACTGGTGTGGTGTTAAGAATTACAGAAGCAGAGTTAACTGTAACATTTTTTAAAGGTATGGTATGAATAAAAGTTTGACATTCCTTATCACATTTAAGCTGTTGGTTTTCATTATTAAAATGTGTGGGCTTATTGCCTTTGCTTGACAGATCAGGTGAACATAGAGCTAGAAGAATTTTCAATATATTACGAGGAAGCATAGTCTGTAGACTTGAGAGCAACTGTTTACCATGTTTGCTTAGAGTCCTTTTTAATGCTGCAAAGGCTTTGTAATCAGATCTGTCACATACATAAAAGTCAAAAGTAGATGGTTCAGATTCTTTGTTGATATAGTAAGGTGCACAGTCTTTACAAGATTTAAGGTGATACTGAATTGCCAAATCTGTGCATTTCTCTCCAACAAAAAGACCTCTGCAATTCCAGCATACTTTGCATGTTTCCATTGTTCTTTTCTTACCCAAAATATAATACTAAACATATCTGTCCTGAGTAGTAAGTAGGCCTTGACATCTATCCAAAGGTGATTCAGACTTAACTACACAGGAATCCATCGAATATTCAACAGCAGATTGATGTCTAAAGCAGCAAAGCTGGTTAAAAAAAACAATTTTTATTTTATGAAAAATTATAGCCTATAACTGTGACTATAACTATAAGTTTAAGGCATATATATTTACAGTGGCATAGCGAGGTCGGGTGTCACCCGGTGCGGCACTTAATGGTGTCACCCCCCAGAGGCGTAGCGACCCCTTTCAAGTTTTCGATTTGCACCCCCCCCCTCAAGTTTTCAATTTGCACCCACCCCACAAACTTTCTATTTGCACCCCCCCCCCCTCAAGTTTTACTCTATATATTTTGCTATTTTTTACCTTGGTGTCACCCCCTAAATGGTGTCACCCGGTGCGGTCCGCACCCCCCCCCTCGCTACGCCCCTGTATATTTATATATTATATAATATTCCAGTAGGGGCCTAGGGCCTATATATAATAAATAATAATACATATTATAACATAATTATATATTTAGTAGTAGTTGTAGTTACTAGTTAATACTACTATAACATAACTATTAATTATTATATAATAATTAATTAATATTATAGGCCTAGGGCTAGGCCTAATATATATTTATTAATTTAACTTAACTAGGCCTATTTGAATAGTTCTTTTTATTGACTTGGGCCTATAACTTATAATTAATTAAAATAATTATTAATTATTAATTTTAAAAAATTATAAACTATAATTTTAATTTAGGTAAAACCTTAGTTTAGCGTCGGAAATTATCGGGTAATGTTTGTTGAGTTTCGGTAACTAGAGTTACGGTAAACCATGGTTTATTTGACCATTGAAATATAAATAAATTGAAAGTCGATTGTAGTAAATTAATGTTTTAATTTTTTAAGTTTAATCGACTAAAGGAAACAATAATAAATATAATAGTAGATTTAAATTAGTAGATCTAAAAATTAAAAAAAAACATATATTAATATAAATAATGAAGTCAAATGTAATATTAAATAATTTAATGTTTTTGGCTTGCAGCGGATTTGCGACCATTAATTAATTAGATCTAGATCTAGCTAGATATCTAGCTGCTAGACCAAGTAAAAAAATCTAGATTACGAAAATAGTAAAAATGATTACAAAATGTAAAAATAATTACAAAAATAAATCTATCCAAAATTTAAACATTCTGTATAAAAATAAAAGATGACGCCAAATAAAGTATGGTTTACAGTACTTCCGGTGAATTCCGGAAGTGTGTGACAGACTTTGGCATTGTTTTACTTTTACTGTTTTTTACTGCTATACGATTCCGGAATAATAACCGACGCTAAACTAAGGGATTACCTTAATTTATTATAGATAGATCTAGATCTATATAGTATATATAAAAGTTTTATAAAACAAAACAAATTTAAATGACTAATTTTAATTAATTAATAATTAATTTAAGCTAGCCTTCTCTAGCTACTAAATAAATAGTAAATAGTAAATACTACTACATTATAAAAGTCAAAGTTAATGCTAATCTTAATGCCTAACTACTACTAACTAGATCTATAATACATAATACATTACATAAGACTAGAATTAGATCTAATCTAGATCTAATCTAGAGATTTTGTAGAGTACTAGAGATTAGATCTTTCTATCCACTTTTACGTTTCAATGTTAATGGACTTTACTGGTATTTAGTATGCCAAATTGCTTACTAAATTCCAAAACGTTGTATTATTTTCAGTCATAGTCCCAGGTTATAGACTAACTCTAGATCTAGATCTAAACACCGTTAATATAAATACAAGTTTAGTGTTGTCCATAAATAAAGACATGATAAATTGTTTCTATAATTTATTTTCATCCTAGTCAGACCATATACATTGTAATACTAAAAGACACATAAAAAGACTTAAAAAAAAAGATCTGTTTATGTACAGACTTCATTCAGAGAAAGGTATCGTATATGCCATGGGTGTTGGTGGTTTGCTCTTCATATAGATCTAAATCTAGGTATAACTAGCAGTAAGTAACAAAACATGAACCGCTTATCTAGACAAGTAATCATCATATTAATTACAATCCAGTCTTGTTTGGTCTAGATCTAGAGGAAATCAATTTATTTGAAAAGGGGTCGTCCATAAATGAAGTCACACTCGTAGGAGGAAGGGGGGTCCGTAATTTTGTGACTGTGCGTGATGAGGGTGAGTGGGGTCAGATGGTGTGAGTGGGGTCAGATGGTGTGGCGTCACACTTTTGCATTGTAAAAAGCAATGTTAGAAATGGTTTAGCCGTTATTTCGCGTTTTAGAAAACTGTTTAAATAAATTGTAATAGGAATTGATTAAAATACTCCATTTTGAAAGAGTTCAGACAAGATTTTGGAAAAATATCGATGTTTTAAGAAAAATTCGACAGCAATTTTGAGGGGGGTGGGGTTGTATGCTGAGGTGTGACGTCATTTTAGGGGGGGTCTGGCGTTTTGAGAGGTTGTGTGACGAGGGGGGGGGGGGTAAAAATCGTTAAAAGCGTGACGTCATTTATGGATGGCCTTAAAGTAATATTAAGTCAAGTGCTAGTTCACGATTTCCGAGTTTGAGTGTAACAGGTAAGTATTTTCAGATGGTTTTTGTTGAAATGCCAAGCCTAAGCTTAATTGGGGGGGAAAACAGAATGTTTATGGGCGAATGAATAAGAGTCATAAGAGGCATCGTTGAAGAAATTGTTTTAAAGTTTTAGTTTAGCGCAAGTTACGAAAAAAAAATATTTAAAAATCTCTTTTTTTCCTCTCTGGCCCAAGTGATTATTTCAGTCTTTTTTCACGTTTTACAATGTAATTTAATTTTCGATTTCGATATAGATCTTAGTTGTAGACATCATTAATGTGTGTAAAATAGTATGAAAATTGAAATTTAATTTTTTATTCTATCTAAAAATACATTCATGCGTCTTCTCGACTTAGAGGTAAATTTGGTCACTGTGCCGAATTATATCCCATAAATCCTTTCATAGGCGTAAAATGATGTCATCTCCGCCTGTGTATTATTGTTGAGACGTACAATTACGAATCAAATAAACATATAATTGTCCTTTAATATTTTCGTTCAAAAAGTTGGTTTAACAAACAATCAGATTAAGTTCAGCAATTATCAAAAAACCTACGGTATCAATGTTTTGCTGAAAAAAGTAACAGCTACCTGAGCTCGGGAAATCCCGAAGATGACGTCACTAACGTAAACCTTTGGTCATGATAAGCAAGACTATTGATATTTAGCAGAATTATATCATCATTCTCAGCTGTGTTAAAGCTGCAATGAGTACATCCCATATGTTGATTGTCTAGTTTCGCTGCACAGTTTCTTGTTACAAGTGCAATATTTTTTTTGCCTTTTTGTTTTACGTTTTTGAAACATGATGGACAGTGACGATGGTTTCATGGATGGAGCCGAGTCTGAAGACTCGCATGGCCCAACAGATAACGACGACGAGGACGAACTGCCAATGGATATGGAGCACCCAGAATCTTCTACAAATGAACGAAGAGATGATGATGACTTTACATATGAAGTACTTACTGCAGATCAAATAGTAGAATTTATGGTTGATTGCATTAAAGACGTCAATGCCGTTGTGCAGGTAGAGTAGATCTAGCACTGTAGACCTGATTTGTTTACCAAAAAATAAAGTTCTGTGCTGTATGTTATTGTTACTTTTGTGTAACCAACTGCACTTTAATTTTCACTACCACACTATTACATCTAAATATACTATATTACTATCGTACTGGTTCAGAGTTCAGAGTATGCCTACTTGCTTATTTCTATGCTCTTTTCTAAGACTTTAAACTCAACAAAGCAATAACATAGGCCTAGACTTTAAATAGTTCTAGCAAAATGCTGGAGATTGATATAACACATAAACAAGTTAAAGATAACTTTTTAAATTCAGAGTAAATAGAGATTGTTTAGTTAGGGTTACTGATAACAGATAAGCGAAAGTTACAGTACACTGTCAGTGTACACAGTTAACAAAGTCATTTGCGCCTAAATATTGTTAAAATCATAACTTGTGATGTAGTTCGTTATGCAGCTCCATTTCTTGTCAAGCAGACATAGCCTAACCAATAAATGGAAAAAGATCCCTCAATAGACTTCTGAAAATAAGTCTTGATGTTTTAAGTTTAGGTTGTTATTGGTATTGTAATATGGGGCATAACCAGTGTTGACACGTATACTTAATTGTGTTGGAGGCGTTGTTGAGTCGGCAAAGCTCATGGTTGTTAAATTAGAAAAAGTATTGAGTTCAAACCCTCTGGCAGATAAGGCTTGATCCCTTTCAACACTAAAAATTAAGAACGAAGAAGAAAGAAGAGTATTGTAATTTCAGGTTTATTAGTGTTAATGCTAGAAAAAAGATATAGGCTATTAGTTCATTTATAGTTTCCTACCAGTGACCTAAAAATACTAATATAATTTTTTAAAGCAGATTTCATTATTGTGGCATCATTGAACATTGTTATAACACACATATACCCAAACTGTCAGCATTTAATAAGTACCTCTAGGCCTAGTTGTTACAATTTGTAAATTTAATCATAATCATTTTTATTAAGGCCACAAGTTTGTTGTTAGTAGACTAATTATATTTTATTTATTGTAGTACATACAATATTAGAAAATTTCTGCCAAACAAAATCTAGGGTGGTTTTGAAAAACTATGATCTGTCATTTTATTTGCCATTTTGTATTGTAGACTTTAAAATGTAGTAATTTTTAAATGTAAGTATAGAAATAATTGAAGAAGTAATGACTCAGAGGTTAAGTAAGGTCAGCTATCAACTATATCTACATATTTATCCTTCATGTTAACACTAGACATATATAGATAATTTAAATTAAGTTAAAGTATGCATACGTAGTAAAATTATAGGTCCATGAGACAGTTGAAGTAAAGTTCACCTTTTTATGTAACCATGGCATAAGGATAGTGTTCGAACTATGCCCAGCCATCTTTACTTTCCATAACTTAAGTCAGCAAGCCTAGATGCTCTACCATCTGACCAGGCTGTCCCATCAAACTGACAATTTTATATTAGGTACTTGAATGATATTTTTCATCATCATCTCTCAAAGCCCATTTATGCATGAGGCAACAGACATCAACAAGTGTGCACAATTTTGTCCTTTCTATAGCTATAACCTCTGCCTGTTAGAATGCTAGTACTCTCTCATTGAACTATTTTCATTATTGATATTCATGTTTCTTTCATTCTTCCTTGTTTTCTATAACCCCGTGGTGTTGATCTAAGACCAGTCCTAGCAAGTGCATCTGCGCTCATTTTATTATCCTTAGCACATGACTTCTTCTTTGATATTATTCTCTATTTAGGATTTTTAGTGGTAACATTTCACCATAATTTATATCTATAACTAATACACTGAGTTTCTTAGTTTAAAGCAAAGTTTGGACAATTTTTAAAATTCAGCTTGTTATCCCAATACATATTAATTTCTGGTTTCTCTATGATATTTTATTGTCATTAATTTTTAAATCATATTCAACAGATACCTGCCACAATAACCCGCATTCTTCTTAACCATTTTAAGTGGGATAAAGAAAAACTAATGGAAAGGTAAGATAGATTATCTGAAAAGTAAACTGAGTCTTAAAAAAATATTTTGTTGTGTTTAGTTAATAGATAGCTTTTATTTCTTAATGTTTCCTGAAGGAATTGACTACACTTTCATCCAAAGAATTTTTTTTTTTTAGATAAGTACTAAAGAAAAATAAATTTATATAAACTCTGTTTTTAGTTAAAATGACCAACCATAAGATTTATTACTTTTTCTTCTGTCAGATATTATGATGGTGATCAAGACAAGTTATTTTCTGAAGCTCATGTTGTTAGTCCTCATCGGCGTGATATGGGGAAGGGTGCTAAGGTAGGATCTATATTTTATTAAGAAAAGACCAGACCTGATACATACTTAATTATTATTTTCAGCATTATCAACATGCCATTAATTTGGTTAGTTTCTTAGTATAACTATATCATGTTAATTTAAAATACAATTTTTGTTTTGTTTTTACTTATAGTTACTATTTTGGAAAGATATTTTAAATTTGTTTTTAAAATGTAGATAAATTATTATTTCCTCAATAATTATTTATTTTGTTGAGGTCAAGGTTTCAATATTTAAAACATTTACCCAGAAATTTCTTCTCTAAATAACAGTTTTTTTTGTCATTGGCATTGACTAAGTTTTTAAATTACTACTTATGAATTTTGTATGCTGTTGTATGTGCAGCGTCAAGTGCGAAACAGTGTTCAAGAAGACAACGTTCTTTGCGAAATATGCTACTTTTCTAAGGCATTGGATGTAAGTATAAATACATTTATTCAGTATTAATAATATTAATTTGTGTATCATTATTAGTTAGTCTTAACGTCTGCAAAGTTTGAAAACATTAAATATTTTGACAATTTCATTTTGTCTATGCTGTAAGGATATGAAGGGTCTTGAATGTGGTCATCGTTTTTGTGCCCATTGTTGGGCTGAGTACCTCACATCAAAAATAATGGATGAAGGTATGGGACAAACCATTTCTTGTGCTGCCTATGGCTGTGATATTCTTGTAGATGACAAAAGTGTAATGTAAGTTTTCCTTTTCTTTTTTAGCCTTATCAAATTGTTTAATGTAATACAAATTAAATTAAGCTTTACAAACTTTATGAAGATTATTAATTGTAAATTCTAGGTTAAAGTTAACTGTTAATGGCTGCATATTTATTAATATTGACCTTGTTTCTAAAGCGTATGATTTAATACTGCATATGATTATTAACCAAAAAGTGTTGAGCTCAGTTCACTGTCTGGAGTTGGGTGTTCCTGTGTCCACCCAGCTGGGTACCTGATTAGAGTCAGGGAAAGTAAAGGTGGTTGGACATAGTGCTGACAACACTATTGATTCATTTGCAGATGTACAGAAACAGGTGAACTCTACTTCATCTACCCCATCAAGCATCTAGTATGAAAGATTACCTTACTTTTAATTATTGGTTTCAAATGTACATACTCATCTTGTAACAAATGTCAAATTCAAAATGCATATACTTTTTGATTAATGAAAGATTATACATTTTTTAGGGAGTTAATAAAAGACCAAAAAGTTAAATTGAAATATCAACAAATAATAACAAATAGTTTTGTAGAGGTAAGTGCAGTTTTACTTTTATTCACTTAGATATGTTAGTGCAGTTTTTTTTTTTCGACAACTGTAATTTTGAGACCAATGTAATAATAGTTTAATGTTTATATAGTGTAACAGGTTATTGAGATGGTGTCCAGCCCCGGACTGCGGACATGCAGTCAAGGTGGCCCACCATGATGCAAAGCCGGTGACCTGTGTATGTGGCCATACCTTTTGGTAAGACATTTTATAATAAATTTATAATAGGATTATGATCAATTTCAAAGTGCCAATGTTTTGAACTCACACAACAAATACATATTAATGGCACTTGGTGAAAAAAATGTGAACAAATGGTCTCCAAGGTTTAGTGAGGAAAGTTGGATGGTAACAGTTCAGTAGCTTGGGAGACAAAATGTGGGAATGTTTATGCTGTCTACTTTTTTGTTAGCGGGTGTCAGACAAAATAAAAATATTCTACATAACATAATACGGAAACTGTACTACAAACACACAGCATTACCAAAAAATTCAGATCATTATAATTTTATTGCCTTGTCAGTTTTCTGTTTCTAATGTTAATTATTATACTTAAAAAGGAATTTAACATGATGCATTTGTAAATATTACTTACAATCTTAACAACATAAAAAAAGCAAATAATAAAACTTACCTGAGATTATTTTTTAAAAATGCAGTTTAAAATTTTTTTTACATAAATTACACTATTATTTACAGTTTTTCGTGCGGAGAAAACTGGCATGATCCTGTGCGTTGCAAGTGGCTAAAACAATGGATTAAAAAATGTGATGATGATAGTGAAACATCAAATTGGATAGCGGCAAACACAAAGGTTGGTTAATATACACCTTTATCAAAATATCAGTCTAGATTTTAATAAGGGTTTAAAATAATGATGGCAGATCATAACAAATAACAATTATGTTGGTATTACTATACTGGCCCAATTCCTAACAGCAATGCCAGCAGAAAAACATTGATACTCTACTTGTTGTACCATGATATAAATGCAAAGTTGTTGCAAATGAGTCAGCTTTTTTTTCTGGATAGGTTACAATTACCTTAAATTAACACACATAGGAATATTCTGAAGTGTAATGTCCTGTCAGGTGTTGACTTTCTAAGATACTTATGTGAATTAAAAAATTGTTGTAACTGCTAAGACTTTGTTTAAAGATATGATTAGGATCCCATTTCTCTTTATATATGTTCTCCTTGTTTGTGGTACGAGCACAATGATTAAAGCCTAATGAAATTCTGACAATTTCTTTTAAAAAAAATACTGCACTAGTACATGGTGTATCATAAAAAATTTTAAAATAGAAATAAATTTGTTTGCTACAAATTTTGGTTTTGACATGTTTACATAATAACAAAATTTTAGGAATGCCCGAAATGTCACGTTACGATAGAGAAAGATGGCGGCTGCAACCACATGGTCTGTAAAAATCAGAACTGTAAGGCAGATTTCTGCTGGGTTTGTCTTGGACCCTGGGAACCCCATGGATCCTCTTGGTTAGTTATACGAAATATCTCCTTACATGCTTCTCCACATTTCCTGAACAATTTATGCTAGTCTGGCTTATTTCTAAGTTACATAGTTTTATAAACAAACCTAAAGCATAGTCCAACACATTATTACAATATAAAGTTTTACATTTTTGGTCAGTTTTTTTGTTTGTGATAACACAAAAGCTTATAACTTAACCAGATAACTCATCAAAGATTTTGTAATAACTTTAATGGTAGCACTGTAATGTAATATTTGCTTTATTGCAACCAGTAATTTTTTTGTAGCCTCATAGAGTATTTTGATAATTATTGATTATCACTTTTTAATCCTAAAAAATCACTCACACTTGAAAGAAATGATAACTGTATTCATACATGTTTTATTTCAGGTATAACTGTAATAGGTACAATGAAGATGATGCCAAGAAAGCTAGGGATAGTCAAGAGGTAAGCGTGAGTATTTTCCTCTGTTTCTGGTGTTTCTGCCATTTTTGTTGGCATTATAATTATGTTTAGTTGCGTTCTTGTTATAAATTTTTATTAAAATTTATATAATTAACATTTATAAACCAAGCTCATTTTCCTCTTATGTACCAAACCCAACGTGTCTATTTTTACATTTTACAGAGATCCCGAGCAGCTTTACAGAGGTACCTATTTTACTGCAACAGGTATATGAACCATATGCAGAGCCTCAAATTTGAACACATGGTATGTAAGCTTGGATACACTTTAAAAAGCATAATTGTTATTTTAGCACAATCCAAGACCAGTCTTTTACAACATGATTTTGGTTTCAGTATTGTTCTCTTGATCATTCTTCAACTACTTCACTCCATTTGTCACATTTACCGTAACTGTTTAAAAAAACCACACTGTTATAATTCAGCCTGAAATGCTTACAAGATATTAGTACATCTCCTACAACAAGCTTTTAAATTTAAGCTTTAGTAATCAAAGTATTAATAAAATATTGACACCATGTAAAAGATAGAAAATGTAATAAAATTGAATGATGTTATAATCACAAAATAATAGTTTATTTGCCTGCAATAAATATATAAACTTCCATCTTCACAGCTCTACCAGTCTATTAAGTCCAAGATGGAAGAGATGCAGCAACACAACATGTCATGGATTGAGGTCCAGTTTTTGAAGAAAGCTGTAGATGTGTTGTGTCTATGCAGACAAACCCTTATGTATACTTATGTTTTTGCCTTTTATCTCAAAAAGAACAATCAATCCATTATTTTTGAAGTAAGTAATTGAACTTGAAAATATTAAAATTAGTACACTACTTATTTGTTGTCTACATTTTTCAATTAATTACATTAATCCAGAGCATAAAGATTTTTTTAATAGCAAATTTTCTTTCCTTAGGACAACCAGAAAGATCTTGAAAATGCCACTGAGCAGCTTTCAGAATATTTGGAAAGAGAGATTTCTTCTGAAGTACTTCATGACATAAAGCAGAAAGTACAAGACAAATACAGGTGAATTCTCATAGATAATTTTCATGATCGGTGGATATTTACAAGTAGAAATATTTATGATGGTGTATGAGTAGTAACAATTTTCTAGGGCCCTAATTTTTATTACTTATTCAAATGAAATTTAAAGTATAGTTTTAAAACTGGAAAGTTATTAAGTAGAAAATAATCTGGTATGGTCATAATTTACATTTCAGATACTGTGAAAGTCGCAGAAATGTTCTACTTGACCATGTACACGAAGGTTATGAGAAAGACCAGTGGGAATACATTGAAGCTTAATTATCATCTCAGAGTCTCTAAAAAGCAGCAGTATGGCTCATCTCTTGTAGAATTGAATTGACTTATTTGTTGGTCGTATCATCAAAATGCCCTTTTTATATACAATTTCTAATGTTTACATTCTGCGTTAGTTATTTAATTCTCAAGGAGCAGTGTAATTATGCTTGATTAACCACAGCCCATATGCAACTGGGCATTTGCAGTTTGTTGACATTTATTTATCTTTATTTTGTAACTGACTCTCTGCTGGTTTAAATCACAGTCATTATATATGTGTATACAAATATTGAACCTTCTAGTTTTGAAATTATATTAACTTAGCTTTTCAGATTAAAAATAAGTATTGAGATCTTATTCAGTTTTTTAGCTCTCCAGAATTTTAAGTAAAGTTGTTTTTTAATGCAAGGTATATTTTATAAATCTGTCATCTATTTATTGTCCAATGCAAGATACTCAGAATCAATTGAACGAAGCATACACAGTTCTCATACTGTCACACAAAATAGGCTTTAATTTGCTGCCAGTTCTTTTTAAGTAATTCGAGTTTTTAAAATTATTTTTTTAGTATATGTTTATAATAAAGTTGGAATTTAAACTATTTCACTCAAATACTAAATAGTGCTATAAAATAATTTTTATTTTGACCTCACAAACTGCTGGAAATTTGTTGTAGCATTTTAAAAACCAATTTTCTCTACCATTGTACAAGCTACGAATGAGAGCATACCAATCTATTTCAGTTGATAAAGTTTTTTCACTAGCTTTCCTATTGTCCAAAATCAAATATTTTGAACTTCAACCTGAAATTTGTACACACGTTTCTAAACTATTTGACTCACTAATACCTTTTTTAAAAATTCAAGTGTCAAGTTTAAGTTAATAAAAAATTGTTTATAGAATATTTTCACCCATTATGTATACTTAAACTTACTGAATAAAATTAATGAATGCACATACCCAAGTTTTGTTTTAAGACATTGACATGAGCAAACTGTACAGCAATACAAATTAACCGATGTACAGTTATGGTGCATCATTTACTCTGCACAAGTGCTTAACAAAGTGCCTAGAACATAGTTTGCTAAACAATTTTCTAGCAGGCTTTACTGAATTTCTGTAAGCAAAGCTATTATAACTAAAACACAAGTATTTACAAGGAAAGAAGTCAAACAAAGATGCATGCTGATGAGTATTAATCATGTTCCAATCTGCATGAAGTCTTTCACTTGATGTGTCTTACTTGTTGGTTGTAGTGTGTGTGTGCCTGCATCCATTAGTCAAATACATACTTAGCATAATTTAACACCTCTCTATGGCATTTAATGAATCAGTGTGAAGATATTGCATAACTTGACTAGGAAATCATGTCATTTAGTATACTTATCACTTTTCATGTGTATACATTTTTTGGGAACTTGTGAATTGAATTCTTTTTGATATTGCTTCGTAAATTACTTGATACTGTCACATATTGTGATATTATTTGATCATAAACTGTGAGTTTGTTTTATCTTTATAATTTATACTACAGACTGCAAGGGCAATTGTCTAAATAACAATTATAATTAAGAAATATTGGAAACATTTTTTTTGTGTTGCGTGCATTAAAAGATTTCCTTAACTTAAATAATTTTTTATTAGGTTTGATTTTGATTTTTGTTATCTTTTACCTAAAAATAATTTTTATACACAATATATTGAGTCAACTTGCAAAACCTGCTTAGTAACTTCAAGTTTAGATAAACGATAAGGTTCTAAGTACATTTATTTGAAATTCTGTGTGTTAAATATAGATCTAGTAGTAAAGTAGTAGACACTTCAGGGAATAATTTTTTTTCACAAAAAGTTAAGTTAGAAGGTTTTGCAAATAAACTCATTTATTGATTTTGAAGCAAAAGTCTATTCAAAGTTGAGTTTTTTTTTTTTCTAAATTTGGTATTTATAAACTTTTTCTCTTTACTTTCTTTATTTAAGAAAAAAAAAACAGCTTTGAAAACTTAGGTAAGAATTTATCAGGCAATTGTGAAATAACAACCAGCAGGAAAGGCAGTGAAATAACATTTCCACAAAAAATTGATATTCCTTTTTGACAATTTCTAAACTTTTGCAGTAATGGTTCCTGTTTGTTGACTTGTATTGTTGGTTTGGCTTTTAAAAAGTAGTGCTGCTAACTTTTCTCTTCATTGAGGTACATTTTAAAGGGTTGTATAATAATCAATAGAATTATTTAAACATTTTGAGAACTGCAAGTTGTGTTATAATAGCATAATAAACAGTTACGTCCCTTGAGTCCGAGGAGTTTGCTGTTACATAAAAAAATATTGCTTTTATTTTTAAAATCATTATTCTAGTGTAAATGTGTTGAACAAGATTGAGATATTTCTTGTTTTTCTCTTTTGTCTGAAAGTATTTAACTTTGTGAACACCTAGCTTATAGGTGTGCACGTATACTGGAGGGAATGGAAAACTTGGTCTGTGTGAATTGTAACAAATCATTTCTATGCATGTACAATGATTGATGCTTTAGTATATCACTTGTGTCATTAGTTTCCAACCTTGGTGAATGAAATAGTTTCTTTTAATTTTGATTTTTTTTTTAGTGGATCATGTTTAATGAACTCCGCCAAAAAATTCATTGGTTTTCAAGTTGATTTTGTTCAGCCTAAGTAAGCTACCACTGTAGTGTTGTTTGATGATCAACTGTGGCAACAAAATTATCAAGCTGATTTTGTCCACAACCACTGTTAATTAATCAATAACTGCCCACACATAAGTGGTTTTTGAACTGATTTTTAGTTGACGTTTCATCAACCACTGATAGATTAATTATTAGTGGTTTTCGAGTTGATTGTTGATAAGTTCAGCAACAACTGATAGTTTGATGATTAACTGGGCCAATAAGTCAGTGGTTTTCAAGCTGTTGTGTGTGTTATAAATTAAATTGATCAGCAAACACTGTCCTCGCCACCCGAATCCTTAGGCTGGCTGTGATTTCTCAATTTGTCCTAATTTTTTTTTCTACAGTGAGGAAAATCCTGTTGTAGGCTATCTTGTATAGTTTTTATAGATGTGTGATTTTCATTCATGTGATTGTTTGTTTTACACTGTCTTACTTCACTAATGTGAGGGTGTTTTATTTAAGAGTTTATTTTTATTATGTAGATCTATTTGATATCAAAACACTTTGACACTTACGTAGTTTGAATAAATGGAAAATGAGGAATATTCCCTGATCTGTATAGATTTATCATACATACTTGTTCTTTGGCTTTATCATTAATCTAACCATAAATTTTAGGAGTTAGTGATTCTTATTGCAGTCTGTATAACTTACCTTGGTTTCTTAAAAAACAAACAACCTTTCTTTTACCTGTTGATGATTAGACCTCCCTGCTCAAGAACAAGTAGATCTATAAGAAAAATGTTAGATTAGACATAAGTGAAACAATTACAGCATATCAAGGCTGTCCCTGACCTAACCCTCTTTACAGTGTCCCTAGCCCAGTGACTTCCACAAGGTATAAATCAGGGGTATAGTTTTAGCCATGCAAATTGTATGAAAAGTTAAATCCTTACAAAAATCTCAAAAAATAATTGCATCTAATGGCATCTTCACCTTAGATTTTCATCAGTTGATAAAATGAAATTCTTGAAATAGAAAGTTAAAATGATGATACTGTTGTTTATCTTGAGGTTTAAATAATAATAATTTTCTTCTTTAAAGTGTGTTTTGATTTTGCTTAATTAACTGATATTACATGATGTCAAATAGTTTGCAATTGTAATGTTCATATTAGCTTAATTTAATCTCAAACATGAATTCTATGGTGAGACAATTTTTGGCACAGTGATTAAGAAGGAATTTTCTGAATTGAACAACTTTACAGTAGTTTACAGTGATTGAGATCTCTTCATAATATGAAGAAAACATCTTTAAGGGACATAATCATGGAAAAGTGCTTAAGGGATATAACCCTGTAGAATTATAAGAAAGTTTAAGGATATAACCAAATGTAGTCACAGGAAGAGCTCCAAGTTGTATCTAACATTAAGTAGTGATAATGGTTACCTCAGGGTGTTGTATGTACATGTGTGGATGTCAAACTAGTGTTAAATAAGTAACCAACTTGGCATAATGCTCTCAGGGGAAGTAACTGATGGTGGTTTATTTCCCTTTCCACCTCCCTTTGAAGGAAGTGGTTATATTTTCAGGCATCAGGTCAGAACGTACATCTGTGGTTATTATCTGCATCCTTGGGTAGAAAATTGCGGGATAAATATGTTAAGTTTAACTTTTGCTTAATTTATTGTGTGTAATTTATAGTGTGTTACTGTGTGTAATTTATGCGTATAGTATAATTGCCAGTTTTTCAGCTTGAAAACCTCTGATCTCATTTTGTCTGACATTCTTTTTACATACATACATATATATATACACCACCATGTACATATGTACATGTTACTCCAAAATGTGTGTACAGTGTATTCTATAAATCTTAGATTACTTGTATGGTTGTTTATCCTAGTTAATTTCTAATTGCTTTTGTCAAGACTTTTTATTAAAAAAAAACACATTTGACTGTAAATATTTGCCCAAAAATAATACATTCTTACCTGGGTTTTTTTGTTCTTTTTTAAAAATGTGATTTGTAATTGTAATATAAATTGAGAAAAATTTAGCTTTAATTTTTATTACATTTTGTTTGAAACTTCGAGTAGTGGTAGAAATCCCAAAGCAGTACATTTTTTTGCTGCTACTGCTACACAAACTGTAACCATAGTCATAACCCTAATCCTAATGGTAATAGCTGAAGTAAAAAAAAACGACCATACAATACCCTGAAAGTAATTAGAGATGTGTTTTTCTTGTATTGAAACAATTGTTTCAAGAGGTAAGTCTATAGTAACACCCTCTATTTTGTTTGATGTAGTATAGTTCTGACTAAAGCATGTGCTATGAACCCTGGCATAAAGCAAGTATCAGTTTATTGTATGTGTTATGAACCCTGGCATAAAGCAAGTACCGGTTTATTGTTTGTGCTATGAACCCTGACATTAAGAAAGTATCAGTTTATTGTATATACTATGAACCCTGACATACAGGAAGTATCCGTTTTTTGTTGTGAAGTGTTGTTAAAGCATCTGGTTTGACCTTAGGACTTGGTGGTATTCAAGGCAGTAACTTGAGTAACACCCCCCCCCCCCAACACCGCCGTTATGGCGTCCCCACCAGGCTTCACTGTGCTATCTATATGCATTAGTGGTGTACAACGTTCTCACAGACTGCCATACACACCTGACCGGACACGGGGAGTAAGTCAAGTGATTTAAGAACCATGTTCTAAAGGTCTCGAGCAGTTGCATATACAGGTTTTCGGTCGGGCTAGCAGGGGCGGCGAGTCGAGACAAAAGGCGCTATATATATATATATATATATATATATATATATATATATATATATATATATATATATATATATATATACATATATATACATATAAATATATATTATATACATATATATATTATATATATATTATATATATATATATTATGTATATATATATATATATAAAGTACTCTGTAGAAAACAAAAGAACAAAACACCATGTATGCCGATAGCACCAAACACTTTATCGCAAAAAACAACACAAAATATACACACGATACAACAAAAACCAATAAACGCTTCACAATCTGTTTTGTAATCCTTGTAAAAAAAAAACAATTTAACCGAATGGAATATTAAGACAGGCGAACTACAGTAGGGGAAATAATCACTCTCTTTATATAGATCTAGATATAAATAGGCCTACACATTTTATTATAATTGATTAAAATTACTGTTTAATATAATAGCTTATTGCTAATTTATTTTACAAAAAAAAATATTGTCTACAATCAGAGTTAAATATATTTACAACATAAATTCTAAAACAGCATAGCTCAATGTAAATTGAATATATTGGCACATTTATTTGGATTTTTTGCGCGCAACTTTGGTAATTTCCTATAATTTATACATTGCACGTCAACGTGTAGCCTAATTGACAGCCCAAAAAGCTTGGTAAGCTACCATTCATTAAGGTGAGTTTTAAAAAAAACCAATTGTGTTAATTTTACAAGTAGATTAGTTTTCTACAATGCTTTTATTTAGTCTAGAATGTAAGGCCTATCCAGATTATCTAGATCTAGTCTGATTTATAAAAATGTATAGGCTCGATGCGTCCGCTTCACAGCCAAACAACTTCCTATTGTGGTAGGACATGGACAAGTGGTAGGTACGTAACTGCGTGTCAATGCAGAAATCAAACATCAATAATACACCGACTTGAATTACGAATGTGTAAGCTGTTGTTGCTACGCCCACAAATTATTAAAAAGCCAAAGCTTAGCTCCTAATGAAGCTAGAGACACAAAACTGGTATCAATGTAATGGGGGGGGGGGAATCTAGTTTTTTTTCTGGTATAATTTTATTTGAAATTAGTGGAGTTTAAAAATTACGCGCAACAACCTATTCTATCAATATCGTTTTTAACTTTGGTCCATGCTTTACATTTAGAACACCTAGCTCCATTTTCTCGAAATGTCAAGAGCCACTAAGCGTTTGAAAACTGAGGTAAATACTTTACTTTCTGTTAAAAGAATATTTCTAATCTTTTACTCCCCCCTCCCCTCCGTCTCACATCATAACAAAAAGCCACACCCCCCCCTAAGATGACGTCATACCTCAGCCTACAAGCCCCCTCAAAATTGCAATTGACTTTTTCTTAAAACATCGATATTTTTTACCTAAAATCTCGTCTGAACTCTATCGCCATAGAGTATTTTAATCTATTATTTATTAAAACTGTTTTCTAAAACGCGAAATAACGGCTAAAATTCGTTTTCTAACATTACTTTTTATAATGCAAAAGTGTGACGTCACATCATCTGAACCCCCCCTCCCTCTCCTTACACAGCGCTATAAAATTTTACTGACCCCCACTCCCCCGTACGAGTGTGACGTCATTTATGGACTACCGCCCAACTAGTCTAATTCATGCAGACACAAATGTTATCACTCAAAAGGTCCAGAATGTTTTTAAGTTTCTAGTTTAAAGCGTCGTGCGTTGCCAAAGTCAAAGTAATATTACTATTTATTGAATAAAGAAAATATATGTACGCATCGATTTAATATAATTTGCGTATTTACTATAAAACAATGCATCATAGGAATGTTATGCTATTAAAAACTGCTGAATATTAGAATGAGAAGATGGAAATAGCCAATATATCCCATTGCCAGCACGTTTTGTACGATAACATCTATCAAGTACAAATTCATTAAAAAAAAGTTTCCCACTAATCACATAAATAATCGGTTTTATTTACAATACTACCAGTGTTTCTTCCAGACTTTTTTCTCCGGGGCAGGGGGGGGGGGGCAATTGATTTTTTTTTTGGGGGGGGGGGGATGGGGGACAGTGGTAAATGTATATTATTTCTATATAAATTTCCATTTCGTGCTTAGCCAACCCCCCCCCCCCCCCCCACTCCGAAGAGATGCCAGGAAGAAACACTGAATACCACTCAGACGACTCACGTAAGAAAACCTAGAGATAAAACACCCTAGAAGTCGGGGTGTCGCGGGGCGCTAATGGAAGCTATCGATTAAATTACCACAGGGGCGCCCCTGGTTTCGTTTACTCATTGATTATAGTAGCCCACTTTACCCCAATGTAGGGAACTCTTTGAAACGAATGTAGGCGCCATAGTTTAAATTAATGTTGTGTATTCGGATACGCCTGTTGCTTTAAAACAATAACGTAGTTAGGTACAGCATGCATCAAGAATAATTTTGAAATAAACATTATTACAGAGACACATTTTTCTTACATATTTTCTTTCACGGTATTTGAAAATTTTCAATAGAACTCCAAGGCACAGGAACTGAAGGCACCTCATGAGATGGTCTTAAGCTCCAGGTAGTTGTTTAATTTGTACTAGAAATTAAGAAATTAAGCCTCTGACTTGCGTCTAATTGTGTTGCATTGTGTTATATTTGTAATACATTTATTTGAAACGTATGACCTTTTCAGTGATGTGTCTTTGGAGAGGAATGACCGATCATTAACCCTTGATCCGTGTGAGAGTAAGTTATGCTGAGAAAATAACTATTTCTAATCCGATTCTTCTTTAAGACGCACAAGTAAAAGATAAATTTACATGAAAACAATTTCTTTTAAGTAAATAATTAATTACACAATTGCATTGATAAAAGCATTTTTTTTCTAAGCCTTTAATTTGATACACACGAGAGGAGTTTAACATTTCAATGTGTAATCAGATGTAAAAAAAAAATTTAAAAAATAAGAGGAAAAAGTGCAAACATTTCACTAAAAGCCTCTAATTAGCTAAAAAACGCTAACTACAAAAAAAGTTTAGCAACTTTACAAACAATATTTCTATGTCGTTTTTACTTAAATGTATACATTTTAGTTCTTGAACCAAATTGGATGTGTTTGGAGCAGTTCTTTCAATCGCAAAAATCAGAACCTCCATGGTTTTCAGTTGAGACCAACTCTCCTCCATCAGTAAGAATGTTTAAGATAAATCTCAATAATAGTAATGGTAGCATTTATATATTTTGTGTGTAAATTATTTAATGGACAGCAATCGTGTTATTTAATTATTATATTCAACAACTCACAATGGACATTTTAAAATTAAAGATTATATATATTTTAGATAATATCAAAAGTACACATTGGAGAAAGTCTGGAGCAATCTCCTGCGAGTTTTGATCTCAAGAACAAGCTACTAGGCCCTGGAGTAAGTTTCATCAAACTTTCACTAGTTTTATATCTATGTTGTTTTCCGTCTTTAGAAAAAAGAAACAAAACCAATACAAGAGTTAATTCAAAAGGTAACATAGTTTATATGTCTATTGACACGGAAGAATAAATGTTTTAGGATCATAATAGAGCAAAAGATACTAAATTTAAATTGATTTCTGGTTCTGTTTTACATGCTTTTATCTTGATTTATTTCGGTTTGTTGTATTACACATTTTATAATACTTTATTCTACTACAAGCAGTAAGCTTAACATTACAACACACAATGGTTAGTATCGAATATTTAGAAGGCTTGCTCTTGTTTATAATTGTTTAGGGGAGTCATCTAATGCACATCCAAGCTAAAACAGGAGCGGGCGTTAGTCTGAGGGGTAGAGGGGCTGACGATTGTGAAATGGAAGGAATGGATTCCGTGGAACCTATGCATGTCTACCTCGAGTAAGTAAAAAATTATATACATTTAAAAATGTATGTATGACCTATCTGTGTGCTGTAAATAATTTATTTTCGTTTTTTTCTTTTTAAATAACAGGCACTATTCTTATGATAGATTAGAAGAGGCTAGAGAGTTGGCCAAACAATTGATCTTAACAGTAAGTGATTAACGTTGTGATAAACTTTTCTATTGTATGGGTTATTTAATGGCATTGTTAGAGGTAAGATTCATATTTTTTTAAATTGATTCTGATACAAGTATACAATGGGCACCATTGAGTTTGACGAGACTTTCACGATCATTATTGTTGATAAAAAACGTGTTTCTTTCAATTTTGCATGTATAGCGGACATACAAAAATACACTTTAGCTTGAGAAAAAAAAACTTAAATGTAGTATTTTAAAAATCAATGATATAAATGATAAATTTGGCCATATTTCAATTATTATTGTAATTATATATATATATATATATATATATATATATATATATATATATATATATATATATATATATATATACTTCGGGGTAAATATGTTTTTAAAGAACCGCGTCTGAAACTGCTAATGCTATTATTATAAAAATATTATTTACTGCGAGTGTGCGGTATGTCTTTGCCTCCACTAACATTAACATGTAGAGACGAGGAAAAACTAAGCTGGTTTAGCCTTTTTCAAAATACTTGTTTATTTACAGAAAATATCAAAACTGAAGACAAATAGTCACATCTTTAAAGTCCAATAAAAAAATGAAATATTTTGTTGTTGATGTTCAGTCATTAGTTTCTAAGAATGAAACATCACGGAAACCTCCACATTGAGTTCTCGTGATTTAACGTAACTAATGAAAACAGGTTGAACTACCTTAATAGCTTTTTATGTCAAGTTTCATACAGACAGACGAACATGAGTGGTTTTTTTAGTAGCTGCACTACTGAACATAAACGACTCTCTCAGACCTCCTCCTCAACATTATTCCACCCCTTCATCACACACGAACTCCCCACTATCACCTTCCTAACTTGGAATAACACATATTGTTACAATTATTTATAGTTAGTATACTGCTGTTTTCTAATTAATACATTTATTCCCAGTTTTAATTCGCTTTTTGTTTCCAATAAATAGAATTTTCCGAATATTTAAATATTCTTCTTCTTAAAATTGTCATTCCATGTTGTTTCCATAAAACGTTATCCTTGCTGTTACTCTGACAGATGTGTATGCAGTAAGCTTTTGGGCATGTATTATTCCCACTCTAATATTTCAGTTTTATCTTCTGTGTCCAACCCATCATTACTTAGCATGGATGTCGCAGTCTCTTCTAGAGGCTGCACTCCATAATTAACCATGTCATGTTTACTTGATTATTTCTCTATAGGTGCAGCAGTGGCTAGTGGGGTTCAACCAGGCCATGGCTACAATTCCAGCACTAGACTCCACAGCAGCTGACGTTCCCCAGCAGCGTAAGTCTGTGCTGAAAAGTTTGTTTTAAAGTCTAAAAATAAATTCTACCAGGTTTGAAGACGTATCTCTTACCAAAAAGTTCTCAAATGAACTCTTAAGTTTCTCTATTTTAAAAAGTAAAAAAAAAAAGTACTTCCATCTTATTGCAGATGAAATTGGGTTCATCTGTTTTCTGACCACGGCATTTTAGGTACTGGTGTGATCCGCATATTTTTAGTCTAATATTGTGTAGTTTAAAATATGTAAACGATCTCATGAGCGACCAAAGCTTTTATGAAAGAAAGCGAATTAGTTTTATTATCTTATTTTCATTGTATTTAAAAGCTTGGTATTAGAAAGTTTTTAAAAATATGTTTTAATAAAATGTGTATGTATCCTAGAATTTTTTTATCTAAATAGGACAAACTAATCAAGAGAACTAACTGTTCCCTATTGTCTAAAGAAGTGCTAGAATTCACGAGAGCCGTTGAAAACCGAAGGAAAGAAATGAATGCGTCACCATCGTAAACCTTCAGACCACAGGAAATTTTCCCTGTTATTTCTCTTTAATTACTCGTGATTAACCCCTCCAAAATAAAAATAAAAATATTTTTAATAAATAAATAAATTTAAAAAAAAAAAACGATGAAAGTACTGTGTTTAGTATTGTTTTTATTTTTTTCATAAAAAATAGTATAATGTGATTGTTGAAATTACATGTTGTTCACCAGCTTAAAAATTCGCGGATGTGTTCATGTAAACGCCCATCGTGTCATTCTTAACATATTATTTAAAAAAAAAATATTTTTTGTATTTTGTTTTTCTAAACAAAGAACAGTTGAAAATCTAGTCTCGCAGAGATCTGAAGACAATGGAACTAAAGATTTATTAAGTTAGGCAAGTTTTCATTTCCGAGATATCTTTCTGCAAATTCGAAAACTCATGTTGTTCATTGAAAATGCTGGTTGTATTACATTTCGCGTCAATGTAGTTTATTTTTTAGTTTCTTCTTCTTCCAGCCAGAGTTTTTTTTTTGTGATGATGGAGAAGGGGAGGTAAATAAAATCGTCAAAAGCGTGACGTCATTTATGGAAGACTCCTTAGCTCTGTGAATAATTATAGCTTTCCGTCTTAAAAAAAAACTAAAACGTTTACATTGGTATTTTAAAAATTGTTGTATGTAAATACTGTTAGAAAGATAAACGAAATCCTGTTTCTTTTCTACTTTAGAAATAATTAAAAGTTCCAAAAAGCCCCCCCCCCCCCTCCCACCCACCCAGTCCCGTCTTTACTGTACAGGCATTGGCATTCAGTGTGTGTGTGTGGGGGAGGGAAGGGGGGATGGCGAAAGGGCCCATATGGCGCTACTAATCCTATAAGTTTTTGGTCTTTTATCCAATCGCCGCAGAGGCGTAGCGACCCTTCCCGGCGCCCGGGGACAAACTTTTCGATTTGCACCCCCCCTCGAGATTTCGATTTGCACCCCCCCCCCTCGAGATTTTGATTTGCACCCCCCCCCCCCTCAAACTTTCAATTTGCGCCCCCCTCAACCTTTCAACTTATTTTTCCAACCCATTTTGGCGCCCCCTACGCTCGCTACTCTACTGAATCGCCAAGAAAATATTGAAAGTCGTTGATAATGCTCCAGGCAGTGAAAGAAACTCTGGCATTCGGGAAATTTTCAAGCATTAAATTAATTGTTTTAGCGAGCAGCTACCTGAGAGCAAAGGGCTCCGCTGACTGCGCGTCCTGCAGGGGTACTACTTATTCAACGATCAAACTGAAACAGGGTCGGCCTTACGGATGACACCAAGCACAGGAGCACCCTGCGTTGGGCTTCGATGATTAAACCGAACCAGGGGTAGCATCCGGCTAGTGTAACACGTCGCTCCCGCGGCACCCTTACGCGGTCGCTGAATAGTGTTTAACCTCACTATTACCGAGAATGATTAACGTACACTCAATGCTTTCATACAGCACGCGCAAGGGTGTCTGACTGGTAGTGTGGACAAACCGCGCCCAGCAACAAAGATCCGAAAACAAAATACAAAAGTGGCGTTGTTAAACCTTTAACTATCTCAGTTTTAAAAAATAAGATCACACGACTACAAATACAGCATTAGTAACGCGTTGATGAAACCCTTACAAATTGTTTCATTACACGGGTAACGCTGATGCTTGCTACCGATAAACATTCATTAACATTCCACTGTGATCAGGAATGAAATTTTGATGTCTATGATAGAAATTTTTAATCTCATTATGTGTTCATTATGATGCTGTACTGTTAATTTGTTATTAAACAAATTGTAGATATGCCCATTGGGCCAGTAACTTAGCATTCCTAAGTATCTAACATACCGAAACAGTTAAAATAGATCTAAAAAAACTTATTATTTATTTTTCAAAATTAAAAGCCTAAGAAAAAAACAGATCTACATAAATCAGGAGCAGTTTTTTTTAAAAGATGTGTTAGTGGCGTCTTAAGGTAGGGTGTTCCCCTACGCGTTTACCAAAAGATGTCACTTATCTTTTATTATTTTAGCTGAATACAACATAATTTTTTCAATACATTTTACAATGTTTCGTCATGGTGTCACGCCTTAATGTTGTCAGCTGATGCGGACCGCACCTCTGCCCCCGTCTTGTGACCCTACTGTGCTTGGTTACTTGAAAAACAAAAACAAATTTACGGTAAACCTGTAACATTTTTACACAACTACGGGTTGTAGGCCTACATAATAATATAGTATAAATAAAAAATCAGGATATATAAAATACAAAAAGTACAGAATATTTATATTATTTAAAACCCTACATCGGAAGAAGAAGTTGATTTCTTCGTTTCACTTCTTGGTAGCCTATAAACGGCTGACAAAAGGCGCACTGATAATTTTTGCGCAGGGGACCGAAAATCCTAGCTACCATAAATGACGTCACACTCGTAGGGGGTATCCGTAATTTTGTGAGGGTGTGAGATGAGGGGGAGGGGGGGGGGGGTATAGATGGTGAGGTAGATTGGACCGTTTCTATTATTATACACTGACGCAGAAGCCACGTTGGTTGTTAACTAGTCTTTTTATTCATCTACCATGATGGAAACAGGAACAGGAAGTCACGAGATATAAACAAGGGACATCACCCAAAACAACATTATAAATATAAGACTAATACTTGTGACATGGTTGTAGAGGCACTGATCCTCCTGTGACAGCGTCAAAGTCCTTCTTTGTGATGACGGTTAGAGATGCTCCAGTGTCAAGTTGGAAGCTGATGCTCTTACCGTTGATACAAACTGGTACGTTAATGGGAGCATGACTTATTGATTTCACAGAGAACAGGTTGAACTCCGGCTGCAAATCAGTTTCAGCATTTTCTCTGGTAGAGTGGTTCATTGGTTGGGTTAGGTTGTCTTGGTGAGAGTTAACATAGTGCTGTCTTTTGGTTGCGGTACTGTCTTGACTGGCTAGATTTAGCAACAGACGAAGACTTTGCAAAGCAGGCCTTGGCAATGTGACCTTGCTTACTGCACTTATAACAAGTTGCTGACTTGAACTTGCATCGATGAGATGCATGGGGACCGTTGCATCGATGACATTTTTGATAATTATTACTAGATTTAGATCTAGGATTTGAACGTGCAGGCTGTTTAGCATAAGTTGAAATGCTCTGATGGGGTCGGTGTTTGTTGACTAACCTGCTGTCTACTGCATGGATCCCTGAGGGCGTCAGAGATCTTGCCGCCTCGGATGACTGCAGGAATGAAATTGCTAGTTGTATTGCTTTTTCCAATGTGAGATCTGACTCGAGAAGCAACTTTCTTTGAACATCAGGGCTGTTTACACCTATCACAAACTTTTCACATAGTCTGTCAGACAGCGTGTCTCCGAATTCACAGAATCTACTTAGATGACGTAAAGCAGCAACATATTCTGATATTGATTCGTATGATTGACGAGTCCTACCGTCAAATCTGGCTCTACACAGGAACTTTGATGAGGCAGGCGCATGGTGGTCTGTTAGCAGTTTGCTCAGCTCGTTAAAGCTCTTGGTAGTTAGACTAGCTGGTGCGCATAAGTCCTTTAATAGCCTAAATTGTTAAGGCTCTATGACTGTTAACAAAACAGCTCTCTTTTTGGCTTCTATCGTCACGTCGTTAGCTTCAAGGTAAAAGCTTAAGGATAGGCACCACGGATAAAATTTTTTTTTTCATTTAACACATTTCTGGTTGTTTAATAAGTTTATATAATTATAGTTGTTAAACTATAGACAAAAATAATATATAGCCGTCAATAGCAGTACTGGTTGCCATGGAAACCGCGAAAAGGTGTGAAAACTAACACCTTTTCAAATCGCTAAGGCTTTGTTCCCATAAGAGATTTTAAAAAGCGGATGAAAGATTTAGATTTCTCAAACCAAACTATACATTTCTACGTTTATTTATTGTGATAGCTTGTACTCAATTTTTAATACAAATTTTTACGTAAATTTATGTACAAAAATTAGGGGGTGGTGTTACATAAATATCAATATTTCCTAAAATATTGTAGTAAACTTAATGTACAAACGTAGTTTTGTAGATGGTATCATACTGAATGCACATGAAATGTTTTATTCTTGTATGACAAAGGGTTCCAAAGCCTTAGCGATTTGAATGTTGAATTTTGAGTAAAAATGCAAAGTTGAGAAAACGTGAAAAGAAGAGCGGGAAAAGGCACGGTGCGTTTTCTCTTATAGAAAACAGAAAAAAACGTCTTGTTATATGTGGAAGAACCATTTCTCTAATAACATACGCTTTGATTTATGTTGTAAGTTTTAGACAGATTTTTTCTATGTAAGCAGAAAATATGTATACAACAGGTAATGAATGTATGACTATTAAGTATTACACATCCTATCAATCGAGCGGTATTCTCAGAACAGCTATCTTCAAACCAGATCAAGTTTTGTTTGTTAGCCGGTCTTCTCACTTCAAAATAATGTCTTTCTCTACTCAAATTGTAGCTTACACAAGTTTATTGCCTTATGATAATAGCCTACAACACAACACTGGGTACAACGCTTGAGGCTAGACACGCCCACCCCACCGCTGGATAGTGCGTGAAGAACCGATGAGCCATAGATTACCAATGTTCATTCAACCGCGAATAACACATCTGTGTAGATAGGGTCAAGTACAGGGCCTAAGTGAATGCTTCTCACCTATCCTATCTAGTATTTACATTCGGTCATTCGTTGCTACCACACCCTATACGGAGAGATGGGCATACACATTAACACATGTGTCGTATACAGTCCGGTGTAAAGCCTGATGAACGCGTTCAAGCCTATCACAGCATGCCGTAACTAGATTATAAACCGGCCGTTGGTTGAATGGCGAGAAGGGAATGAAGGGGCTAAAGGGGATGGACAGTACATTCTTCAAACTGATAGTCATGTCCATGACGCATTGTTTCAGCTTAGTATAAAGCGTACGAAACAGTGTTTAATATTGTTCCAGTGATAATCAACAGTGCATTTCTAGGCCACGTTTCAATTACTAAACTTAATGTTGTACTATAACTTTAAAACAACAAATAGAAGAGTATACGCAAATGAGGTAAACAAACGAGACAGGCGATTGTTTTGTTTATCTAGAAACAAGATGGCTGCCTAGCACACGTGGTTAGTTGCAGCCTATCGTGAATTATTTTGATTTACTGTACTATAATATGATTGGTCAAGCGTATCAATGAATTTCTTCCCATTCATAATTTTTACGCGCATGCCCTTATATGGAGTTTGATATAAAAAATTTTTTTGTAGAAAACAACTTCTATCTCACTTATTTTTAGAACTAAAGAAAAGGTCACTACACCAGCGGGTACACGAGTGCTTGGCCCTTAGATTGCTGTAAAGTTTATGGTGCCTCGCGGGCCATAAATACATGTAATACCCGCTCGAAGATAGCCGCTGTCCGCGTAGTAGTGTGAAAACTTGCCGGGGGGGTACCATGTTTCACATCGCAATAAACGGATAACCGTAAGCTGTAGAAGTCCGAAATGTTCGGGTTAGATAGATAAAAGGTATTAGTATCGAATTAAGAAATAAAAATTTTGGGGAGCAAAATTACAATTTTATCGAAAACATGGGTATCTTGTTCCCTTAACCTATCTAGATAATCATGAATGGTTTCATCATTCGAATCAAATTCTTTTATTTGGCCATACAGCGCCATTATCCTAGAAATACTTAGCCAATATGCTCTAGCAAGCTTCTTTTTAAGTAAGCATATGCTCTTTTTCTGCGGATGATCTATCCTCGTCGCCAGTTGTGGTAGATTGGACCGTTTCTATCATTATACACTGACGCAGAAGCCACGTTGGTTGTTAACTAGTCTTTTTATTCAGCTACCATGATGGAAACAGGAACAGGAAGTCGCGAGATATAAACAAGGGACATCACCCAAAACAACATTATAAATATAAGACTAATACGAGAAGAGTGAGTTCCCTTGACTTCACAATTCTCAATATATTACAGATGGTGTGACGTTACACTTTTGCATTATAAAAAAAACAATGTTAGAAAACGAGTTTTAGACGTTATTTCGCGTTTTAGAAAACTGTTTTAATAAGTTGTAATAGAAATTGATTAAAATACTTTATGTTGACAGAGTTCAGACATGATTTTGGAAAAATATCAATGTTTTAAGAAAAATTCAACTGCAATTTTGAGCGGGGTTGTTGGCTGAGGTGTCACGTCATTTTAGGGGGAGGGGGGGGGTCTGGCTTTTTGTGACGCTGTGTGATGGAGGGGAGGGGGAGAGGTAAAAACCGTCAAAAAAGCGTGACGTCACTTATTGAAGACCCTCTTAGTTGTGGCCTTGTTACGCCTATCCACCTCGGCCATCTATTTTAAATTCCAAAAAGACCAGGTTTCGAGAAAGCCGTATTTATTTGGTCCCGGCTACTTCCTCATCTCAAGAACATGAGCTCTGGAATTTGCATCCTACTGACGCATACATCAGATTCATACATCTTTTTATTCCAGCACTGACCATTTTAAAATAATGTAATTACCCTTGGGTAGGGTTTGGGAATCAATTCTGTTTTAGGCATCTTTTCGGGGACGAAACTAGAAAAAAAAAACATAATTTATATACAAAATATATAATTTAGCCTGTGTCCCATCCACACGAAAATTTAACCTCGCCACCGTCTCCCCGAAAGTTTCAAATGCCCCCCCCCCCCAATCCCGAGAAACTTTTTATGTAACTATTTTTTTCTAGTTACAATAAGAATGATGTAAGTACAGATTTAAAAAAAAAATTCTATTTGATTTAACAAAAAAATTCTTACGGTACTCCTGGGGAGCTGTGCCCCCTCAAGATAGATGCCTGAAAGAAACTCTGATTGTTTGTGTCATAATTATTGATATTTAGTTTCATTCCAGAGGGCAGAGCCGGATATATGACTGCTAGTTTAGCATTAGGTTCATTCCAAAATTTGGTAATTTTTAATACCTTGGGCAGGGAATTAAAACAGTGGGGGGGGGGGGGGGGGGGGGACACGGGACACTTGATATTCTTTTTCGTGTCCCAGTATTATCAGAGGCGTAGCGACCCTTCCCGGCGCCCGTGGACAAACTTTCGATTTGCACCCCTCACCCTCAAACTTTCAATTTGTTTTTCCAACCCATTTTGGCGCCCCCTACGCAGAGGCGTAGCGAGGGGGGGGGGCGGGGGTGCGGAAAGCACCGGGTGACACCATTTAGGGGGGGGTGACACCAAGGCAAAAAATAGCAAAATATAAAAAGAAAAACTTGAGGGGAGGGTGCAAATGGAAAGTTTGAGGCGGGAGGGGGGGGGGGGGTGCAAATCGAAAATTTGAAAGTTTGTCCCCGGGAAGGGTCGCTATGCCTCTGGGGGGGGGGGGATGACACCATTAAGTGCTGCACCGGGTGACACCCGACCTCGCTACGCCCACTGCCACTACGGACAGCGCCCTAAGCGACCGCCTAGATCGCCTTATAGGTAGCGCCGGCCCTGGGTGGACAACATTTTCTGGGGGAGGGGGAGGGGTGGAAACTGGTAAAAATATACGTTTTCTGTATAAATTCCATTTCGTTCGAGGGGGGGGGGGGCGGTAGACTTTCTTCGGAAGAAACTCTGAATTACGAAAAACATATATAAAAAGACCTTTTAAAAATAAAAATACAAAACTACTTTATTTATTTAGCTTATTTAATAACGGTAACAAAAGTAGGCACGGGGGCCTTATTAAGCCCGTTATTGCCATCGTTTCGTTTAAAATTAGAATTACAATAACTTCATTAAATAGTTTTTTTTTTATGAATACGTAGCCAGTGTTTCTTCCAGACTTTTTTCTCCGGGGGGGGGGGGGGGGGGGGCACTTGAGATTTTCGGGGGGGGGGGGGGGGGGGGCGGTAGACTTTCTTCGGGGGGGGGGGGGGCTGACACTGTTAAAACTTTTATTAAAAGTATATATTTTCTATATAAATTATATAAATTTCATTTCGTTCACCCCCCCCCCCCCCCAAGAGATGCCTGGAAGAAACTGTGTACGTAGCAACGATTAATTTTAAAATACATATTGTGTTGTATAAATTTAGAATCAGCTCATTGCATGATTTTAAATATTTTAATTTTAATGCAGCTTACTTTGTACTTTGTAGGCTAATAGGCCTACTCTAGTTGAGGCAAAAAGTTTAGGCGCAAATTCGTTTTGAACGTAAACAAAACCTTGATATAGCCTAGCAATCTAGACTATAGATCTACATTTTAGTGTAGCCTGTCCTAGACTAATCTACACTTACAGTTATGTTATTTTGTAAGCATTGAAAATGTATTAGATCTAGATCTAGAATCTAGATCTATAAAGTATTTAGAATCTAGTATTTATAAAAAAATATTTAGTATCTACTAGATCTAGAAATAGATCTAGATCTATAATAGTATCTAGATCTAGATTCTAGATACTATCTCTATCTAAATCTAGCCGTCTAGATCTAGATTTAGACTAATTTAGTAATTTAGATAGATCTCTAGATCTAGATTCTAGAACTAGAATCTATGATTCTAAATCTAGAATCTAGATTTCAGTAGATTCTAGATCTAGATCTCTATCTAGATTCTAGATCTAAATCTAGTGACAATTTATTTAAAGAGCAGGGCTGTTGCCTATCGTAAAAATATGGAGGTATAAAAACTTTTCTGCAAGTAACTGACCATACAATATTTTGTTTAAAAATGTTTGCCACGCGATAAATTGTGGATTATAGCGCTTTGTATACGCAATGTTGGCAGAGGCGTAGCGACCCTTCCCGGCGCCCGGGGCGAACTTTCAATTTGGCGCCCCCCCCGCTTATATATATATATATATATATATATATATATATATATATATATATATATATATATATGTGTGTGTGTGTGTGTGTGTGTGTATAATTATGTGTGTGTGATAGTGTGTTTATATATAAGCTTGTGTGTGGGTAAGAGTGTATTTGTGTGTGTAAGCGTGTGTGTAAGCGTGTATGCTACAGTCCGGACAAGGTTTAATAATTACATTGTATGATTTTCATTCCTTAAAACTTTACGACAATTTAATTCCCATTAAGATGCGTTTAACTTTTTTTGCGAAAGATTAGTAATGTCAGTAAAAAAAAATAAGCCTGATCTGTGTTAGAGGGTAGTTTGTAGCTAACGCTAATATGTTTAGACCAGCCTTTTATGTTCTAGTTTTGAACGATCTCCGTTGTGATATGGTACATAGTTGGATTCGAAGTTTGTTAGAGTAAGGACACACAAGTGACATACAAGAAGAAGTTATCAGAAATATTTATTGTTCACATTGGAATACGACATGGGTATTTCGTTGATTGGTTGATGGTATGACAAAACAAGCTAGAGAAAACAAACTGGAATCCAACGGATGTTAACAGCTCGTAGTCTTGGATTTCGCAGATTTGCCTTGTCTTCTCGCACACAGTTTCTTCCAGGCATCTTTTCGGGGGGGCGAAGCCCCCCGGAAAAATTTTTACGCCCCCCCGAACGAAATGAAATTTATATAATTTATATATAGAAAATATATACTTTTAACAGTGTTCGCCCCCCCCCCCCCCGAAGAAAGTTTACCGCCTCCCCCCTCCCCCCGAAGATTTCAAGTGCCCCCCCGGAGAAAAAAGTCTGGAAGAAACACTGATCAAAAGTATCTGATCTCTCACGTTGAAGTTGAGAGAATCGTAAGAATCTTACAAAGAACTAGTCGCGTCTTTTTTTTTAACAAAACTGGCTATTGAAATTGTACATTACGCGTTAATACACTTGGTTTCTTTACTAAGTGTTAAGAGAGTTATCTACTCACCAATCCAGTACAAATACTTGCGATTTTTGTTAGCGAAAAAAGCGCCCCCCCCCACCCCCACTCATCACAACCATCTTGGACAAAGTTTGTAGAGCGGTTTTTAACGTAACTAACTTTTTTTTAAAAAATGTTACACAATTATACAATGCACAGTACAATTCGTTTCTTTCTGAGAGCTAAAGGTTGTTTACTCAGAATCCTGTGTAATTTTGCTATTTTATTTAGCCTAAAAGCGCCCCCCTGCACCATCTTGATAAAAGTCACTAACGTATTTTACAGTTCAACAATCGTACAATACGTTTTAATACAATTGGTTTCTTTTAATAGTGGTAACGTTTATCGACTCAACAATCTAGTGTAAATTCTTCCGTTTTAAGTCTCGAAAAAGCGCCCCCCCCCATCTAGGAAAAGCTTCAAAGCGGTTTTGCCGGTCACTGTTTCTTAAGAGTATATGTTTTACATTAAGAAATCAAGATAGAAAACAGTTAAATCAGTATGTAAATGCGTGTAGCCATTATATTTCTTAACTTAGACAGTTTATAATTCAAAACTGCAGCATAAAATCAGCTTTAAAAATTTTGTCCCACCCCTTTTGGCGCCCCCATAGGGTCGGCGCCCGGGGCGGCCGCCCCCCCCCGCCCCCCCCTAGCTACGCCTCTGAATGTTGGGCAAGTTTAGTAAATACTTTAGAAAACATTTTGCTGGTTTTAAAACAAGTTCCAGAGATGGGTGGTGGGCAGAGGTGTGACGTCATTTTAGAGGGTGGGTTCTGACTTATTGTAACTGACATTGAGGAGGGGAGGTAAAGATCATTAAATTTCTGACACCATTTATGGTATGTATATCTCCCCCCCCCCCAAATAAACTAGAATTTGTATAAAATATTTAGTCCTGAAAGAAATAATGAGGGTTAAGATAGCTGATTGTTAGGTATGGGATTAGTATTGACATTAACAAGAGATGTTTGTATTTCTAACAAGATTTCTTTCTAGTTTTGTTGTGACATTATTGGAGACATACAGCATAATCTGTTACTATTGATTCAAATGATTTTAATAACTGTTGTTGAGTAAATTTAGACTGCTTTTTTTTTAGCGCAATTTCCATTCTGGAGAATTGCGTTTATTAACTCGTCATTTCTGGGAATGGATGGATGGATGGATGAATGTGTGTCCGGTCTTTAAGTCGTATCTCCTCCTCAACGAAGCAATATCGATGACTAGTTCCAAAAGCAATTATGTTAAGCAAGTTACGAGAATGAGCATAGGCTATAAAAATTCCGGGTTTCTTTCATGTATTTCCCGGAAAAGCCAAAAAACCTCGAAAAAATGCAGTTTTTGGCCCATATCCCGGCAACCAGACCACTTAGCGACTTGAAACATGTACCAATCGATTCCTGTCATAATTTAGAACAATATTGCCAAAGAAAGTTTTCAAAAATATCCTCTCGTTCGGTCACAAATTTTAAAAATACATAAACACCTACAAACCGATCGTTCTTCTAGCTTGAACGCACCCCAACATTATACGTCAGAGCTATTTTTAGATAACATAAGGAAATTGCGCATAAATGTCACTAGACTTTTTTAATTAACTTGTTTACTTATATAAATTTTGTAGTTGAATACTGTTAACATATTATCATCAATTTTATCATTTAGCGACAAAAATCTTTCCTGGATACATCAAGTTCATCAAGGTGAAGACACCGATCACCTTGAAACAAGTATCATTCGAAACAAATGGTAAATCTGAAGATTTTAAAAACTTTTATTTTCATTAACTTTAACACACTGATATTTTATCTAACTATTTTGACTTTCAATTTTTCAGAAGAGTGTGAAGGGCAAATGGATGTTTACATTGAAACCAAAAGCACTACATGTTGTAGCTTATTGTGTAAATTATCCAAAAAAAAACAAATTTTTTCATTTGAGCTGAGCCTAGGTGAAAATGATGAAGTCAAAGTACAAGGAAATGGAGATTGTAATAGATTGAAATAATTGTGAGGTCAAGGGAACTCACTCTTCTGTATTAGTTATATTTATAATATTGTTATCTTGAGTGATGTCCCTTGTGTACTTCCTTCCGTCCTCTCTGTGTGTTACCATCGTGATGTAGTTAGACCCAATAAATGTGTTATATACAACCACAGGCTTCTGTCGTCAATCTATTATAACTGGCGACGAAGGATAAACATCTACTAAAAAGAGCACCTACTTACGCAAAAAAGAGGTTTGCTAGAGCTTATTAGCTAATTATTTCTAGAATTATGGCGCTGTATGGCCAAATAAAAGAATTTGATGCGAATGATGAAATCATTCAAGATTACCTAGAGAGGTTAAGCTTTTACCTAGAAGCTAACGACGTGACGATAGAAGCCAAAAAGAGAGCTATTTTGTTAACAGTCATAGGGCCTCAACAATTTAGGCTACTAAAGGACTTATGCGCACCAGCTAGTCTAACTACCAAGAGCTTTAACGAGCTGAGCAAATTGCTAACAGACCACCATGCGCCTGTACCATCAAAGTTTCTATGTCGAGCTAGATTTGACAGTAGGACTCGTCAACCAAACGAGTCAATATCAGAATATGTTGCTGCTTTACGTCATTTAAGTAGATTTTGTGAATTCGGAGACACGCTGTCTGACAGATTATGTGAAAAGTTTGTGACAGGTGTAAACAGCCCTGATATTCAAAGAAAGTTGCTGCTCGAGTCAGATCTAACATTGGAAAAAGCAATACAACTTGCAACTTCATTCCAGCAGTCATCAGATGCGGCGAGATCTTTAGCACCTTCAGAGATCCATGCAGTAAACAGCAGGTTAGTCAATAAACATCAACCCCATCAGAGCATTCCAACTTATGCTAAACAGCCTGCTCGTTCAAATCCTAGATCTAAATCTAGTAATAATTATCAAAAATGTCATCGATGCAAAGGTCCCCATGCATCTCATCGGTGCAAGTTCAAGTCTGCAACTTGTTATAAGTGCGGTAAGCAAGGTCACATTGCCAAGGCCTGCTTTGCAAAGTCTTCGTCTGTTGCTAAATCTAGCCAGTCAAGACAGTACCGCAACCAAAGGCAGCACTATGTTAACTCTCACCAAGACTACCTAACCCAACCAATGAACCACTCTACCTGTAAAAATGCTCAAACTGATTCGCAGCCGGATTTCAACCTGTTCTCTGTGAAATCAATAAGTCATGCTCCCATCAATGTACCAGTTAATATCAACGGTAAGAGCATCAGCTTCCAACTTGACACTGGAGCATCTCTAACAGTCATCACAAAGAAAGATTTTGACGCTGTCATAGGAGGATCAGTGCCTCTACAGCCATGTCACAAGTGTCTAACAACATACACTGGTGACAATGTTCCGGTAATAGGAGAGTGTATGGTTCATGTAAGTTATAATGGTCAAAGTGTTAAACTTCCTCTTCTTGTGGTTGAAAGAAATGGACCGCCATTACTAGGTAGGAACTGGTTAAGTGATCTTAAGTTAAATTGGGAGAGTATTTGTTCATTGAAGAATGTAAAAGAATCTAGTCTTACTTCACTAGATAAAGTTATATCTGAAAATAAATGTGTTTTTGGTAATTCAGGTTTACTAAATGATAGAACAGTGAAGTTAAGCATTAAAGATACAAATCCAAGATACTGCAAAGCTAGAGTTCCACCTTATGCAATGAGGAATAAAATTGAAAATGAGCTAAGTAGATTGGAATCTAATGGCATTATAAAGAAGGTAGACTATTCCGATTGGGCGACACCCATTGTGCCAGTGTTAAAGAAGGATGGTTCTATAAGAATTTGTGGAGATTATAAAACTACACTGAATAAGCAAATAGAGCTAAATAGGTACCCTATACCTAACATTGAGGAAATTTCTTTGAATTTGGCAGGAGGAGACAAATTCACTGAATTAGACTTTAGTCATGCTTACACTCAACTAGAACTGCATCCAGATTCAAAGGTCTATACGACAATAAACACACATAAAGGACTCTACCAATATGAAAGACTATGTTTTGGCATATCATCCAGCCCTGGAATTTTCCAAGCTGTCATGGACAGTATTTTTAAGGATATTCCAAATGTTTGTGTTTACTTTGACAATGTGTACATAACTGGTAAGAATGACACTGAACATCTTAAAACACTTGATAAAGTATTGAAAATTGTTGGTGAAAAAGGTTTAAAGATAAACAAAGATAAATGTCAATTCATGCTGACAGAAATTAGTTTTCTTGGTTATATATTAAGCAAACAAGGTATCAGACCTCAACCTGAGAAAACAAAAGCCATTAAAGAAGCACCCAAACCTGAAAATACCCAACAACTAAGAGCTTTTTTGGGCTTGATAAATTACTATGCAAAGTTCATAGGAAATCTGTCTGGTAAACTATCACCACTGTACAAGCTGCTACAGAAAAATGCAACTTGGCACTGGGGTAAACAACAAGAAGCTGCTTTTAATACAGCAAAAGAGGCTTTGTCTGCTGACACCTTACTAACTCACTATGACCCAGGGAAAAGACTTATATTAACATGTGATGCTTCACCAGATGGTGTAGGAGCAGTCTTGTCCCATATGGATGAGAAGGGTGACAGACCCATTGCTTTTGCCAGTAGATCTTTGAACCAGGCTGAGAAAAATTATTCTCAGTTAGATAGGCAAGGCTTAGGCATCATTTTTGGTGTTAAGAAATTTCATAAGTTTCTGTTTGGTAGGAAGTTCACCATCTGTACAGATCATAAACCATTGCTAGGTTTATTTGGAGAAAACAAAACCCTACCTGAGCATGCCTCTCCAAGAATTCAAAGATGGGCTATCACACTAACTGCATACAATTATGAATTGAAATACAAACCTGGATCTGAGAATAGTGCAGATAGTCTTAGTAGATTACCTTTAAAAAACCAAAGCCTGAGCTATGTACCAGAAGATGTATTTGTTCTCTTCACTATCATGGATAACTCCAATATAAATGTGAATGATATTAAGAGAGAAACACAAAAAGATGAGTGCTTAATAAAAGTATATGAGTACTGTATGAATGGTTGGCCTGAAGAGTCTGTGAATGATGACTTAAGGCCATATTAAATAAGAAATAAAAAACCTTTGTGAAGATAATATAAAAGATGGAGAAGATACAGTCCATTATCAGTCAGAGTTGCCTAAACAAAGTATTTGTAACTTAATAAATGATTATGGTGATATGGCAATTTCAAATGTTTTAAAGAGAATACATTAGTAAGAAGGAATGTGATCATCAAACAACTTTGCTAACATCGTTAGCACTTACAGAAACTAAAAGGGTAACATCAAAAGAAAAGAAAAAAGATTTTTGCCATTTAATACACCCATTTCAAATACTGGATCACAGTTGCAAAGTGATATGGTCCAGAATATTACTCATAAACAGTATCTTTGGTTACCAGGAAAGCACTATCAGATTACCTGAGAAAATTGATCAATCAAAGAAATCTATGTCAATTAAGGATCTGAATAATAGCATAATACTTTCAGAGGCCAATTCAAAAAGTAAATCATGACAGAACACCCATTGAAAGAGAATTTGGTGTTAATGAGAATTTGTATCTAAGAAATCATGGGAGAAGGGAAAAATGGATACCAGGTCAAATTGTTCAATGTACAGGACCTGTGTCTTATAAAGTTAAAAATAACTTGTGCAGATAATAAATGTGAATCTGTCAATCCCACCAAATCTGAACAGTTCACACCAACTCAGTTTGTTCCACAACCAAGTTCTGTTGATATGAGTGAACCAAGTTGTCTGGAGTCAGAAAATGTAAATTCTGGAGTTAATGATTTAAATCCTAGACCTCCTGAGATAGAGAATCCAGATGGTCAGAATATTGAGTCACCAAATCAAAAGCCACTGAGAAGGTCAAGCAGGACAATCAAAGTCCCAAATAAGTTAGACCTATGATTTTAAAGGTCAAAAGGACTTTGACATCATTGTTTTGTATCTTGATTATGTTGTGGCATATTGTGCATTGTTTGTAAGGATGTAATCTACCATAATGTTCATGTTACAATATAATTGGTGATTTTAGGATACTATCAATTGTTCTATTGAGAGATGTGTTATTGTGTTCTAAGGGTAAAGGGATGTAATAGATTGAAATAATTGTGAGGTCAAGGGAACTCACTCTTCTGTATTAGTTATATTTATAATATTGTTATCTTGAGTGATGTCCCTTGTGTACTTCCTTCCGTCCTCTCTGTGTGTTACCATCGTGATGTAGTTAGACCCAATAAATGTGTTATATACAACCACAGGCTTCTGTCGTCAATCTATTATAGAGATGGTAACTAATTTCATTGCACTATTGCAGAGTTATTTAGAATAATGTAATTATATTATATATTTATTTCATTATATTCTTATTAATATTTTTTCTCTGTTTTTAGGTGTTTGCCGTGTATATGGAAATTATATAAACCATGAAGATTTGCAAAGTATGTGAGGTCTCATTTATTAACTTGATGTTTTGTTTAATTTTTTTTTTTTAAAACAAGCAGTTAGTTGAGTTAGTGCATTATTACAAAAATTTTTTGCATGTACATAATTTTTAAATGTCATTTTTAAAATTGATATTCAAGCTGCCATTATTTCAAGCACAAAAGCTGTCGCAGGACAGCTTATGAAAGCACTTGATGTATGTATACTTCTCTCATTACTTAACTTGAATTTTTAAACTTTTTATCAATTTACTTATTTGATTTAATGTTAAGTAATATTTTTTTTCTATGTTAGCGCACTATTGTTAAATTACAAAATGGCTGCATATATTGTGACTTCGTAGAAGGAAAAGGCAGAAGGGCTGAACCAAAGTCAGAAGTAAGTATTCTGCTAATAAGTAAACTCTATAATATTGCTGTTTTTAGTTTCTTTTATGTGGGTGCCACTCTTCCAGAATGTCCTGGTATTCTGGTTTTAGGGGTGTACTTATTTCACTTTCTGCAGTCACATACTATTGAGTTAAGAAAATTTCAAACTAACAGTTTAAAAAATAAAATACTATATTGACACAACATGTATTTCACACCACTTTTGTTTTTATAGCTGATAAATTGGTATAAAATTTAAAGTTTGATTGCTGTAGGTTCTATTACCCAGTATACTGTTGAATGTGTCTCTTTTAGGGATTCTGTAAACTGCAGATTTCTTATTTTACTAATAACATGTATAATAGGTTCTATTGAGATGTGATAATTATCTGTGATGGGGGGGGGGGGGGGTGCTAGGGCTGCCTTTGCTTGTGTGTGAAACCAAATCGGCTAGTCTCTGTTTAATATTGGATTCCCTTTTTTTTCCCAGGTGTTTTTACAGCTACGCGGCATTGTGCCTGGACAAACGGAGCCATTTGTTAATTTTGGAGCTCAGCTATACTCGTTCATCCTAGGGGGTGGGGAACTGATCCCTGGGTTAGATGAGTCCATCCTTGGTAGGTATTTTTGTTTTTTACAAACATTTGTTATCTGAGTAGAAAGGTACAATGTAGGAGCAACTAAGCCAAATACCTCTTGTTTAAATAAGATTATTTAAGAAATTACAATAGATTTTTGTTGTGTTCTATAGGCATGAAAGAGGGAGGTTACCGAAACATTACAGTTCCGTCTAGTCAAGCGTAAGTCATTTTCTATTCTTATTCAAACCTGCTACCTTTAATACTTTAAAAAAAAAAATATTACTGAAGCCAACCAGTTTCTAGATGGAAAAATGTCCAAGTTCTGGTCTGAATACAGAGCTTTTGATTTTCAATGTCATTATTGGAGGATGTATATAAAACTTAGAAGTGTATAGATTGATTTATGTGTTAACTTTCTTTTTTCTAGTTTTGGTGCGGTTGGAATACCGAGGTTAGGAATACCACCAAACGCAGACATTCAGTATGAAGTAATTCTAGTCAAGGTCTTAATCCCAGCAGGCAGATTTTCAAAAGGTTACCTGTTTCAGTGATTTTTTAACCAGTTTTTTAAATCACTGTATAAAATGTATTTTCCTTTTTTTCTGTTTTGTCTGAAAGTGTTTAAATTTGTGAACACCTTGCTTATAGGTGTGCACGTATACTAGAAGGAATGCAAACTTGGTCTGTGTGAATTGTAATAAATTATTTCTATGCATGAACAATGATTGATGCTTTAGTATATCACTTGTGTCATTAGTTTCCAGCCTTGGTGAAATAGTTTTTTTTAATTTTGATTTTTTTAGTCATTTGTTTAATTAACTCCGCCAAAAAATTCAATTGTTTTCAAGTTGATTTCGTTTAGCCTAAGTCAGCTACCACTCTAGTGTTGTTTGATGATCAACTGTGGCAACAAAATTATCAAGCTGATTTTGTCCACAACCACTGTTAATTAATCAATAATTGCCCACACAAATAAGATGTTTGTAAACTGATTTTTAGTTGATGTTTTATCAACCACTGATAATTTGATCATCATCTCAACAAACAAGTTAATGAATTTTGAGCTGATTACTGATATTGTCAGTAACCACTGATAGTTTGATGATTTTCTTGGCTAATAACTTGAATAAGTCAGTGGATTTCAAGCTGTTTTAGTGTTGTATTCATTGAATTGATCAGTAATCCACTGTCAGCGCCACTCAAAAAATTCTTTAGGCTCCAATTGTGTCACCTTTTTTTTCTACTGGGAGAAAAAGCCTGTTGTAGTGTATCTTGTAGTATAGTTTTTTTTTTAGTTTTTTTAATAGTTTTTTTTATACATGTGATTGTTTATCATTGGTTTTATTGGACTGTCTTGATATTTTATTTACAAATGTCATTACATTATCATTTTTTCTTACTAGACTGTCTTGATATTTTATTTACAAATGTCATTACATTACAAGATGAACATAACTTTCTTAGAAAAATGTCCTTTTTTGTTAGTTTGTTATTATTATGTATTTGATATCAATATGCTTTTGACATAGGTATAATTTCTTTTTAATAAATTAGAAATGGGGAATAATGGCATGTCTGTATAGAATTATCATAAATACTTGATTTTTAGCTTTGTCATTAATCTAACCACAAATTTAAGATGAGAAAAAAATAATTTTTCTATTTTGCAGTTTGATATAACTTTCTTTCTTAAAAAACAAACAACCTTTTACCTGTTGATAAGTTGACTTTCGCACTCAAGAACTAGTTTAAGGAAAATGTTAGATTAGACATAAGTGAAATATTTACAGCATATCAAGGCTATCCCGGACCTAACCCTCTTTGCAGTGTCCCTAGCCCAGTGACTTCCATAAGGTATAAATCAGGGGTATAGTTTTAGTCATGCAAATTGTATGAAAAGTTAAATCCTTTCAAAAAAATAATTACATCCAATGGCATCTTCACCTTAGATTTTCATCAGTTGATAAAATGAAATTCTTGAAATAGAAAGTTAAAATGTTAAAACTCTGTTTTTTATCTTGAAGTCTTTGTAAAATAGTATATTTGTATTTAAAAAAAAATGTTTTTGTGTTTTTGATTCTATGATAGTATGTTATGTTAGATAGTTTGTGATAGTAATGATTATATTAACTTAAACCTAGTAAATTCTATGTTGAGAGTATGCCTGGTTTAGAGCACAGTGATTTAGAAGGAAATTTCTGAATTGAGCAAATTTACAGTGATGTAATAAAGGATTGAGAGATCTTAATAGATGTATATTACATGAAGAAACTGTTGGTTTTTAGGGACATAATCATATATAGTCTTGAGTCTATTACCAACCTGGCTTAATGCTCTCATACCTATGGGAAGTAACTGTTTTTTGGTGTATTTCTCTTTCCACCTCTCTTTGAAGCTAGTGGTTATATTTTCAGGCATCAGGTCAAAAGATACACATGTGGTTATACATATCTGCTTTCTTGTGTAGGATATTATGGGCTGGATATGTTTAGCTTAACTTGTGTGTCGTTTATTGTGTGGAATTTATTGTCAATATTATGGATGCCAGTTTTTCAACTTGAATACCTTTGATCTAATTTTGTCTGACATTCTTTTTACGTCCACCATCATGTACAAATGTTTATGTTACTACAGTGTGTGTAAAGTGTAATCTATAAATCTTAGATTACTTGTATGGTTGTTTATCCTAGTTAATTTCTAATTGCTTTTGTCAAGACTTTTTATTAAAAAACACATTTCATTAATTAATACAATCTTCTGTTATTAACAAAAATGTGATTTGTAATTGTATTATAATTAGGAAAAAAATGAAATGTTTCTTTTTTAAATAGGGCCTACTTATAAGATCACTGGTAGCTGCCAACTCTAATCACAATCATAAAACCCTTTATCATAATAGTGAATAGTGATAGTTCAAGTAAAAAATTGTGCAACCGATACTACAAAAGTGAATAGAAATATTTTTCTTTTATTGAAAAGATTGTTTCATGAGGTAGGTCTACAGTAATACAATCTACATGTAGTATAGCTCTAAAACAAGCCTGTGCTATTTAGCCTGGCATAAAGCAAGTATCAATTTGTTGTATGTGCTATGTGGCTTTGCATAAAGTATAAGTTTATTGTATGTGCTATGTAGTCTGGCATTAAGTAAGTATAAGTTTATTGTTGTGAAGGGTTGTTTATTTTCATTAGTGATTACAACAGGTGCAACTGACTGCCATACAGACACCCTTGACCGGACACGGGGAGTAAGTCACTTGATTCAGTAACCTTCAATGTCTGGAAGCTTGTGATGTGATTGCTCACTGAATACTTCTGTTTGTTGTGATGGCTTCAGATTTTAGCACTGATCTAATAACTGTATGTTGGTAGAGACACAAACTCACTACCTCCTTCACCAAAAAGAAACAACAAACAAACTCGAAGTAAATACACCAATTTAACATAACAGTGAAGGCTAATATTTGAAAAAATAATGTTATAATTTTATTTTCTGAAAATTGAGTACCTTACAAGTAGAACATCTTACCATGAGAATTATGTAGCGCTCCCTAAGTAGAGATAACCCGGCTCAGTCAGACTAATCAAATGCGAAATATCATTGTTATCTCCCCTATAGTGTAACACCATGGGTCAGGGGGCTGATTTACAACTTATTGGGTTGCGGCCCCTGTGGGACAGCAAATGTTGATATTAAATTATTATATTTGTGCTCTTCGGTGAGCAATGTTTCACCGTGTTTCTTATGTCATGTCACAGCTAGGACTCTGTGTAGCTGTGAATGTGTCAACTGGCATTCAAACTCAAGGCTGCGGGTGATCAGGATAGTTGCTAACATGGGCATAGAATAACTAGAGTAATGTAAATAGACCTAATGTAGGTATTGTGATTTTATATTATCACACTAGTGCCGCATGTTGCGGACTACATATGTTAAGTAAGTTAATTATATTTATAATACTTGTGTTTATTTTATCCTACTACTATTGTCTCATGCTGCGGACTAGATATGCTAAGTTAGTTATATTTATAATACTTGTTGGCAGTATATTGTCATACTGGCAGTAACATATTGTATTATTTTATGACGAGGCTTCCATGTGTTTTACATAGCCTACACGTGGTATTGTATAAACAAGTATGTAATCTATTTTTGTTTACATCATTTTAGAGCTATATGAAACTAGAATTCTAAGAAAGTCTGTATAAAGTAATAAAGCTGATCCAGAAACAAGTAGCATTTTTTTGGAACATGGAACTGTTTCTATACATCTCGTCATCTCCCCAGGGCGAGTCTGAAATAATAAATTTAAATAGAAAATACTTTTATAACTGTCATATCACCGGGACGTTGGAAATAATAAATTCAAATAGAAAATACACGCTTTTACAATTGTCCTACCCCCGGGGAAGTTTCAAATGCTCCTCCTATCTCCCCCGGAGCATAATGTCTAAACTTATGAGATGGAATGAAACCACACTTAGATGAATTCAAAGTTTTAATAAGTACAACACAGTTACGACCCTTTAATAACTCTTTACACGTAGCTATGTTAAAGTTTGTCAGTATCACTACTTATTGCACATTACACGTTATGTAATACGTAGGTAGTTTTACATGTGCAGTTGATAGCGAGATGGAATTACTTTTAAAATGTATGAGCCAGTGGCGGAACTAGAAAAAAAGGGCCACCCCGCAAAAAAATTTTTTTAGGCCCCCCCCATATATATATATATATATATATATATATATATATATATATATATATATATATATATATATATATATATATATATATATATATATATATATATATATATATACAAACACAAAACACGAACATAGAATACTCATTACTGGCCTGTTCGGGTTTAGAAAAAACAATGTTTTTTTTTAATTAAAACAAATTACTACATCATGTCAAGTGAGTAAGTGCATTAGTGTGTTTTTATTTTTTTTATTTATTTTTTTTTTTTTTTATGTTTTTGCTAGAGTTTATTTCACAGTTCAATAAAGTCAACTTCAACCTCCA